TTTTTAAAAGAAAGATTATTTGGTTGTTTGTATAGTAACTTAAAACATTGTTACATGTAAATGGTGTTGTCATATTGTCTGATTTAAAGTAATTACAAATGATCTCTCTTTTTCAAAGATCTTCTATGGTTGTTTGTTTGATTGATGATTGATTGATTGATTGACGTTTGTTTGTATGTACAACTTGTATTTATGGAATTATTAGATATATCCCAATTTATTGTAAAAATCGATGAATTCTTGTTATTAAGCATGTTAAAATATTTAAGATAAAAATGTTATTACAAACAACTGTTGCTCGAAAAATTTCTTTACAAGTCTACATCATAGAAGTGATTTTTTAGTTTATAGATCTATGGAAGTTTTTAAAATAAAGAATGCCACATGGTGTCTTCTTAAAATAAATTGCATATGTTGATTTATCCAGGATGTTGCTTCATTCCACTTTATAATGCTTGTATTTCCAGTAGAAATCCATTTATATTTACGATTCTTGTATTTGTTTATTATTTGAAGATTTTATTTTTTTTCTAAATTTAACACAATAATTTTTTCATTATTATTATTATTTTTTTTCTTTGTACAAGGTGCAGATATATTTGTTTCAATGTATTGAACATGTATAAATAGTTTGTAAAATACAGAATTATGATTTCTGATTTTTGTGGAAACCGAATGGAAACACAGTGCATTTCAATGGTTCTTGGAACTGTATTTTTACCCAACTTTTATATTCAATTTAGTTTTTAAGGCATCACAGCGCATGGATTTTTTCATTTACCCCATGATTTTCTTTTCATGGAACAAATAGCGGCTTGTTTGTTATTTTGTCCATCTTTTACTGTGTCCTTACTTTGTCTTTTTTTCTGTCCTTCACTTCATCCTTCTTTTGTCTTATCTTTACTTGGTGTGCTTTTGCTATGGCCTTTATTTTCTTTTTCTCTGTCCCTCACTGTGTTCTTTTGCTCTGTTCTTTGATTGTCCTTCTTTCTCGGCTTTAGTTACAGTAATTTACTATATCTCATATTGTGCTCATTTATTTACTCCCTTTTAAAAGGAAAAAATATACACATGTAGTACTATTTTCTTGACATGCTTTTCAATATAGGCATTGTTAATATATAACAATTTTGTTAAGGTCTATTTTTCTCAGAAACTAAGCTTTTCAGTTCTGAAAGGCTTTACTTGTTTTTTACATTTTAAAAAATTATGCCCTTTTCTTCAGTTTTGCTTCAGTTATTCAGTAATTCTATCCAGCACTGAGAAAAGTGGAATATCTTATCTGTTTAAAATTATTATTCAGAATATGTTGGTATTTTGAATTATTACCATTGGAGAAGCTCACTGAGACTAAAAAGGACACTCCTGCTTTTTTCATAGTAAATAAATGATTTTCGGTTTGTCATTTTGACATAAAGGAGCAGTTATAGATGTAATCCATATTCATGTTGTAATAAGAAAAAAAAATAATGGTCATAATGAAAATTATTATAATTGTACAAATGTACTAATGAAAATGATCGTATCTGTACAAAATGTACTAATGAAGATTATTATAACTTTACAAATGATTATACTGTCATATGTAAGCCTTTGCTTGTTGTACTGTTTATATTTTTTAAAGCTATTCTATTGTGGAAGAACTCTCCTCTTGCTCATCATGTATTTAAGGTTTTTTTCCAATATCTTTTGTTTCTTTCTCTGTTTTTTTTTCTTTTGGTGTTAGATTCTTGTTTTGTATAAATGGAATAAAATGTGAACAAAATACTTTCTTGCTTTTGTTTTATATTAATGCTCACAGCTTAGCTTTTGTGATGGCAAATTGTTTTGTTCATTGTCCGAAATATGACTTTATCCTGAATTTTTACCCCACCCACCAATAGATCTGCCTGCTCTTGTCTGGTCAGTGGCTGGCTGTTTGTAAAACAGTCGAAGATTGGGCATCCATGTCCAATGGACACATATCTTGTTAAAAAACCAACAGTTCCACCTTAACCATGTTGTGGAGTTTGACCAAAATTCATAAGTAACAACATTAGGTACGCCCTCTACAAAAAGTTATATTTTACAAAAAAGTTATACTCGTATGAATCGTTCCAGTCTTATAAATAAGTCGGTTACAGGAGAAGTCTTCTTATGTGACACAATGCTGCGCGAGAACGGAAGTATTGGCACGTAGCATTGTCTACCAAAAGTAATGTATCATCTCCATGGATCAAAAAGTGGCCCCGCACTTGGGATCAATTAATTAACATAGTATATACGAGAGCATATTTTAATTAGTGGCAACAACTCAATTTTACCATGATTTGCACGTGAAAGTACATGTATAATATACCGTTGGAAAGATTATTGATTTTTCTAACCAACAGTCTATTTTCGCACGATTTGCACGTGCAATAAAATTAAAGCAGGTCATTTGAATACATGTGTTTTTGTATACTGGTTGTAAATATGGCTGAGTTGCATTGTGATTTGAGAGAGGAGCAAAGAGATTATTAACAAATTCATGGGCTATCGCGTCAGAAATAAAAACGTAATCTTGATTTAGATTATGGAGGAAATGACCTTCCATATCGTACAATTGCCAGATGGGTGTCAATGTTTAAGGAAGGTACAACTAATGTTAAGGATGATTCACGCCCTGAGCGGCCAAATCACGCTTCCTCTGAAAAAGGGATCATAACTGTCAAAACCATAGGTGATGGAAGATTTAACGTGGAGGAGATAAGTGACATATCAGGCCTTAGTACGTCATGTGTGTTTCCATCTTGAAAGAAAAATTAGTCAAGAAAAGTGTGCACCCGTTGGAATCCACATACCAGAAAAAGGAGCGGGTTGAAAAAGCCTCGGCCTTATTGACAATGTTCAAATATTGAGACCCTAGACGCCTGAGAGAAATTGTCACAGGAATGAAACGTGGTTTTATTTTTATGAGCCCGACAAACGTGTCTGGTTTCCATGGTGGTTGATTTGTGCCATCCGTGTTTTCGCCCCGCCAAGCGAAAAGTCGAAAATTATCAAGTTAAAATGGCGGAAGCTGGGAGCGAAAACACGCTAATTAGCGAAAGCGCGGGGCGAAGTTTAATAAATAAAACTTCGTCCCGCGGGGACGCGGGGAGAGATTTAAGAAATATAACGGCAGGGTCGCAGGACGAAAACACGCTAATTAGCGCGGGGCGAAGTTGAATAAATAAAACTTCGTCGCGTGCCCCTGCTTATTAGCGTGTTTCGTCCTGCGACCCCGCCAAGCGAAAAGTCGAGAATTAACAAGTTTAAATGGCGGGGGCGCGGACCGAAAACACGCTAATAAGCGGAGGCGCTAATTAGCGTGTTTTCGCTCCGCGCCCCGCCATTTTATTTCTAAAATCTCGCCCAGTGCCCCCGCGGGGCGAAGTTTTATTTATTAAACTTCGCCCCGCGCTTCAACTTGTTAATTCTTGACTTTTCGCTTGGCGGGATCGCGGGGCGAAAACACGTTATTATTACAAAGCGAATATAGATAGTGGCTCCAAACCACTTGCCCATCACCTCTGTGGGTTCTAATCCCACCAATGACTTTAATTTCTTTTATTGTGAGGAAGTTATCCACCTACCGTACGGAGGAGAACCGGAGGTCTTCCTCCAACAGTAAAGCCGGACAGCCGTGTTGGTGGACAGCTTTTACCAACCACGCACCCGTTCCAAACAAGAGGGCCATGATGGCCCTGAGGTCGCTCACCTGTATATAGGCCCCTGGAGCGGGGCCAGTTTAAACCCAGGGCATTTATTTGAACAAACTTAGAAGATGTTTCATGATGTTAAGTTTTTACTACACACATAAAATGAAAAACAATGATCTCTCCGCCCCCTTACCCCGCCCCCCCCCCCCCGGCAGGGCCAATTTTAACCCAAGGCTTTTATTTGAACAAACTTGGTTTCATGCTAAACATCTAAGCTCTAGCTCATTGGGTTTTTTAAAAGAAGAAGATTTTTTAAGTTTTTACTAAACACATATAGTTAAAAACAATGACAGCCTGGGGCGGGGCCAGAATTGACCCCAGGGCTTTTATTTGAACAAACTTTGTATACACTTACTAGAAGATGTTTCATGCTTAATATCTAAACTCTAGCTATTTTGGTTTTTTCAAAAAAAAAATAAGTTTTTGCTATACACATATAAGGAAAATCAATGACCCCCGGGGCGGGGCCAATTTTGACCCCAGGGCTTTTATTTGAACAAAATTTGTAGACACTCACTAGAAGATGTTTCATGGTTAATATCTAAACTCTAGCTATTTGGGTTTTTTCAAAGAAGATTTTTTTTTGCTATAGCTTGGTAGACACTCACTAGAAAATGTTCCATGCTAAATAACTTAAGTAGCTCTAGCTCTTTGGATTCTTTAAAAGAAGATTTTTTAAGTTTTTACTATAAGCATATAGGGAAAATCAATGACCCCCTGGGGCGGGGCAAAATTTGACCCCAGGGCTTTTATTTGAACAAACTTGGTAGACACTCACTAGAAGATGTTTCATGCTAAATATCTAAGCTCTAGCTTATTGGGTTCTTTAAAAGAAGATTTTTTAAGTTTTTACTATAAGCATATAGGGAAAATCAATGACCCCCTGGGGCTGGGTCAATTTTGACCCCAGGGCTTTTAATTGAACAAACTTGGTAGACACTCACAAGAAGATGTTTCTTGCCAAATATCTTAGCTCTAGCTCTTAGGGTTTTTTAAAAGAAGATATTTAAAGTTTTTTCTTTTGGTTGCCATGGCAACCAGAGTTCTGCATGGAATTAAATTCTTTGAACAATTTTTAAAGGTGACCACCAAAGAAACATTCCTGTGAAGTTTGGATGAAATTGGCTCAGTGGTTTATGAGGAGATGTCATTTAAAGTAAAAGTTTACGGACGGACGACGGACGGACGGACGACGGACGTCGCCGGAAGAAAAGCGATCACAAAAGCTCACTCTGTCACTTTGTGACAGGTGAGCTAAAAAGAACAACAACAATAAAGTAAAAGCATGATAACAATAGATAGTATTGAACAAAGCCTACCCCCTACCTATTTGACAATGAACTGTTTAACAAATGCATTGTAAAACAATATTCGTGTAATATATATATATATGGAAGCATATACATTATTATAAATGTCAGATTTAAAAATGAACCTAATCGATATTCCTGCTGATTTCTATTTTCGAAAACAGCCCGTGACATTTAAGTTTTACTTCACTTACTCTGACGTATTAGATTTACAATATTTTGTACTTGGTAAAAAAACTTCGCGCATTGAAATTCTGATGTGAGAGTTAGTTTTCACACACAAAAGTTCATTTTTAGTAGGTGTTGTAGATATTTTAACGAAAACATTTACACAGTTGTAACATCGAGTGATGTATCCTTTAAAATTCCCGGAAAACTTTTTGCCTTCGCCACTACACGGTATCCCATCCGGTGTTGCTCTTTCATATTTCTAGGTTTCGGGTGCTGTACAACTTGACTTAAAGGTCCATTTACAACCGAAATTTTTGTTCTTCCCTCTGGGTTGTACGGGATGGGCCTAGTTCTTTGAACATGCTGCAACCGTCGTGGACGTTGAAGGTCTATCTGACGGATGTAGGTTCTGAAATGGCTTGGTCTCGAGCGTTCGTATGACGGCAGTCTCTCACGCGTTCGTGTACGAGGTATGAAGTTGTCTCGAAATTGCCTGTCAGAAACGCGATTCTGTGAGAATTGTCTGTCTAAACGCCGACTCTGTGCGGATTGCCTGTCTGAAACCCGATTCTGTGCGATTTGTAATTCAGGTCTATTCAAATTATATGAGCGTGAACCCCATGACTGTGAGGGTGATCGCTGGTAAGGAACAAACCGCTGGAACACTGGCGTTCTTGTGTACCCAGGTACTAGCCGATTTTGATCTCTGGTAACGGAAAACTGACCAGGGTAGGGTAAACTCCTTGCTAGTTGAAGAATAGCACAAATGAATATCAGCAGGGAATTCACGTGCTTCCTCAAAAGGAGACCATCCATTCCTGAAATTATTCACATAATAATAAGTTTGATAAGTTTATATTCAAATTCCATCTGGCCGCAGTGAGTCCATAAAAGGTCAATTTCGAGGAAATGGCCTATTTGCTGTAAAACAAGCTGTGCATCGACACCTTATAGACAACAAAATGTAAATACACAGTTATACATTAATAATGTTCCCCTTATATAATAATGTTCCTTGCCTATCTTCAGTTTTATGTTCTTGAGGACCGCACTAGACATTCCACAAATATGCAACATAATACGATAACCAGAAAATACGACAAAGTTACTTTCCAACGAAAATACGACATGGCACAAATCAGCCACCATACTTTTCTGAAGCCTGTCGGGTAATAAACGGTGAGTTTCGTCCTACTTAGTTTCAACTTCAAATAAAATGATTGACGAATTTAACCTTGCTTTATGTGACAATTTTTGTTAATTTAATGCATTAAATGAACAATGAGTTAACATTAATTTTACTTCAAGGCGAGAAGGTACAAATGTAATTCATATTTTGGTTGTTTTTTATTTCTCATTTGAACGAGAGAAAAAAAACTATCCAAATGATGGATTTTAAACATTTAAAACAAATCGTTGGAATAAATGCAGAACGCGTCTTGAATACAAATCAGCAAAAAGGATATAAAACTCGAGACAGAATGTTAGCATGGTAATTTGAGTGAAGTGCATTCTGTACGCACAAAATTGTAATTCTGTAAAATAATGATAAATTGAGTAAAAATATATATAAAAAACAATTAATTAAAAAAATAAAAAAGTGAATTGAATATTAATTAATACAAAAATTGTTTTTTGTATGTAAACAAATTTTCTCAACTGTCTACGTCATACGTCGCAACGTGTTGGTTATATGTGATAGATAACCCTAGCCATAAAAAGAGCCGCGTCATGACAAAACCAACAAAATGGGTTCGCGCCCAGTATGGATCCAGACCAGCCTGCGCATCCGCGCAGTCTGATCAGGATCCATGCTGTTCGCTATCAGTTTCTTTACTTGTTATAGGGTTTGTAAGCGAACAGCATGGATCCTGATCAGACTGCAGGATGCGCAGGCTGGTCTGGATCCATGCTGGTCGCAAACGCATTATGTTGGTTTTATCGTGACACGGCTCATATATTATGCAACGTTTATGAGATTTTAATACCAAAATTTAGCTACCAACAGTACAGAGTGGGGTCAGTCTGCAAACTTACAAACGGATTAAAAAAAAAACAACATAAACACAGTAGTAGTAATAATAATAATAATAATAATAATAATAATAATAATAATAATAATTTTAATAATAAAAATTATAATAATAATGATAATAATAATAATAATGATGAAAAATAAAATAAAATAATAATTATAATAAAAAATAATAATGATAATAAATAATAATAATAAAATTATTATTATTAATAATAATAATAATAAATTAATAATAATAATAATAATAATAATAATAATAATTAGAATAATAATAATAATAATAATAATAATAATAATAATAATAATAATAGTAGTAGTAGTAGTAAAAAAAGATAAAAGAATATATGCATCTATTTCAAGAGTTAACCCACATGGACCTGGGAATTCGTGCAAATTTCAAACTCAGATATCAGTGTAAGAAATAACAACAACATAAGATTATATGATTGTTAAGTTTATAATTATATGTATGTCACGGTTCAGAACTGTTCACTTTTCAGGGGAGAAGATGTGTTAGCGGCCGAGCCGCGGTACGGTATTCGGAGGGTCCCGGGTTCGAGTCCCGGTCAGGCTGTACATTTTTCTCATCCTGTGACATGTACATGCACTTGATAATGATAATACATGTATATTTTTTAACCTCACTAAATATAAATGAATTTTCTTCGTCTGCTTATATTTTCCTTAAAGGAGAGTACTTGTACTTAATTGGACAAATAGACGAGTAGAAGTTTCCATATATTAAGAAATTATACTCGATATGGAAAACTCACAAATAGGGGAGTCGGCTGAGTGATTTTTATACAGATCATCATTTAATTTACTACCGTTCATAATACACAGATAAAAATCTTCCTCCTATTTAATAATATTTAGAAACTTGTGTGGGTTTTAATTTATCCTTTAGTTTCCTTTAAGGTGAGTCACGTATATTATTATCAAGCCTATTTCATGGGTATAAATGATGTAGAAAATATTCCAGTTCGTCTTGCTATTGTTACGAAATTATCATTATTTTTAAGGTTATTTTGGCTACTTCCTGATACAATATTTGGTATTAAAGTGTCCAAATACAATATTGGGTATTAAAGTTACAGTTAGTAAGCGCGCAGCTTCGTACTGCATTGTAATAGGCAAATCTGTCCCAAAATAACACCATATTCTAATGAAGGCCTCATGTGGGAAATATGAATTTCATTTAATGTTGTTCTATTAAATTTGAACTTTAATAAACGCATGTACAGCCTAATATTGTTGACGCCGATTTACATGTACATGTATTTCTATTATTAATATGTTCGTGCCAAGTTTCATTTAACCCCAGATGCTTGCGGTGTTGAGAACGTTGTGAAGTACAAAAAAAGGTCTTTCATTTTTCATAAGAAAACAAAATAATACTTCAACTAATAACCAATAAACTAATAAATAGTTTTAAGATATAGTGCATGCAGTTTTTTTTAAAAGATCTGCAAAAAGGTGAGAGTATGTTTTTCAGCGATATCATTGACGTAAATCAAAAACATATATAGATTTATCATATATATTATCATAATGTTGATGACCTTAGTATTGCATGTTCTTAATGATTTTTTAAATTATTGCCATGTTTGCCTTGCAAATTATAGTCACGTTAATCAATCCGTCCGTCCGTGCGTCTGTCTTTGATTGTTATCGCCACGATATTTCTAGCAGTTTCTGTATTTAATTTTACACTCTTAGAGGGCCAGCAGCGATAGTAAGTTACGTATATCATAAGCCTAGAACTATTCCAGCCTGACCCCACACCCACCACCGTGTATGTGGCCAGGCTCCATTCTGTCGACTGCGGTAATTCTACCTCATTATGCCTCAGTTCAACAATGAATAGTTCCAAATTTAGAGCAAGGAAATACCATCATTGAACAAATTTCATTATTTCAAAGTTGAAATCCCTTCATTCAAAAATGAATACTTCCAAATTCAGAGCAATAAAAATAAAAATTTGAACAAATTCAAATTCAGAGTAATTTTGTTTTTAATTATTTTCCCCCAAGAGTTGAAAATTTCAACAAATGGCAGACCGAAACCTTCCCTAGTAGTAGGGAAAGGAAGAGCCAGTGTGGTAAGAAAAAATTTGGGAAAAAATACCCTTTCCCCGGACAACTTTTGTGGTTAAAAATTAAATTTTTTTTTTTATTTAAATTGTAATTAACAACGAAAAAACGGGGCAGTGAAACAATTAAAAAAACCTCCCTAATTTAAAAATTTTTCTTTCTTTTTAAAGCCAGAAAATACTTTTATAAAAAATTTTATAGTAAAATTATTTTAAAATATGAATAGATTATCAGTCTCTCTAAGAAACTGCTTCTATATATATAACATACCTGGTGCATACGTTAAATCCCAGATCGTAGCTGGCTAGTTGAAAGATGGGTTTTCACGGCGTATTTAAACATTTAAATACTTAAATGCAAACGTGGTCATCCATCAAGCGTTTAATGACAATCGAGTAATTAAGACATTTTTTCAGACAAAAATTTAAATATACATATATGTAAACTTCTTACCTTCGAAACGTACATCTTTTAAATAAATTGTAAATAGTCTTTAAATATACTATTTATCAAGTAAGATACTGGTCATTGATTATTAGTCATTCGTCCCGTATACATTTTACGAGGGCCGCCAATTTTATTATCTTCAACAAATAAAACAATGCGTCACTACAAACTGTCATGACATTTACAGTTACGCGATGTAATAAATTCAATTTATTTTTTTATAAACGCTTGGTTTTTTAAAAGTTTGTCATAAAATATGATTTTAAAATGCAAGTTTAATAATGACCTTCAGCAGTGTCTGAGTTAATACCCGCCTTTTCTTTTCAGATATTAAACAATAAGCAACTTTGTTGTTGCAGTGCCCTATTTCCGAAGTTAATAATGCCATATGCGCGAAGTTGCCACCATATTCTATCACGACCGGTAACCTTGTAATAGTGTAAGGTCCTCTTACATTTTGAATTGACCTTTTCTTATTTTACAACAATGACCTAGCAATAAGCCCGCCGAATCAAAGGCGCAGTGACCTCTTGGTTAATGTACCATTGTACCTGCCACTTAACCCAGGGATCTCGGGTGGAGTCCCTATCAAGTCACGACAACGTTTCCCCATATGACACGTGGGGTCGGGATTATAAGGAAATTCTTCCATCAGCTTAAACTCACATCTCAGGTATGTGATTGGTCTGTAACCGGTACTTAACATTCTTTATGTACACTGATCAATGAAAATCCAGAGACTTGAGACAGAAACACAGAAAAATGTTTGATAGCCTCGAGGCCAGTACTGGTTTGTTCCAGGACGCATATTGAAAATGATTCATAGAAGTTGCAGGAACTAATTTAACATTCAAGCTTAAATGAATTTTTTTAAACTTAAGACAGTGGACAGGATTATCGATCATGTCAATGAATATACGTCCTCTTAGTGTTCATCCGTGCTGTTCTACAGAAATTAGAAACTTCGACGGGAGCGATAGCGACCGGAGAATGTTTCTAATTTCTGTAGAACAGCTACGGATGAATACTAACAACTTTATTGGGCCTCATTAATATTCATTTTATTACGTACGTCACTACCAGTCCGCGTTATTAAACAATTACCTGAAAGGTGGGTTTGAATTTGATCGACCTTATAAATATGCATGATTTACGTAACTTTGCGCGCGAAGACGCATGTAATATTAAAGACGGCATATGGCTGATGCGGGGTTTCAGAAACATTTATTTTCGGAAAAACATTTTTATTGATACCTAGTATTATTTACACAAAATGTCATGTGTTAACACGAGATCACGTAATGTATATTTTCAAAAAAAAAGTAACGTCTACTTTCACTTCCTGTCTACCGAAAAAAAAATATGAATAGACAATAGGATTGTACGGAAGGCACTAATGCTCTTCCGTATGATTGCTATTGCATGTTCTTAATGTGTAACTTTCTTTAAATAAAGATATTAGATCTATTATTATTATTATTATTTTTATTATTTACCCTTGGCACAGCAGTCGCAAAAGCAGTGGCACAGCAGTCGCAAAATTTTAAAACGTGAAATTGGAAGTAGCGCAGCAGTAGCAGAAGCATAAAAAATGTAGTAAATTTAACGGAAGCACAGCAGTAGCAGAAACGTGAAGTTGAAAGTAGCAGTGGCACAGCAGTAGTAGTTCCAAAATTTATTTTTGCTACATGTGTATGGGAAGTTAGCAGTAGCACAGCAGTAGCAAAATTATAAAATGTGAAATCTGCAGTAGCAGTAGCACAGCAGTAGCAATTGGCAAATTATAAAACGTGAAATTGGCAATAGCAGTAACACAGCAGTAGCAGTAACTCAAGAAAAAATATGTTCAAACAACTTTATATTATGGTTTCGTGGATATCCGTGATGACAATCGGAACATCCTCGGTTAGGCTAATAGTCATTTTTGCGATATTGAAAATGTTATTTCGAGGTACTCATTTACGGCTGTGCAGTACATTTCTAAAATAATTGATTAACACATGTTTTGAAATGGTAGATACAAGAACAAATAAATAGGTATTAAATAACAACATCTTACACATATTCACATCATAATGACCACATTCAGTATTCAATTTATTGTTTTAAAATGAGCAAAGAATTTATGTTATCAGCTATGAAAAGAGAGACTAACCATAAAGTACTATTTATTCATTAGGAGGGAGAAGAAATCATCTTGATAATAAAAGTGATATAGTGAGTTAGAAGAAAGCACACTTTTCCATGAAATTAAAAAAAAAACACTACACTTTCCAATGTAAGAATGCAGCATGTAGTAACCATTTTAAAGGTTTAATGAATGAATTTACTTGCAGACATATAGAGGCTGCAATTTACAATGTAAGAACGCAGGATGTAATTTTGGCAGCGTTTTTCTTGTTGGTTACAGCAATATCAGAACTGCGGTTCTATAAAAAAGAACATGTATGACTTTTCTAATATGTTTTTATTGCCTATAAGCAGTCCTATTAATTTTCTTTCAGTACTCGTTTGTGTCTACTCCTTTATCATAGCCCCTCGAGCAAGGAATGTCAGCCATTGAAAAACACTATAGACCTAAAAGCTACATTAACTATTTAGGTGTGAAAATTCAATTGTATTACTCAATTTCTTGTTTACTAATGTGATAATGTTTATAGGGACTACAAAATAGTTATAAATCAGAGCGGGCGCTGTGGTGCAGTGGTAACACTGTCTGACTACAAGTCTAGGGGTTGCGAGTTCGATCCCCCGCTACTCCACTAAAAATACTAACAACAACAGTAATAAAAATGACTCTTGTAATGGCGATTTCAATATAAAACATAATTCACACATTCATTCATAGCTTTCACAATGAACGGAACTAACGGAGCACAATTCACGCACTGACACACAGGACACTTCTCACACACTGACAGACAGGACACTACTCATGCACAAACTGACAGACAAGACACTACTCACAAACTGACAGACAGTACACTACTCGCACACTGACAGTCAGTAACACTACTCATAACACTGACAGACAGGCCACTACTCACAACCTCACACTACTCACAAACTGACAGACAGTACACTACTCACAAACTGACAGACAAGACACTACTCGCACACTGACAGTCAGTAACACTACTCACACACTGACAGACAGGACACTACTCACAAACTCACACTACTTACACACTGACAGACAGGACACTACTCACACACTGACAGACAGGACACTACTCACACACTGACAGACGGGACACTACTCACACACTGACAGACGGGACACTACTCACACACTGACAGACGGGACACTACTCACACACTGACAGACAGGAAACGACTGACACACTAACAGACATGACACATTGAAAGACAGAACACAAATCACACATTGACAGACAGGACACACTACTCATACAATATCACAGGACACTACTCACACACTGACAGACGGGACACTACTCACACACTGACAGACGGGACACTACTCACACACTGACAGACGGGACACTACTCACACACTGTCGGACATAACACTACTCATACATTGACAGACAGGAAACGACTGACACACGAACAGACATGACACATTGAAAGACAGAACACAAATCACACATTGACAGACAGGACACACTACTCATACAATATCACAGGACACTACTCACAGTGGCCTACCAACAGGACAATACTCACACTACGCGACACACTGGACGCTTCAGATACACAGTAAACGACTATCACAATAACAAACACGGCTCTCACGGTACACTATTCAAACACAGACATACTAATAACACACATTCACACATTGATACATATGGCACAACTGATACACAGTAAACGACTGACACAATAACTACTCACATAATGACACACACAGCATACGACTGACACACATAGCACTACTCAAACAATAGAAACTACTACTCATACAAACACTCAAAGCACACTTCTCACACACTGACGGACAGGACACTTCTCACACACAGGTCACAACTCAAACACTGACCTTACACTACTTACATTATGACATGACACAATGCATATTGACTACAATGATGCAGACAGCGAACAAGTCACACTACGCAAGCACTGACACACAAGGCACTACTTACAAATTGACCTTACACACACTGTCACACACGTGATATTCCTCTTGGTTATAAAGTAATTTACTTTTCCTACATTCGCAATAAAAAAAAATTAATTGACCGTTTGTATTTTTCGCCAGGACGTGGATTTACATCTGAACATGTGCAAACCCGGGTTAAAGTATGGGCGGCGGGCGGTTGGCGGGGAAAATTTTTCGTAACAGTTTTCTCAGCAACCTCTTGATATTTAGCATACAGCATTGACACATGGTCCCATACTGTGGGATTCAATTTCAGGTCTGTTGCTTATCCACTTCCTGTTTACCGACTTAGTTAAATTTTCAACATTAATGGTGAATGGTAGGAAATTTTCGTAACAGTTTTCTCAACAACTACTTATCACAGCCTCTTGATATTTAGTATACAGCATTGACAAAAACAACAATTAATGATAAATTACTTTATTAAAGTAAAGATCACATAGTTTAGGTAAAAGAGTCACTAACGGATTGTAATGACGTCACAAGTGCCTGCTCAACATCTTTTTGAATTATTTCCCTCTGTCGAATCTGGAAAAAATAAAATTTCTTTACAATATAATTATTATCTTATATCATTCATAATAGTAGAAAATAATAACTTCTTGTAAATATTTTTCCTGATTTTCATATGTGTAGATCTGCTTTTGTGACTTTTTTGGACAATTTAGAAGAAGATATAATACTGATAATGAGCATAATAATATGCAAAAACTAAAGTTGGTGAATTAACATAAAGGAATGTTTCCCATATCCACCCTTGGTGGTGAGCTAGCTTTTCACCAACAGGGTTTGTGTTCCTTAAAACGTTACATAACATGCATGATGCTAATTCTGATGTTTGTATGCAATCATTGAAACTTACTGCAAAAACATAACTATTAAAGGCCCATTATCAAAGTAAGAGCAACATACTTCATAAGGTTAATGAATCAACTTTGAAGACAGTCATATAAAATAGAAAAAAAAAACATACACACAAAAATACCCAAAACATTGTAATGCAAGTGTGGATTCAACTTGTACAGTTTGTTCATATTATAAAATGTATCTAAAAACATTAAAATACATTGTGAAGTTTTGATCAAAAACAGCACTTTGATCTTACAGCACTTTGATACCCTAAGTTTGCAATCGATATTTTGTTAGGTCACACTGAGCCTGAAACGCCCACTGGTGACTTTCCAGCTTTGAAGGTGACTGCAGGTGCCTCTCCTCTGCATTACTGCTGGCAAAAACACAGTGTGTAATCTACATGAAAGTTTGATGCCAGTTTTGACATAGACCTCAATAATTTGTGCAACGGCTATCTTGAAAATGTCCTAAAACTTTAGACCTCTGTGCTACCAATCTTCCAGGTAGTGATTACCCCATAGCGTAACCCAGTGCGGAGTTTGCCCTGCTACAACCTATTTTAAACAATCTCAACCTCCAGCGTTTAAAATTATTGTCAAGAGTATTTCTTCAATAAACAACTACCAAAATTGTTTCCTATTGCAATGTTCAAATACAGCAAGAAGATATCAATTTAAATAACCTTTTAGCAGTATTTTTTTCTTAAAACCGACGATTAAAGGTTTTTATTTCCAATAAAATTTCTTGAATCATGACCAAATTTCAGTTTTCAAGTAATAAAACAATGGAAGTTATGTAGAAAGATGTAAACGTTTACCCTTTACCCCAAAACTTTCTATGTGTAAAGGTTTTGCCTAGCAGTTCATTAAAGAGATTAAAGTTAAGAGATTTCAATACTGTATCAAACAAGAGCTGGTTGGACTGGGTGATGCTCCCCAAAAAGGTTTTGGACACAGGAAAGTATACCTCTTGTAGTGTAAGAGTTATGTCACAAAGTTCAAAGTGTAAAAATTGAACAAAGGGCAATAACTCCAAAATAAGGCAAGGCAGAGTTATGGTTCTTTTGCAATGCACATCCACCCAATGAGATCTATCTACCTACGAGGTGTTTTGTTCATATCTATTATACTTTCAGAACTATGTCCTGGCAAGGCAGTTCTTTTGCACTGCACTTCTAATTAATGAGATAAATCTACCTACAAAATTTCATGCTGATACCTCTTATAGTTTCAGAGATATGTCCCGGACAAAGTGTAAAAATGAACAAAGGGCATAACTCCAAAATTAGGCAAGGCAGAGTTATGGTTCTTTTGCACTGCACTTTTACCCAATTAGATCTATTTATCTACAAAGTTTCATGTTGATATCTCTTATAGTTTCAGAGTTATGTAATGGACAAAGTTCAAAGTGTAAAAATGAACAAATGGCAATTATTAAAAATTTAGGCAAGGCAGAGTTATGATTTTTTGCATTGCACTTCTATCCAATGAGATCTATCTACCTACAAAGTTTCAAGATTATATCTCTTGTAGTTTTAGAGTTAGGCTGTGACTAAAAAAAGGATTGGAGCACCACACTAAATACCGTATTCCGGTATATACCGGACAAGGCGCTTGAATGATAAAATGCTAAAATCTTGTCTTTTTACCCAACGGAATGAACTTTAACAGGTCTAATTCATCTTTTCACACCGAATCAAGTACGATAATCAAGGAAAAATGTAAAATTCGGCGAAAAAAACGATATTTGTCTATTTTGTGATCATGATTTCTGCAAGCGTCTAGAGGTACTGCTCCAATCCTGTATTGAGCTAAATCCTTAGAGTTATGTCCCAGACAATGTTCAAAGTGTAAAAATGAACAAAGGGCAATAACTCCAAAATTAGGCAAGACAGAGTTATAGTTCTTTTGCAATGCACTTGTACCAAATGGGATCTATCTACCTACAAAGTTTCATGTTGATACCGCTTGTTGTTTCAGTTATAACCTGGACAAGAATAGCGGACAGACGGATGGATAGACTGACAAAGAGGTGACTATATGCTCAGCTTTTGGGGAGCATAAAAACATAAAGCTACTAAAAGTACTGAGCCAGGTCAGACAGTACATCTGTATAGGCTGGCCTGGCACTATACTGGTGAAAAAGCAGGTCAGGGGTACAGTCTGTAAAACTTACCTTAGATGATACTTTTTGTGAGATATATTTGGGAAAGATATCCGTCTTTTCTGCAGTGTGTAGCAATTCAAGAGGTGACCTAAATATAAAATAAAATATTTGAGTTGTTTCTAAATAAAAAGAAAATATATTGACAAAACATAAACATACAATGAAGTGTTTTGCTTAATGAAAAAAAAACAACCAACAACAATAAACAAGAGCTATTGCAAGAGGCAGGTGGCTCCACTAGATATAATTCAATAAACTGAAACTGAGTAGTAAAGACAGACAGAATTAAGGCAAAAGACAATTACCGTAATCACACTGCTTAATCAATACACAATCTTACTTTGTGATATTCCCATAAAAGTAATATTTCAAGTATGAATGTTCTATGTAGTGCAAAATGCAAGCTATATATAATCTGTAGAAGAAACTATTTTATCAAAATAGGTAGATGGTTTTCATGAACATTTTGCTCTATTTCATAGGCTAAACTAATCAATTAAATTTTTTTTAAATATTTATTTATGCATTTGCTTCTGAAATAAAATCTTTCGATTGAAGTTAAAACGTAAAAAAGATTTACAATCACACTATTCAAGCATGCCCAATAAAGGATAATGGTGGTCGAAGGCTAGTTTCATACAGCACCAAATTTTCTGAGAATAATTCACAGGAAAATAATTATCAACATACTTGCGTAGTTCTGCCGGCAGCTGACCTTCTCCAGTTGTTAACGATCCATTACCTATACATGTACATAACCGTCTTACATCTCTATCATAATGACTCTGTAAAATGTTTGAAAAAAACAACATACATGAAATGCAGAAAACAAATTAGCCACGCCATGACAAAATCAACATAGTGCGTTTGCAACCAGCATGGATCCAGACCAGCCTGTGCATCCACGCAGTCTGATCAGGATTCATGCTGTTTGCTTACAAACACTATTACAAGTAGAGAAACTGATAGCGAACAGCATGGATCCTGATCTGGATCCATGCTGGTCGCAAACCCACTATGTTGGTTTTGTCATGGCACGGCTCAAATATTGAAACAGCTTGGTGAATTATTACATATTTTAAAACTACTGGGTCATAGTGACTATATGTAATGTTATTAGTTACCAAGACTTTTGACAGGTTACATAACCATTGCATTTGTTTGTCTGTTGTATTTTTTTCTACTGCTGATTTTTACACATTTTTGTCACATCTCAGTGGTATGTCTACCTAACAGGCTTTCCTGTAGAACCAACCAGTAATTACCAATTTCACCAACCAGTAATTACCAGTTTCACCAACCAGTAATTACCAGTTTCACCAACCAGTAACTACCAGTTTTTTGACTCGGCAGTGAGAAACAAATAATCATTTCACAGATCAAAATGTAACAGAGAAAGTAAGAATCAAGCATGCACCTCTGGATGACAAATACGATGCTTTCCCTATTGAGTTAAACAAGCTGACATGGTTATAGTATTATCAGTTAAAGGTCATAAATCCGCACTATGACAAAAAAAACATAGTGCGTTTGCAACCAGCATGGATCCAGACCAGCCTGCACATCCACGCAGTCTGATCAGGATCCATGCTGTTCGCTTACAAACGAGAAACTATAGTACAAGTAGAGAAACTGATCAGACTGAACAGCATGGATCCTGATCTGGATCCATGCTGGTCGCAAACCCACTATGTTGGTTTTGTCATGGCACGGCTCAAATATTGAAACAGCCAGGTGAAAATGACTTATTACATACATTAAAACTACTGGGTCATAGTGACTATATGTAATGTTATTAGTTACCAAGACTTTTGACAGGTTACATAACCATTGCATTTGTTTGTCTGTTGTATTTTTTTCTACTGCTGATTTTTACACATTTTTGTCACATCTCAGTGGTATGTCTACCTAACAGGCTTTCCTGTAGAACCAACCAGTAATTACCAATTTCACCAACCAGTAATTACCAGTTTCACCAACCAGTAATTACCAGTTTCACCAACCAGTAACTACCAGTTTTTTGACTCGGCAGTGAGAAACAAATAATCATTTCACAGATCAAAATGTAACAGAGAAAGTAAGAATCAAGCATGCACCTCTGGATGACAAATACGATGCTTTCCCTATTGATTTAAACAAGCTGACATGGTTATAGTATTATCAGTTAAAGGTCATAAATCAAACAAAAACTAATATAAACCATCTATAACAATGTACACAAATAGCATTATAACCATTACACTGAACTACAGTTTTATTTTATTTACTGGTTAATTACATGTATAACTTAAATTACTTACTTGCAGTAAAGTACACTCCCAGAGCACTGTATTATGGGCATAACAATGTTCCGGATCATGTAACTGTGGAAGATACGTTCCGCTACCCTGAGAATCATTGTCCAGTAGGATGTCTGTATAATTATACATCTGTAAAACAAAATGAAACAACAGCTTCATGTATTTGTTAAAAACATGTGACAAAGCAAACCAATATACTGAAAACCTGTGTGGTTGTCAACCAATGTTCAACAGAGAATGTTACAGTTCTATCAACAGAGGAGAGAAAGGGGCTGCCACTTCATTTATATAATTTAAGCAAAGTGGGCTATTTGGTAAACTAACCAAAAGGAATGAACAATTAAAATTATTCTTCTGGAAAACTGGAGTGAGCATTTTGCACACAAGTTATCTGTTCAGGCAAACATGTAATGCTACACAAATCTAAAAAATTATTTTCAGTTCCATTATGTAAACAAAACTCAGTGGAGTCTCTTCAAGAGACTGTTTTCAGCGACCATTTCTGGCATTTTTCTTGAGCTCTTTCTTAGTACGGTTTAACTGTACATAAAATAAATTATACTTAAAAGCTCTGATATAGCATAAGAAATAAAGTGTTTCATCTTTTTTCTAATACATTGTATGTCCTTAACTCATGGAACTTATCAATAATTAACAAATTTTAACCGATTGTTTACCATCATAAAACTGCGAATCGCAGCAAGCAGTCCATGCATTCCCGATGTCGTCTGCTGTAAACTTAGTGTAGCTAATCGTTTTATAAATGCTAGAACACGTTGCTGTGACATCTGTAATTGACAATGACAAAAAGTTACTATACCGAAAAAATACTATTATTTGCTGTTATTACTAGATCTAGTAATTTTTTATTGGTTTGTATTATCTATGATATACATTTTGAGTATGTCTGAAGAAGCCATGAGATTTGTTGTAACACACAGACAAAATCATTTCCTAAGTTATAGCATTGTTCATTAACAATTCTATGTACCATTTAACCATTAGCCTTCTTCTATCCATCAAATGAGTGCAGACCATAATCAGATGGCATGGTCGGCACTGATACAAATATACTTATTTTGAAATTTCCTCCAAAAATGATAAATAATTTTGTCCAGATTTAACAATGGCCGAGTTTGTTCAAGATATTTAGCATAGAAGGGGGTAATAAGTGTAATACTTATGTACGATTCATTATGAGCATGAAAAGATGGGAGGAAACAAGGAAATTTATTCAAAAGTATGTAATATATAGTTTGACAATGTACCTGTCTTTTCCTTTTGCTAATCATTACATCTAAACACTTCAAAACAATCCCAACATCTTCTGAAGTCTTGCCTGAAATTGTATATATGAGCCACGTCACGACAAAACCAACATAGTGCGTTTGCAACCAGCATGGATCCAGACCAGCCTGCACAATCGTGCAGTCTGATCAGGATCCATGCTGTTTGCTTACCAACTCTATTACAAGTAGAGAAACTGATAGCGAACTGCATGGATCCTGGTCAGACTGCTCGGATGCGCAGGCTGCTCTGGAACCATGCTGGTCGCAAGCCCATTATGTTGCTTTTGTTGTGACACGGCTGATATTCATTCATGAATTCTGTGAGGATAAAGAAAGTGTATATATTACAGTTGAATGAAATGGTAAGTCTCACTGGCTACTGGGGGATGTTTCCCCCCTAGTGCAGTTCTGTACATTACTTTTCGCACTAAAAGAATTTGTTTTTGTTTATTTAGTGTCTGAGAAAATTAAATTAGCAAAGCTGAGTTACTGTCTAAATATTATTAATAGTATGTGCTAAGTATTTGTTTTTAAATTATCTTGTTTGTTTGTTTGTTTGGGTTTTACATCACATCGACATAGTATAGGTCATATCGCTACGTTCCAGCTTTACTGGTAGAGGAAAACCTCAGTTACCCTTCCGTGCATTATTTCAGGCATGAATGGGCACCTGAGTAGAACCACCGATGTTCCGTAAGCTAGCTGGATAGTTAAATTATCTTATATTTAAGTAAACTGCTAAATAAATACGTATGCATATCCCATTTTTTCTACAAGAGAGCACACAAATATTTACCTGCATGTATATTGAACAGATGTTTATAGAGATGTTTGTAAAATATCACAGGGTCTATATTCAACACAGAACCTTGTCCACCTAGTATCGTAAATGCTGTCTGAACACAATGCAGAGATTCTCTGTAGCTTAATTCCTGATGTAGTGTACCATAAAATAAAGACAGGCATATATTATATACATGATTTTTGTATTAGGTCGAGTTTTAAGTCAAAGTAACAATGTAAAAACAATGAGAATAAAAGGCAACAAGGCAGGTTATATTCACAGAACACAGTCATTGACATATAGTTCATATGGCAACAAAACAGCGTAATACTTTATTGGTTCACTCCATCTTGCATTCAGAAACAGATACACAAATTTAACCACTGACCTTTCATAAGCTAGCTAGAAGGTTTTCTCAAATAAAATAATTTTAAGTTCCTGTTCGGATTGAAACATGTAGCTGTGATGGGCAAGTGACCAATTCAAGAGACATTAAAATCTCAGCTATGAAGACCTCTTTGAAACAAAAATTAATTTTAACACCGAGTCAAATGTGGATGTTTTGTATAATGTTATAAGAAGAAATAAAATATCAATCAAAATAGTTGTTTTAACAAGTGGCAGACCAGGTTTGCTCAAATTTCATTTTTGACTGTTGACCTGTACAAGCCTGAAAGTGATAAGTCTATGCCATAAGTAGAAAGCCAGGCCAGCCTGCACTACTGTGCAGTGTTGATCAGGCTCTACAACAAGAGGGCCATGATGGCCCTGAAGTCGCTCACCTGTATATAGGCCCCCCAGAGTGGGGCCAGTTTAAACCCCAGGGCTTTTATTCGAACAAACTTGGTAGACACCCTTTAGAAGATGATTCATGCTAAACATCTAAGGTCTAGCTTGTTGGGTTTTTTAAAAGAAGATTTTTTAAGTTTTTTCTTTACATATATATTTAAAAACAATGACACCCCTGGGGCAGGGCCAGTTTTGACCCCAGGGCTTTTATTTGAACAATCTTTGTAGACACTTACTAGAAGATGTTTTATGCTTAATATCTAAACTCTAGCTATTCGGTTTTTTTTCGAAGAAGATTTTTAAGTTTTTGCTATGCACATTTAAGAAAAATCATTGTCCCCCGGGGCTGGGTCAATTTTGACCCCAGGGCTCTTATTTGAACAAACTTGGTAGACACCCATTAGAAGATGTTTCATGCTAAATATCTAAGCTCTAGCTCTTTGGGTTCTTTAAAAGAAGATTTTTTAAGTTTTTACTATATACATATAGGGAAAATCAATGACCCCCTGGGGCGGGGACAATTTTGACCCCAGGGCTTTTATTTGAACAAATTTGGTAGACACCCACTAGAAGATGTTTCATGCCAAATATCTAAGCTCTAGCTCTTTGGGTTTCTTAGAAGAAGATATCTAAAGTTTTTTTCTTTTGGTTGCCATGGCAACCAGAGTTCTGCATGGAATTAAATTCTTTGAACAATTTCAAAGGTGGCCACCAAAGGAACATTCCTGTGAAGTTTGGATGAAATTGGCTTAGTGGTTTATGAGGAGATGTCATTTAAAGTAAAAGTTTACGGACGACGGATGGACGACGGACGACGGACAGGTGAGCTAAAAACAGAAAGCGAAAAGTTCTTGAATAGAAAATACCTGCTCAGCTATGAGAGTGTTAAATACTGTAAACAAGTCCTCAAAGAAATCCACACTGATCAAATGGGCAAATCTGTGAAAGTAAATCAGTAAACATTTAAAATTCAGATGGTTTTTATGAACTGCAAAATATAGAATGAAGTAAGATATTTTAAAATTTGATATCAATACAAGACAATGTTAACTTAATTTTGAATTTCATTTAACAAATAAGAATCTTATACTGGTTGCCGGTAGAAACCAGAATATCCGACTCCAGGATAACTGTTGGCTCTTCCAGAAATTCCCCATAATGGCATGACCATCAATACTTAATTATTTTTCTTGCATATTACATTATAAACCATACTTCGGAAAGAAATTAGGAATATTAATATTGTGAATTAACATCAACTTCATTCATAATGGTGGAATGTCATCATCCTTAGCATGCTATTCATTCATAAAAGACCCAGAAATGACATCATTTTTTTTAAGAAAGTGACTTGTCATTCATGGCATGAAATTGTTCATTACAAGCTTTAAAATCCTGCTTACGATTTCTGAGAAAATTTCAAACTTTTACATTTGGTTTTCATGGAAATCAAGATAATGTATTTAATATAAGGTTTCAAGGTCATACAATTCAAAATCTGCAAGTTCAACTGCATTTCTTTTTTAATCTCTATTTAGAAATACTCCTATTTACAATTGTATTTTGATTTTGAACAGAAAAGTTGAGAACTAAAGAAACCCCTTTACCAATGTAAACTACTTCTTTTTGTAAACAATTATTTGAAGAAGGTACATAATCTTCATATTATATACTTACTTGGCAAGACCTTCAAGAACTGATGGGAACAATACCGAACTTGTTGCTTTTTTAAGAATACGAAAATATGTCAAAAACACTGTTTGTATGGTCTCTGTATGCTGAAATAACAAAAATAAAAACATAAAACTTATGGAGTGAGACTAAAACAAGAGGGCCATGATGGCCCTAGATCGCTCACCTGACTTATCAAACTCATCCAAACAATTACCTAGACAAGCCTGACCAAATCTCATGACAGGTGAGTCAAAAATGTGACCACAGTTTTTCTATTTTTAGCTCCTGTGACCTAGTTTTTCATCCGAGATGACCCATGTTCGATTTATTCCAAGCAATGACCTAGACAAGTTTCCTGACCAAGTTTGATGACAATTGAGTCAAAATTGTGACCACTAGAGTGTTAACAAGGTTTTTCTATTTTTAGCTCCGGTGACCTAGTTTTTCATCCGAGATGACCCATGTTTGAACTCATCCGAGCTATCACCTAGACAAGCATCTTGATCAAGTTTGATGATGATTGATGCAAAAATGTGACCGCTAGAGTGTTAACAAGGTTTTTCTATTTTTAGCTCCGGTGACCTACTTTTTCATCCGAGATGACCCATGTTCAAACTCATCCGAGCTATCACCTAGACAAACATCCTGACCAAGTTTGATGATGATTGAGGCAAAATTGTGACCTCTAGAGTGTTAACAAGGTTTTTCTATTTTTAGCTCTTGTGACCTAGTTTCTCATCCGAGATGACCCATGTTCGAACTTATTCGAGCTATCAACTAGATAAGCATCCTGACCAAGTTTGATGATGATTGAGGCAAAAATGCGACCGCTAGAGTGTTAACAACTGAATGTGAACAGACGACGGACGACAGCTGACGGACGACGGACAATCATCGATCCTAAAAGCTCATCCTGAGCATGCTCAGGTGAGCTAAAAAGGGTTGGAGCACCACACTAAATACCGTATTCCGGTATATACCGGACAAGGCGCTTGAATGATAAAATGCTAAAATCTTGCCTTTTTATCCAACAAAATGAATTTTAAAAGGTCTAATTCATCTTTTCAAACCGATTGATGTAAATGCATGAAAAATGTAATAATCGGCGAAAGAAAGATATTTGTTTATTTTGTGATCATGAATTTTGCAAGCGTCTAGAGTTACTGCTCCAATCCTATGAGTTAAATCCAAATTTATGTCACAAAGCCCATAACTCATCTCAAAATCTTCTAGAAATAACGATTATCACATGCCCACATTAAGCACAAATATAATGAGCATCATACAATCACAGATACAAAGTTTCAGAATATTTTGTTTTTTTCTTGGGTTTTTTACGCCGCATCATCACAGTCTATGTCATATGGCGCCTTCCCAGTTTTACTGGTGCAAGAAGACATCAGGTGCTCCTCAATGCATTTTGTTTTTCCAGGCACAAACAGACACCTGACTAGAACAACCAATGTTCCCTAAGCTAAATGGATAGCTTAGAATTAACTACAGCTTCAACCACTGTGACAGTCAGTCTGGTTATAAAACAGGATGACTTTTCTTTCAATTGTTTTTGTTACCTTAAACTTTTCACAGAACACAGGCTTTCCAGTATCTTGTTAGAAATTATCAGAAATTTTCACAGCAAATATAGGAACTTTTAAACCTTCTGTATCAACAATTTATAGAAAGGATGGGTAAAACTTATCACAGTAATTCCACATATTAAGTGTCAATGTTAATGGCCATAAACGAAAAACAATACAAACCGGTTTACCTATGCCAAAGTCCCTGATTTGGTCATGACAAGAGCTCAGTTTTTTTCTGTGAAAAGTGAAGCAAAAAAAAAATGAAGGAAAGTCAAGTTCCTTGTTTTTGGCAGCAAAACACAATATGTTTCATATATGTACATAATTATATAATATAATTATTTTAAAGGCAGTTTACCAATTTCAATCTTAATTTCTTATCTTCAGTTGCCTTGGTTTCCTGCAGGTCTTTTTCTACAAACATCAGTCTTTTCTTCCTCTGGAAAAAACAACAAGAAGTGCTGCAGTTTTAAGTACTGATCTATATTAAATCAAACTATGACATTAAATCAAGAAAGTTAAACTACATAAAAATCACTGGGACTCAAGTTTATACAAAATAATGTATAACAAATTAATGTATAACAAAAAACAATTTTAATCTTGCATGAAAGTAACTTAATTGTTATAAAAGCAAAATATGTTCATCATGATCTGTAAAACAAAGATATAATATCAGACTACCTTTTTCTCCTTTCTAGATAATTTGTCATTTAATTTGTGATTCTTTTGATCTTTCTGATTGTCATCTTTGGACAGAGGGTCTGTATAACTCACTTCTTTAATCTTCAGTGATAAAAACGTCTGCAGCACCTGTAAAACACAAATAATGGTCAGACGGTACATACTTTTTTTACCTAAAGCAACTTGTTAGTAATAAACATACATCTAGCTGGATGAAAACAAGGGGGAGGAACTGTTACACGAAGGATCGAGTTCTGATGATTACTTGTCAGGAGTTCTTAAGATAACTGTCACAGAGTTCCTGGAAATGTTACGGATTTCGTTAGAAAACTTTTTTGTATACTGGAGAAACACACGTAAAAATTGTAATTCTTAACGTGAGGAGATTCAGGTGATAAATTAAACTTTGATGATTAAGCTTGCCTTACATATTGTATTATTTGTCAGAAAAATACTTTACAGTCCATTTTTTCATCGCCTTTTGTTTAAAATCTGGTAGTTTTAAGAACCCCATTCTTTGTGTAATAGTTCCTCCCACATGGAAAAGCATTAGGCATATAGTATAAAAAGTCACTTCTGTCACATTAAAAGGTAGTTTCAGTACCTTGTTATAATATTATTATTTCTCACATGATTCATTTACTATATAACCTTTTGTGATGTCAGAGGGTAACAATCCGTAAAGTTACATGACATCATATTTCTGCCTGCTGACATTACCAAAACAGCCCGCATACCGTGTTTTAGTTATAAATTACAATGATTCAGCTGTATATTTTGTATCCTGATGTGTTTGGTATGATACAATTAATGTAACAATGTTTGAGATGTCCATCTAGAATATTGATATGCTTAATATAATAAAATAAATATCAGATCCTGCTGCGGGTGATAAAACAAAATGTTTAACCATGACAGCATAATGTCAACCTCAGGTAACACCTCAGTTGACATCACACTTGCCTTGTTAGGTCACAGTATAAGTCATATGGCGACTTTCAAGCTTTACTGATGGAGGAAGACATAAGGTGCCCTTCCGTGCATTATGTCAGGCACAAACATTATTTCCGGCACAAACCAGCACCTGAGTACCTGAGTAGAACCATGGACGTTCCATAAGCTAGCTGGATTGCTTTCTCAGAATTTTCAGAATGCCAAGACACTGGAGCGGCTCAAACCCACAGCAGTCAAGGGCAAGTAGTATGAAGTCAACAACCATAACCACTCAGCCACGGAAGGCCGTACTTGTCTTGAGTAAATATTTTGTTCTTTCACCCTCAGTAGCATGTGAAATGCATCATCATATGTAACAGTTGGTTTCAATTGGTCAAAGGCACATAGTTATGATATTCTCCTCCAGGCAGCATACTCCAAATCAATCACAAAGTATTAAAGTAGCTTGACAATCACACGCAAGTTTATTTCTATTTGTAGCAATGTGTGTTTTCAGATACATTTTATACATGTAAATACCTTTGGTTGCACCCTGAATTCTCTGGCCTTTATCATTCTTCCAATACCCTTTGTAATCTGAAATAAATTTAAATCTCAAAAACCTTACTTAATATTAAAGACATGTAACATACTTCATACATACAAGATTGTCCTGAACTATTTTTGTAACTGGTACCGTACACGATCAATAAGCATGCAATTGGAGAAATACATGGTTGTGTACAACTAAAATACAAACAAAATTTCATATCTTGTTATAAGAAACAAAGTTTTTGTTTAGAATCAATAAAAAACTACAGTTAAGTTTAGAATCAATTTAGATTTTTTTCAGCTCTTTGTCTTATACAAACCATGATTACTGGTTATTGATTTCTTAACCAGTCTTTTGCTAAAAGCTTTAATTTGCGGAAGTGCCCATTATCAATTTTGCATACAAATTCTCCCCCTTACTTAAAGTGTTATATACCCTTCCCGAATACCTCTACTGTGATACTTTCTCCCCATTTTTCCTCCAGTGTTATACTCCCTCCCCCTTTCCTCCAGTGTTATACTCCCTCCCCTTTCCTCCAGTGTAATACTCCTCCCCCTTTCCTCCAGTGTAATAATCTCCCTCCCCTTTCCTCCAGTGTTATACTCCCTCCCTTTCCTCCAGTGTTATACTCCCTCCCCCTTTCCTCCAGTGTTATACTCCCTCCCCCTTTCCTCCAGTGTTATACTCCCTCCCCCTTCCCTCCAGTGTTATACTCCCTCCTCCCCCTTTCCTCCAGTGTTATACTCCTCCCCCTTTCCTCCAGTGTAATACTCCCTCCAACATTTCTGTAGTGTAATAATCCCCTCCCCCTTACCTCTCGTGTGACACTCCTTCCACACAATATCTCTAGTGTAATACTCCATCCTCACATTACCACTAGTGTGATATCCCTTCTCCAGTTCCTGATTCCTTAACATTAGAATTATTCTCCCTCCTCTCCTTATCTTCAGTGTGACACTCACTCCCCTTACCTAAATATTATACTCCCTTTCTCTTACCTCCAATGTTATACTCCCCCCTCTCCTCTTACTTACCTCTAGTGTTACACTCCCTCCTTTATCTTCACGGAAACATTTCCTCACACAATCACATACCATGTCAGAGATCTGAAATATCATCAAAATTTATTCTCAACTTTCAGGTCTAGTATAAAATGCTTACAGGATATAAGATAATGATAGCAAATACATTCATACTCAATGTAAAATTAAGCAAATGAACATATACTCCCCTCAAATTTAATATCAGTATGAAGGTAGCAAGCCACAGTGCCTCGGGATACTAATTCTTTTATTTTTGTGTAGGTCATGCATCGGATTTTCAGGTATAGTGCTGGAGATACTCATGTATTAATTCATGCATCAGCAGACCCCAGAGTGGATCAACCGAGCTTCCATAAGCTTGCTGAATATTTAATAACCTCATCAGTTATTCAGAACAGTGTAATAAAAGACAGGGTTTAAGCAACTGGGTTGTCAGTCAGTCTGTTGCATTTTTTCTTGTCCAGACCATACATCCCTTTATATCTATATTGTAAATAGTAGTATACTCATATATGATTCAGCTTCATGCATGTTACTAACTAAAATGTAACAAGGAACACAGCAAGCCTAGTTATTCATTATTTCATAATATTATCTTTTTACTTTTCACAACATAACTGAATAAACTTAAATACATGTACATGCCTTTTTTGTTGTTTCTTTTTGAAGAATCTTCTTTTACAAATAATGATACATGTATTTAATAATGCTACCTACCTTAGAATTTCTGTTGTTTGAATATGGTACAAGAACCATAATAATGTTGTTTCTGTAGTTGAAGTGAGGATGAGTGCTCAATAATTCACATAAACATTTCACAGACAACTCTGTCAATACCTGAAAATATCAAACAAAATGACTGGATTGTACTTTACTTCTTATTACAATAACATAGATAAAATGCCAAAATTACACATACCAAAATAGAACCACTATGTTTTTTGGCTAAAACAGCAAAAATATGCTGACAACAAAATATCCCAATTTATGGTAGTTGACTGTTGTATAACTATGTAGACTAAATGCACTAACCTGCTGAGCTTGTCTTGGCACATGAATCATGTCCCTTTTTCTCTGTTTCTTATTGGCTTTCTCATCATGTCTTGGACCTGTAAACGAATATTTGATCTATGAGAATATCTCAGCAAATCTCAACATTACTTGCCATATCACCTTTATCATTATGAATTTTTAATCACATACCAGTATGATATGGGAAGATGTAAGGAACACAAATTTGAAATTTGAAGTAAATACCTCAAGCAGTAAAGAAACTGTAGTAAAAATAAATATTTTACCGCACAAAAAACATTAACCAGAAATTTAGATGCGGAAATGGTCAACAATGCTGGGATATGACAGCACACCATATATTTTGTATAGTCAAGCTAAAAAATCATTGCTGAGCTGAATAGCACGAAAAATCTTCACAATCTGAGAGTTTTCACAATGATATTGTGTCTATAATTCAGTCTATAATTCATCAAAGTTGTCAAATGGCATATGGCCTATATTCAGGGCTTATTTTTTACGATAAAAAAAAATCACAGTCACTATTATTTCAAAAATTGAAAGTATGTAAATGACCATTGGCATATAACAAAATCTTGTCAAATAGATATCAAAATATATTTAACATTCTCTACGACAGATAACAGATGTTACCTTTAGCTGTTTTCTCAAGAAACTCTAGGTAATCTTTGTAACATTTGACTAAGGTTAGTTCATGGTCCAAAACAGCTTTAGTCTCTTTCTTCATCTGAAAAATAAATTCAACGTTTATAAAATAACAACTCTCACATCATCTCTCTTTCATCATTCAGGTAAAATACACATGTACATTGTATATATAATCAGTCTTAGCCCTCAACTTGCAGAATTTCATAAATGAATTTGTCAAGCTTCTATTCCTTTTTTTTTATTTTTGAAACTGTACATTATCAATATGGGGATAAAAATTTTAAGTTTATATATCCATAGTATAAAGTATTGACAGACTATACAAAATAGATTTGATATGGAGCTTTTGGACTTGCAAAATGTAAAAACAATGCCTGATGGAGTACAATGTTGATATGAAAGTTTTGGACTCAGAAAATGACAATGATACTAGATGCTGTACAATATGCATTCGATACTGACTGACTTGACTCGTGAAATGAAAATGAGGATGAATTGACAAGATTAAATCCAATTATGATATTCAATGGAACATCATGTGGTGCAAATGTTGAAAGTTCATTGGATGCAAACATAATATCTGACCTTTTGATTCTCTTCTTTTTCAGTCGGCATTCTGATATAATAGCCAGGTATAATGTCTTTGAACACCTCAAGTAAAGACACCATAACATACTTTTGCACTGTCACCAAAACGTCTGGATCTCTTTCCTTTAACATTGAAGTTAACTCACGCAGTTTCTTCATCTAAATATATATAAAAGACACATAGATATGGAATTTTAGATAAAAATATATGGCTCAAATCTAAAACCTGGACAAGTTTTTTTAAAGACGTTTAGCATGGCAATTCTCATTCTAAAAATGCATAAATTCTACAATTAAGGAAGATGTCAGAATAAACCAACATTACAAACATTTTAATTTATGTGTCTGCAAGAAACATAATATTTACTTTTCAGATCAAAACCCAGTATGCTAAGATTTTACTATTATCACATGTCAGGGGCAAGAAATTGTTTCCTTGAGCAAGGAAATTCATAGTCATTGCTTAGTACTGGTTGGTTTCAGGAACAGATTTGATAACCACCTATAAGCCTACGACTTTAAGCATATTCAAACTAAAGTACATTGTAAATTCTGTATAAACCAATATTATCACACAGTTTCAAATAGAGTTCTCAGTAGCAAACAGAATTGAATATAGTAAAGACAACATAGATGGGGTACAGTGAAGGATCACAATACCAATTAATTAGTAGATATTTTATTCTCCATAGATTAAAGGCAAGTTAAAATCCAACTAATACATACATTTTCATCTGGGTTTGAAATCAAAGCACTAGATAGGGCAGCAATTTTTTGTTTCCTCTCTATCAATTTCTTCTGCCGATTCACATATAAATCAACTCCATTCAAGACTGGCAGAGATTTCTTAGTCTCTGGTAATTCTTCAAAGTTTTCTTCCTTAATTTGTTCTGTGCTGATCTCAGTGTCATCGTCTATCTCCAATTCTGCAATAACAAGTTAACCAGCATTTATGCACAAATATGCAAAAATAGAATTCTTTACATGGCATGAGTTATGTTCAATACTGTTTACATGAATCTTTGGAATGATGAAATAAAACTTCTCTGAATCTTGAAAATGTTTCATTTTTACAGTTCACAGTTCAACCACTGGAAAGAATGTTTTAAGCACAAAAAATCAACGATGAGTAATTTACTATCCATGGGAAATGCCCATGAAAATTTCACAATTTCAGGCTTATTACTTCTATAGTTACTGACTCGACAAGGTTTTAACACAGTGTTACTGCAACTTTGACTTTTGACAAAATGACCTCAAATTCTATAGGGGTCATCTACCAATCATGACCAACTTCAAAATGAAATCTTATGACTGCAGGCCAAAACGTACATAAATGCATGAGATATGTTTCATTTACCATCAACAGTATGTACATGTAAATATGTGAAGTGATATTTACAATCAAGAATACATAGCCAACATATGAAAATATTTATCATCAAGTGTATGTTGTTAATGTGTGCGATGATAAATAATAATTTTCCATCAAGAGTATATTGTTCAATGTACATGTATGAGATAATATTTACCATCGTCTATCATTTGGGGTATGAGGCCATGTTTTGTTTTAATTGGAAGCATCATCTTCTTGGCAGATGATGTCAGTTTCCGTGGCAACTGTTCATAATCTTCTTCATCCCCATCTGTTTCATCTTTAGTTCTCTTTCTTCCCCTTTTATTGTCATCATTACCAAGCACCCTGTAAAATGCAGCAATTTTTAATTAATATTTTGACTTCTTATACATGCATTAATACAAAGTATATACAGAAAATACATGACTGATGAGCAGGTAATCCACCAGGCATTGGAAAATATTTCCAAAGTCATTCGTCCTGCAGGACCAGTAGCTTCTAAATTCAATGACTGCAGGCAACAGTTTTCTACTTGTCATGCATCAAGTTCCCTTAAATTCTACTTGTAATCACAATCGGACAAGTGGAATTTTCGATCTCTGTCCATGACACATTTTTTGTAACCTTCAAAACATTTATTTGTATTTGATTGGCAGGTAGGTAAATTCATATTTTTCCTGTCAGACTCATCATCACTATCAATGCTATTTTGCAGCATCAGATGCGTAGACAACCTGCAATTGCAGACTTCTCAAATGTGTCAAAGTCTTTTCTATATAATAAACTTCAATATGTAATATTTAATTTCTCCTCAACTGCATAGCCGCCAAAATTGCATGCTTATCTTTAACTAGGAAATTTATTTGTTCCAAAATGGCTACAATTCAGTCCAAATCCATACATGCTTGAGTAAGGGGTCTTGGACAACATTATTATCCCAAACATGTGTCCTAGTTTTCAAATGAATTTTTTGGTTATATCTCTGTGATTGATCATCCTAACTAACTTTCCTGGATAATGAACCAGTAGTTACCAATTTCTCCGAAAGTGACTAACTACTAACCCCATCAGCTGTGAAAGTTAAATGACCATAAGAATTTGATGTTCAATAGTAATTTGTCTCACCGCTAATTCAGAATAACCTACAGTACAATCCCAATACAAGACATGAGCAAAGCTTCATGGGAATACATTTAGTAGGGAAGGAGATTGATTAAGCATGCAAGGAACTTTGTAAGTTCACAAAGGGCTATTAATCAGTCAAAACTGTGCAAATGTTTTGAGCCTTGGGCAGAGATGCACAGGTTAGTAGCAGAGTTCCACTAAGGCACTATTCTTCAAGCTTATCAGGTATTGAAAGTGTTTTAATACCGTCACTATATTTTCTAGTGTGTTTGTACCGTCACAACATTTTCTAGTATACACCTATCTAAGACATTGTTATTCAGATTGTAACCAAATGCCTGACCCTTTTTCTTTCCATTGATCTATCTAAAATTACATGTAAGTACTTACTAACTTATATTTATATATCATAATCAGATGTATATTTGCTAGAAAACATTTACATGTACATACCTGTTGCTTATTGCTGATATGAAACTGTTTCCAAGTCGATTACTGCTGTAGAAACTAACATCTTCTTCTGTTATATCCTCAGATGCTGCATGTACGTTAGCAACTGCATCATTGACTTCATTGTTGTTTCTTTTATTTTTCAACTTTTCTTGTCTTTTTTGTTTTAATTTCTTTTGTAGGGACTCCTGTTTTAGTTTTCCTTGTTTTCCAAGTTTGTTCAAGTGTTTATTTGACAATTTAATAGCACTGGTCTTTGACTTGTTCTTCCTCTTCTTTCCTTGTACCTTCTTCATCTATAATTAAATTACATGCTGTTAAAAAATATGGGAAATGCAACTTTCATTTTCAATATCATATGACATTAATTAAGGAGGATTCTTGGCAAGTTTTCATGGGTTTTAGCACTGATTTTAAAGCATTCATTTTTTAAGTCATTATTTTGGCAGTTTTTTTAAAATAGGCAAGAAAATAGTGATGCAGATTTCCAAGGGCTAAGTAAGCCCTTTGAAATCAATGTTTCTTAGAGGTACCTCGATATGGTGATATACCAGTTAAATGCAATGAAGCGTCAGGTAAAACTTACTGTGGTACAGAACTATTGTACCGCAATATTTCCTTTAAAAAAAAGTATTTCTTGGTTTGATCAATATATACAATCATGTATGTTAACTTTTTCAAGTCATGTAAAATATCTAAGAATTGCTGTCGCAAATTGTTTAATTTGGAATAGATGAGCTTGAACTTTTTTTCTCTCTACATGACTCCCCATACCCTTAAGTGGTTGGGGCATAAAAATGACATCCAGCAGAAAAGTATGACAGACAAAGGAAACTCTACATGACTTCCCATACCCTTAAGACTTTTAGTGGTTGGGGCATAAAAATGACATTCAATATTTAAATCAATTTTTCAATGTTGACATCTTGATTTTTCCCAAATTTTTACTAAGTCTTGGGCAATTACTCTACAAATACTAATAATAAACCGTTACACCCTATTAAGGTTTTTATTATTAGTATAAATTAACCACTTACTAATTATTAATTTGGAAAAAGTTCAAATTGTTCAGATTTTAAAAAGAACCGATAAATCTAAGGCCGAAATAACTTTGGTTTTTGGAACATTGGTTTCGAAACGTCTCGGGTCCGAGATGACTCGAGTTCGATTTTGCATGGGGCGAATGTCTGTATTTTACATAAATGTAATTTTTCTTGATAAATGACTCTCTGAAAAGCGTGTAAATACGATATATACATAAATATAAGTTTTGCGTTTAAAAGTCAACAGTGATTATTCGATATCGATACATATAGAAGCAAATACCCTTATTCCACGTGAATTTATTTATTTTCGTTTCAAGCTACTTCCCGGTTTCTCTGTATTTATTGGTCATGTCAATGGGGACCAGAAAACGGAACGGTATAATTTGGAGACAGACTATGCAGTCGCCTTTGAAACTGGGGTAGCCGGTCGTCATTCTCACAAATGATATCTGAAAGAAAAAAAATCTCTGGGAATATTTTATAATTTCGACCGAGAAGGAATTTACAGACAATATATAAATAAAAAGTAGTAAAATTATTTTGACGTTTAGAATGGCAATTATGCACCAGAAATGCATTTTGATAATTGTCTTCCTTAAAAGCTTTCTATACTGTTGTAAGTTTCCAAAAGATTACCCATTGGCCAATTATCTGAACGATCATGCATTTACACATGTTATATATTTAAAATAAACATACATAATTTAAGTGAATAAATATTTCGTATGGAAGTAAAAATACTACTTTGTTTACATTTTTGCTACTTAAATTATAACAAATAATTCCACACTCATTTCTACATTTTTAAAATGCTCTTAAACTATGCTCATGTTTGCCCTTTTCTAAAGTAGGAAAAATTAATTTCTCCTGAGGTATAATGTACAAATGTCAATTTGTTTTTTGTTCTGAGCTTTTTTTACAATTCTAAAATAATAAACAAAAGTATTGCCGATTTGATACCACATAATACTGCAATGAAGCAAATACTTAAAAATGTGATTCAGACACTGGTTTACCGCATGTAAGGGGTAGAAAAGTACATGTACTGCAAGTGTTATTGTGACAGAACACAACAGTCGCCTTTGAAACTGGAGTAGTCAGTCGTCATTCTCACAAATGATATTGGAAAGAAAAAAATCTCTGGGAATATTTTATTTAGGATTAAAATATAAACACATGATGCAAACAACTCTAAAATAAACTATTTAAAACTATTTAATGGGTGGAACTAAAATACCACAAATATAACAGAATTGTCGTATTTAACGACCTTCAAGAAAAAAATCATCTCTGAGGGAGAGTTACACATGTACCCAAACATACCTATAGACTGTTACACTTATGCTTTATTATGTTTCATAAATACATTTACAATATTTTTACTAGATTTTTCCTTATTATTATTATTATTATTTATTATTATTATTATTATTATTATTATTATTTATTATTATTATATTATTATTATTATTATTATTATTATTATTATTATTATATGGGCATTCAATAACAGGGGCAGAGATATATAATCAACGCTGTTGACTTAATAATTAAAAATAGATAGGAAAACGTGAAACAACAGCAATATTCAATATTTGTCATTTTAAGGAAAATTTCAAGGAAATTCGGTAGCCAGGTCGCCATTTCAACGAATGTTCTTAAAAAGCAAACACTTTCTGGAAAGATTGTCAGAAGATTTAAATTATAGATATGTCTCAGAAGCCGTATGTCCAAATGATATTTTTTTGATTTACCATCGTACTTTTACTTGGCATGTTGCTCACTCTGGCCTAATTTTTAACAATTCCTGCATTATTTTCAAATTCCGACGTTACGTGATATATCAGAGACATAGATAACAGAGATAGGCAACTTCCTAACCAGTTAAAATATCACGCGTGCCTGCTAAACTTAAAACTTGTAGCAAGTAAAACTTATTAACCAGATATCAAAATCAGGAAAATAATACATTTTCTGAAAGCTTATGCATTTGTCTATGGCTGCAGGTAAAAATATTTACAGTTCCCATTTAAATAAATGATACATCAATATTTAAAGAGAACTACTTAATAACTTTTGTTACAAAACTATTCATATGACGAAAAAACTGGCTCAGTGGGTATGTTCTGCTATGTTTTTTTAAGTGAAAGGCATGAAAAGTTACCAACATTTTAACATGCAGCAATAGATAAAAGATTTACCTTTCCAATGGTATATAATATTAAAGGATCAAATGTTCATCCATTAAGTTTTATTTGCTACAAAATGCCTAATTTTTCACTTTTTTATTGGCACGAGTGATATTTCAATGAGTATATAGGAGCTGCTTATCTCTGTTAGCTATGTCTCTGGATATATACTTCATTTCTCTTAAACTGCGGATTCTATGATCCCAGGATATTTACATTTTCAGCTTTAAATTTGCCTGCGCTACCTTTTTATAAAGTTCTGTTACTTTAAATAACATGGTATGGTTTCCACTCATTGTACATAAAAGTGTCATGGAAAAATGTTGTAAATTCAAATATGCGCGGTGTTACTCACTCTGACATAATTATCATCTGTTAGTGAAACTAGAAATTTGGAAATCCAATCCAGTCGAACTCGTATACTATTTTTTCTTTGATCAAATCTGGGACTGAAAGTTACATACATTTGTAATTAGTCCCAATTTTTACTTAGGCCTTTGTATATAAATGTCCTTTTAAAAAAGGGAGGCGGGGTTTTCTTGCTTGTTTCTGACATTTATACAAGTGATGAGCCAGCAGAGCTGAACCCACCAGGTGATTGTGAGGTGGTATGGTGCAAAATCAAGGTAAAAGGAGTCCAAGACCTGTATGTTGGTGCTTTCTACAAGCCTCCATCCAAGACAACCCCTGAATACCTTGACATGCTTGACACCTGCCTTTCGCGGATACCCAGGGGTGCGCACTTATGGTTGGGCGGCGACTTTAACCTTGGAGATATAGACTGGGTCAATGAGTGTCCACAGCTACATGCCACACCCATGAAGCAATGCCAGCAACTCTTAGACATCATGAAGGATGCCTTCCTTGTTCAGATAGTTGATAAACCTACTCAAACAACCGAATATACGGAATCCTGTCTTGACCTCTTCTTCACCAATAACCAGTCTCTCATCAACCGTTGCGAAGTCCTTCCTGGTATAGCCGACCATGACGCAGTGTTCATAGAGTCAAGCCTCCGCCCCATGAGAGTTCGTAAACCTCCAAGGAATGTCCTTCAATACAGAAAAGCTGACTTTGAAAGCTTCAAGGCTGAACTGACGTCATATTTACCACAGTTCACTGAAGAGACAGCCAACAGCTCTGCTGACCATTCTTGGAAGATCTTTGAGAGTAAGTTGAAGTCGTTAGTCACCAGGTACATTCCCTCCAAAACCATCTCGGGTAACAAGATACACAAACCATGGATCACCAAGACAGTAAAGACTCTCCATCGAAAAAGAAACAAACTACTATCCAAGTTCAAATCAACTGGTTCCCTCAAGGATAGGCGGCGATACCATCAGGCCAAAAGAGAAACTCAAAAGAAAGAACGACAAGAATATTGGCTATACTTAGAAGACCTAATCGATGCCAATGATCCAGCCTCAGAACAACCATCAAAACAAAAAAAGTTCTGGAATTACATCAAATCGTTGAGAAGGGACAACTGTGGGGTTTCACCACTGAAAGACAAGGGCAAGTTACATGCTGAATCAATCGACAAAGCCAATATACTAAACAAACAATACCAATCCGTTTTCACTAGGGAGGACAAATCCAGCATCCCAAATCCTGAGGGCGAACCATCCCCCACCATGCCTGACATAGAGATTACCAACAAGGGAGTGCTTACACTACTCAGGAAGCTCAACCCAAAGAAGGCAGCAGGCCCAGACATGATCTCTGCGCGCATCCTTAAGGAGATGGCTGAACAGTGTTCATCATACCTGGTCGTCATCTACAAAAAGTGCCTCTCTTCTGGCAGCATACCTGAGGTGTGGATAACAGCCAACGTGTCAGCCATATTTAAGAAAGGGGAGCGCTTCAAAGCCAGCAACTATCGACCGGTATCCCTCACCTGCATAGCCTGCAAGATGCTGGAGCACATTATCGTTACCAACATAATGAATCATCTGGATAGTCACAAGATACTCACCGACAGCCAGCATGGATTTAGAAGAAGGCGGAGCTGCGAAACCCAGCTACTAACGCTGACAGATGAGCTCACCAAGTCCATGGACCGGCGTAAACAACATGACCTCGCTGTACTGGACTTCAGCAAAGCCTTCGACCGCGTCCCACACAGTCGCTTGCTTGTCAAGCGCATCATTATGGCATCAGAAACCATACCCTGAAGTGGATTGAGGCATTTCTCACAGGCCGCACTCAGCGCGTAGTTGTTGATGGAGCAACGTCCGACCCAGCACCCGTTATCAGCGGAGTCCCCCAGGGAAGTGTGCTCGGACCCATACTCTTCCTGGTCTTCATCAATGACCTGCCACTTCATGTCACGTCCAAAGCCAGACTCTTTGCTGACGACTGTGTGGTATACCGGGAAATCAACACGGAAGAGGACTGCCACGTTTTACAGGATGACCTGAAGAAGTTGGCATTGTGGGAGAAACGCTGGGGCATGAGTTTCCACCCAGAGAAATGCAGCATAATCAGGGTCCACAGGAAGAGGAACCCCATCATATACCCGTACTCCTTGAAGGGCCACACACTCGAGATAGACTCGATAACCAAGTACCTCGGAGTCCATATGTCTGGAAACCTCTCCTGGAATCAACATGTTGACAAGATCGTGAAGAAGGGCAACAGTACACTCGGCTTCCTTCGACGCAACCTGCGCATCAGCAATGAACAGGTCAAGAGCACAGCCTACATGTCACTCGTGCGACCAGGCCTTGAATATTGCTCCACCGTCTGGAACCCTTATACCAAGGACCTTACACGCAAGCTCGAGATGGTCCAGAGGAGAGCTGCAAGATATGTGACGAACTGTTACCACAACACAAGCAGCGTATCCTCAATGATCCAACACTTGGAGTGGGAGACATTAGAGTCACGACGGACCAAAGCGCAGCTGACCATGATGTTCAAGATCACCAATGACCTTGTGGACATACCAGTCAGCGATTATTTCACCCCTGCCCCGAGCCGCACTAGAAGTGACCACTCCAAGAAGTTCCATCTACCATCAACATCTACATCGTACTACAAGAACTCCTTCTTCCCTCGTACAGCCACAATATGGAACAGCTTACCTGCCTCCGTTGCAGAGGCCCCTGACTTGGTATCCTTCAAGCAGGGTCTATCAGCCCTCACATTCTAAGTCGCCTTATGGGCCCAGCTACAAGTACCCACTAGTGATATCCAAGGCTGTGCCGGCAGCGGCCACCGTAACCGGAGAGGTTTGGGTTGAAGAGGCGAAATATAGCTGGCCATACTTTTTGTCTATATCTCTACCTTTGTACTATCCAACCTCTTCCGTCTAACTTTCTATCATTTCTTGTATATTTCTTTTTCTTGACCTAGCACCACCCGTCGCGTCATAATCATGTGTGATTGCGCCGACGTACAATGTAGATGTACATGTAGAAAAAATGTGACAAAAGCACGCAGTCTTTAAAGAATATTTGATTTTTGTATTTGCATAGTTTCTGGTAAACGATGAGAAAAACTCGGTCGTCGTACCATCTTCTGTTTTATTGGAATTTATTTGCGATTATTCTGTATCATCGGAACGTTTGCATTTTAGTCTCACACAATGGTATTTTTAACACAAACGTTCGGGTGATTCAGACTATCCAGGCCCGTCGTCACGATTTTATGATTGGTGCGGCCAATTTGGTAGGTTTTAGGCAGAATCAAGGGGGGTACGGGGGCATGCTCCCCCGGAAATTTTTTTATTCTAGGATGCTCTCAGGGGCGTTTTCCCGTATATTTGGCACAGTTTACAGCCTGTCGCTAGTACATGTTATTATAATATGTCAATGATTTTTTTTACAGATTTAAGTGCGTCGAAAGGGTTTTAAGGGTGAAATTTAAGGTTATTTAACATAAATCACACAATGGTATAAGCTTAAATTACGGAAGCACAGAGGGGACATTCCGATTTTATATTATTTCCTATCTCGTGGCCACGAGTTATAACTCAGAAAAAAACAAAAAACAAAATGCTATCTCGTGGCCACGAGTTATAACTCAGAAAAAAAACAAAAAACAAACAATCCCTATCTCGTGGCCACGAGATGTAACTCAGAAAAAAAACGAAAAACAAAATGCTTTCTCGTTTTTTTTTTGTTTTTTTTCTGAGTTATAACTCGTGGCCACGAGATAGCGAATTTTTGTTTTTTGTTTTTTTTCTGAGTTATAACTCGTGGGAACGAGATAGCAAATTTTTGTTTTTTTGTTTTTTTCTGAGTTATAACTCGTGGCCACGAGATAGTGAATTTTTGTTTTTTGTTTTTTTCTGAGTTATAACTCGTGGCCACGAGATAAGGATTTTTTGTTTTTTGTTTTTTTCTAAGTTGTATCTCGTGGGAACGAGATAGCGAATTTTGTTTTTCGTTTTTTTCTGAGTTACATCTCGTGGCCACGAGATAGCATTTTGTTTTTTGTTTTTTTCTGAGTTATAACTCGTGGCCACGAGATAGGAAATAATATAAAATCGGAATGTCCCCTCTGTGCTTCCGTATTAAATAGAGAATATTTGTTTAGTTCAGTGTAAGGTCGGAAAATATTTCACCGAGTGAGCACCAAAAGGTATATTTCACGAGTGTCGCAGCCACGAGTGAAATATGAACATTTGGTGTTCACAAGGTGAAATATATTTCAATCTTACACTAAACTAAACAAATTTTCTTTTTATTACATGCAAAGAAACATTTTAAAAAGACATTAAACCTTATACTGAATGAAAAGCGCGCCAACTAATAAAATAACGTGACGTAATTTACGACGTCACGTCATAAATTTGGTAACCAGTATTGTGCATGCTGGTATTTCACTAAAACAACGTAAGGGGTTTAAATTCAAAACAGTGAAATAATTTCACTGTTTCAAACAGTGAAATAACCAGTTTTATATCACTGATATATTTCTATAAACCACCGAAAAGCATGTAATGAATAACAATCGATGCCATGATGGAAGAATAGTACATTACGAGTCAACAATAACCGCTTTTTGTTTAACAGCAACTTGTATTTTGTTCACAATAATCTTACAAAACACAGAGTCTCATTTTATGTAAATTTTCCAAAAACACATCGCCGTAATTCTCTGGTGGTATTGAACTCATCGGCAATTACACGTAAGTTGAGTGAATCTGTCCTGTACTTATGAATATGTAACACCATTACTTAGATTGTTCAAATGTACTTCTTAAGAATGTCTTTATTCTTTTGAGCGCCGAGAATGTCTTATCACTGATAACATAAGTAGCAGGCATCTTTAACAACAAAATGACCTCAGAGAACAGTGCTCGTTCTGGCACTGTCTGTTTTGACACAAATTTCAAAGAGTCAGGTAGATCTACAGTAACAGTAATATTTTCTGATTTGTCAAAATGACTTCGTAGGACCCCTACATATACCTGGTCAATTAACAGTGTCCAGTCATTTTCTGATATTACCGCTCATTGCATAAGGGGCCAGTTAAGTGTCAAATTGCTAATCAGCGATGCGTGTTTTTTCTCTATTTTTGTTTTGTCTTTTTTACTCATATTTGGCCAAAATATTGGTCCGGCCAAGGCCGGACCGGCCGGACCATCGACGACGGCCTTGCTATCTTGTGGTTCTAAAGGGAGATCACTGCGTTTTGATCAATTACAGGAAACGGAAATAGATTTTATATATTCCCTTTGCGGAAGTAATCCTCTCGTGATAAACATATCACATGATCACCAATTGAATGTCAAAATGGCAGTGAACATAAAAATAAAGGGTGCCACGAATGGCTTGAGTCAACAAGCAGCGTTAAATGAACACAAACTTGCTATAACACGAGACTATATATCTCAACCGAGACTGAGTAAGTGGAAATATGATATTTTTACATGGAAAAGAATTTATCTTGACAGTACAATTTACTTTAAACATGTTAAATTAGGTTCATTAAATTTCAATTTTCACCTGTCAATATGTCATGTATGTGGAGTAATAACAATGAGAACATTATTGCATGTTACAGGGAATCCATCCACATCTTTACTTCTGACATAGGTCTAACCCAGGAGATTGCCTGAAAAATAATATGAAATTAGGCAAAGCCTATGAACGGAGAAGTCGTTAAAAAAATCCTTTCATTCTTTCCGTTTTAAAGGTGTCATTCGATATTACATACACCACTTCCGTTTTCACTCGGAACACTCGACGATTATTACTAATCCGAAAAGTTGAGATTTGTTCCGTTATCGGAATACCCCGCCTATTATCATTGACATACATTGTAAATGGCGGCGCCCGACTAGAACTGACACTGAAAATTTCATTGATAGGTATAGAATTCTATATATTTTTTAATTGTTTTTTATTTGATTTTCTTTTAAATATTCACGTGTAGTCTATAGCCCGGCAAGCCAAAGCCCGAACCCGCTTCGCGGGCCCGGTCTTTGACTTCCCCGTATAATAATTTGGAATACCAATTTCAGAAAAGATAGCAATAGATCAGGTCTAGGATTTCATGAAATTTATGGACTGTCCGTAATTTTATGGATACTGGTTGGGAACCACCAAAACCAGACAACTATCAAACCCGTACGGCCCCGAAAATGCTTAATTAAAATATTTTTCTTTGTTCATTGGTTGTCGATCTATCAGTCTCTTTATAACAATAATAAATGCATGTTTCTTCTATAATTAAGTAATTAAATCTATTTCAACGATAATATTTAAATGTCTATTTCAAGAATGTTGACATTGAAAATTTGGGGGTTAAGAGTGCAATACCTGACCTCATATACCAATTATAATCATTTGCACAGTAAACAATAGAATATCCAAAACGTCAGCATTTGCTGCTGAAATATTGTACATCAAGTTAAAAATAAAAAATTAAAACACCCTTGCATTTAAATGAATTAAATCACATCATGTACATATCTGTCCGGACACATGGTACCAGAGTTTTTTTCCAGGATTTTGGGAACATGACCCATACCCATGGAATTGGGAATTTCAGCGATGTTTCATTAAAATTTGGGAAAAATACATGACTTTAATTATGCAGTGATTAAATGAATGCAAAGAATCAATGTTTAGGATGGCATCTTCAAACATTTAAACAACATAACAGTGAAAAAGGCCTTCTTTTGAAAGATTTAAGAATTGGTTATTCAATATTTTTATTTAGTAACTTGCAATTGGGAATTTTTTCCTGTGAATTGGGAAAATAATGTACTATTTTCAATTGGGAATATGACCGAATATTGGCTATAAAATAAGCAAAAAAAAATTCCTGGGTACTGTAATGTAGACAATTAAGGTAATTTTGATACCCTCCTTGACGAGCCTCAGATTATAGTGTCAATATAATCAGAAATAAACAAATTAGTTTGTAAGTTAGGAGAAGAACCTAGCTGTACTGTGTCAAATTGTCAGGTCTCTAGGTTTGAAATTATGAAATCTTTATGAAAAAAGATTTTTTCAGTCCATAAATTTACAGATATTCAATGTGAAATTTGCTGTTTTTCGTTTTAGACTAAAATCCGCAGCTTAAAACAAGTCGTTATATTGATTGTTTATATAAACAAAGGTAATTAGATAAGTTTCATCTTTGCATAATGACTTTGAAATTTTGTTAAAACTAAAAGTGAAAATTGAAAGTCATTAAATTGTTCTGAATCTTATTATACTGTTATATTTAATCATATAATCAGTAACCTTATTCTTTTTAACCTGTGGTTTTGAATTTTAATATAACTTCTACAAGTTTTGTATTTAAAGTCTATAAATTTACAGATAAAACATCTATAAACTGTCCGTAAATAGACCTGATAGATTTTAGAATCAGTTCTAAAAGTACAAGTCTTTACATATGAACAACGACATGAAATATTCTTAAGTCACAGAGTCTACCTAATATTTAGAGGTGACATGATTGAAGTTTTCAGATTGGCGTCTTTTACTGAACTGCATAAGTTGCATTTACTAGATGATAGCATCAAGTGTTGAAATGTCTTACCCTGACTTGACATATCTCATATTAAAACTAGAGTATAACTGATGCAAAATGATACTTTAAGTCTTAAATTAATCATTGTAGAATGTCTACTTTTAGTCAATCAGTGACCATTTGAAATGTCATTTTAATGAACTGTCAGTAGTTCCACTTGTGCCTGAAGTAAATTAGTAATGCACAGAGGGCCACCTGAGGTCTCCCTCCACCACTAAAGCTCAAAAAATCGCCATATGACCTTTATGGTGTCTGTGTCTTAAACTAATAAAAAAATGTAACTTTACAGTTGGACAGGTTATTTTTATTCTAATGCACTAGGCTCTGAGTCTCATGCTTGCAGTACCTGTTTAAATTGCTTTTCTTTACCCCTAGATTTTCTTAAATGAAATTGTCCAGCTTTCATTTTTTGGAACTGTCCATTAACAATTTTGTCATATCAGGATAAAAATCAGGCAATCATTACATAAAGGTTGATACATATAATAAAAGAATATTCAGTTGATTTTTATCAATGCCTTTTTTAAAATTATATTTCAGCATACAAGACAGTCTCTGGTGTAAATGGACCTCTGGTTATTTTAGATGAAGTCAAGGTAGGACTCTTAAAATTAACATCCCTCAGAGCTTGAATGTACCTACTGCAGAGTACATGCTGTTATTAACCTTACATAAAGCTGCATGCCTCCAGATAAGCAGTCATATTTCAAGAAAATCAAACTGAAGAAAAATGTACTAAGAAAAGAAAAAAGATTTAAGTAATAATTTACATGTTATGTGTTATGTTACTTTTCAAAACATTTTCAAAATTTACATGAAAATAAGCATGAATCTGGAGGCATGCTGCTTTAAGTTTTTAACCTTTAGTCTGCTCTCTGCAACTGAATATACATGTATCCATGTTATTTTTACACTTCTGCTAGATAGTTAAGAAGCAGACAGTCGCAATGTCCAAATTCAAGGTCACCAGTGCTAAAAATAGATCTCTAAATTTTTTACTTATTGAGCCTTGTTTTTATATTTGGTAAAAAATTGTCTTAGGTGGAGTGGAGTAAGTGGTCACTTGGTCAAGGTCATGGTTACCAGTTAGTGGTCACTTGCATCAAGGTCATGGTTACCAGTTAGTGGTCACTTGGGTCAAGGTAATGGTTAGCAGATATAAAAGTTGAATTTTACACTTTTGCTTACACAGTCTTTTTTGTTTGCTGATGTCTTTTATATTTGGTATGAAGAAACCTTGGGTGGTACTGTAACTGTGGGTGGGTTTTGGGTCAGGTTACTGTAACTTTTGGTGGGGTTAAGGGTCAGGTTAGTGGTGCTTAAATTAACTTTTGTAAATTTGGCTCATACTGCCTTTATTTATTGACTGATATGCATTGGAAATATTTGAAAAATGCCACATTATGTGCAGGTAAAGTGGCACCCATCACATTAAACAATATGTCTTTTTTTTATATATTTTAGTTTCCAAAATTCTCTGAGATTGTCAACTTGACTTTAGCAGATGGAACAATTCGTAGTGGACAGGTCTTGGAAGTTAGCGGTTCAAAGGCTGTCGTACAGGTACAGTAAAATATTACCAACTGTAATAAAAATGCCTTTCTTTTTGAAAAAGTAAATGCTTTCTTTTTGATAGAGTGAAGTTATTGTTTTTGAATAAAACTTAATAAGGCAAAATTGATGAAGTTAAGGCTTTCTTCATGAAAAGGTAAAACTGATTAAAGCTTTCCTTTTGATGAGTGAAAATGATAAAGTGAAAACTTCCTTTTAAATAAAGTGAAAGCATTCTATGTGATACAGTGAAATCTTTCTTTATTTTAAAGTGAAAGATATCTTCTTCAAGTTCTTGATAAAGTTTAGTTTTTTCCCCTTGATATTATGAAGTGATTCTTCATGATACTGTGAATTCACTTAATTTCTTGGACGTGAATTTTTTTTTTGTCACATAAAAACATTTTTGTGGGAGCTTAAATTCTTGGACTTTATTTTTCAAAAAGGTAAAATGTAAATAATGCAATGCAAAATAATCTTACAGCAGAGGAAATGTAATATTTCATTGGATCTTAAATTCGTGGATCCACTTACCGGTAAACCATGAAATTACTGCCCCATGAATATTAATGATTTTTCAGTAATGTGAAAGCTTTGTTCTTGATAATGTTAAGTGATTCTTAAATATATTAATTGAGAATATTTATCAATACTTGTTGATGAACCTCTTTGCTCTGCTAATTAACATAATAATACATATTGAAGATTGCTTGTTTTGAAATCATTCAAGTAAACTTTGTTTAATTTTTTCCTAGGTATTTGAAGGCACCCATGGTATCGATGCTAAGCACACAACTTGTGAGTTCACTGGGGACATTCTGAGGGTACCAGTCTCGGAGGATATGTTGGGTAAACAGTATTTTAAAAATACTTCAATTGTCAAAATATTTACAAAAACACAATTTCTATAAATATCGTAATATTAGCATCTTTCATTTAAAAATATGGCAGAAAATCATGATATCAGTTTAGAAACTGGTAATGTGGTGTGTATTTATGAATCTATAAATTGGGCAATTTAGCGAACACTGTTCAATAAAATATCAATATAATATTTACTTACATTATGTGATGTTCAACATGTTCTAAAGTTATCCTAAATACATATAATACAGCTGTGAAATTTGCTGTATGTGTTACCCTTCTTTGCTGTTAGAGTATGTTTATGTTTAGTTCTAAAATCAAACTTGCTGACAGGAAATGGATGAGATTTTGATCCAGAATCTGATTAAAACATTGTTTTAAATGCATTTAACACATACATGAATTATATTGAAGCAAATAATGATTTTAATGTTTTCAGCATCCAGTTTCAAAACTTTGATCCCTTTTTATTACAGGTCGTGTTTTTAATGGCTCTGGTAAAGGTATTGACAAGGGACCACCTGTATTGGCAGAAGACTTTTTGGATATTCAAGGTAAGTTTTCTTCATGTAGATAGTTATCTACATTAATTCCTAAGCTGCAGGCCAAAAGTAATAACCCCCCTCCCTCCCCCGGTCAGTATAGAGCCAGGCTAGCCTGTGTGTTTATACAGTCTGATCAATCTCTATGCTTGTAGTAGGTCAAAGGTCCAAAACCCAAAACTCTTGTATGTATTTTGACTGATTTATGGCCCTGTGTTAATTTAGAAATAAGTGTGTCACTATCTAAGACTCATAACTATTTCATGTATTTTTAATGAAATCTTTTATTTTTGTGATTCCCACATGAACCAGGCTCTTGTTTTTTTCTATCAAGTACCTAGAAAAGTCAAACACGCTGTCCTACTGACAGCTTTTGTTGTATTTTGTTATTGAAGTAAGGTTAACTTCAAATTGACTGTTCCTAATTCAAATAATCCATTTGCTCTTAACTTCTATTTTACAACATTTTGTAATGCAACAATCTTTTGTAGCAAAAAATGTTGCATTTTGTCGCCGTGGAAACAGTTGCACATGTAGTTCCTAACATGCATAATTTGGTGAATATTATAAATGGGATTCTGAACCAGTTCTGACTTAGACTTGTTATCAACTTTATATGTATCTCCATGGTTTGATAATAATTATTAACTTTAGATTTATGTCTATATGAAATATTGAACGTAGATTTATGTCTACATGAAATGTATAGAAATTCCAGGAACAGGTTTATGTTGAAATGAATGTATGGGGAACAGATTTATATCTACATAGAATATCTGATAAAGATTTATATCTTCATGAAATATATGGTCTAAATTTATGTCTACATGAAATTCTTTATGCATGTTTTTCTTTGAATTAACTAGGTCAGCCAATTAACCCCTGGTCGCGTATTTACCCCGAGGAGATGGTACAAACTGGTATATCTGCTATAGACACAATGAACAGTATTGCTAGAGGACAGAAAATTCCAATCTTCTCAGCAGCTGGTCTCCCTCATAATGAAGTAAGTTATCAGTTTTATGCTTACAAACATTATTGAATTATACCACATAAAAACAAAGGGAGCTTTAATTATTGTATTATTGTAATCATTTTGATTAGTCCATTGCATCTCATTAGTATTTTCAATACAAACAGAGGTAAATATTTTGAACCTTGAAATTTATACGGAGGGTCATTATAATAATCAGAATGGCAAGTTTCACAACTCTGCGTTGCGTTTTGCCTGTTTTTAACAGGATATTTTCTGAAATATACATATACGTTGATGTCTTTGAAACCAATAAGATAGCGACTTGAAACCTAAAATTTATATAGATAGTCATGGATAATGGACATTGCAAAAAATGGAAGCTTGAAATGTCTGCTTAAAGGCCCATTTTGCCTCAGAAATGCTTAGAGTTTTTATTCCTCAAAAGATTTTTTTGTATGTCATATTCTAGTTTTCAAAAAGTTATTCATTGGCCAATTATCTAAAGTGTATCTTGCTCCTGTTGCTTTTTGGCAATTAGTACACTGACAGTGATAGAGTATCTTGTATGGAAATCCAAAACTACTTTGTATGTTTTACTACTTTCATAACAAACAATTTCACATTCTGTGTTACTTTCCTCAGGTGATAAACATCTAATATGCTCTAAAACCAGTATTTAATTGCTTCAAAACTCATGTTTGCCATTTCTAAAGAAGGAAGAAATTATTTGTTTCTGAGTCATAATGTGCCTTTAAGAAATTCAGCAGATAAGGGATTAATAGTATTATATACGGATTTGTTACATGTTTAACTATTTTATTTTATAGATTGCTGCTCAGATTTGTAGACAGGGAGGTCTTGTTAAGTTACCCGGTAAAAGTGTATTGGACGATCATTCCGACAATTTTGCTATCGTATTTGCTGCTATGGGAGTATGTATAATCCATTTAATAAAAAATATATTAGTTTTTATACAGCAATTTTTTAATGTTTTTTTGTGTGTATTTTTTGGCTAAGAATTGATCAGAAAGCTTGGTGTTTGAGAAAAATACTATTTTTTATTAGAATGAATGAGCCGTGTCACGACAAAACCAACATAATGGGTTTGCGACCAGCATGGATCCAGACCAGCCTGCGCATCCGCGCAGTCTGATCAGGATCCATACTGTTCGCTATCAGTTTCTCTACTTGTTATAGAGTTTGTAAGCGAACAGCATGGATCCTGATCAGACTGCGCGGATGCGCAGGCTGGTCTGGATCCATGTTGGTCGCAAACCCATTATGTTGGTTTTGTCATGACACGGCTCAAATGAAGTTTGATATGAAGGAGATTGGGCAAAGTCTTATCATATTTGATTAATTTCATCTTTTCACTAACTTTTGTTTAAAAAGTGATAGTTAAAAGTCAGGAGTATTATATGTCATTATAGAAGTTCTGTAATAAAAGTATAAAGCTTTAAGTTAATCATCAAATATTACAACTAAATGTGGAAAAAAAATTATTCATTTAATATCTTTAAGTATTAGTTTTTTACTTTAAATATATTTCATTCTCATTTGTTTTGTTCTCTAGGCCAACATGGAAACTGCTAGATTTTTCAAACAAGATTTTGAGGAGAATGGCTCTATGGAAAATGTGTGCTTATTCTTGAATTTGGCTAATGACCCAACGTAAGATTTTTTATTTGTTTGTTTGTTGCATTTTTAGCTCACCTAAACTAAAAGTTCAGATTGGACTTGATGATTGTTGTCTATCAAGTCTGTGCAATTAGTTTGCTCCTTTGCTGGAAATAGACATACTGGTTTGGGAGATAAACTCGGCTGAAAATCAGTGTTTTGGGGACATATTTCATTTATTTGTTTACGTATTCTGATGAATCTTGCACCATAATAAACTTCAGCTCTTCGATTTTCCGGTATCACCATAAAAGTTTTATTTAGAAACATAACGGGTCATTTTGAGAGGCCCTGGAAGAGGTACGTAAAAAGGATATTTTTAACGCGCGCAAGTAGATAATTCCGGCTCTTTGTTTTTCTTCTTAAATGAGTAAGTTAAAACGTAAATAACATTTTTAGACATTTTATTATTTCTTTGCTGTTCATTTATGTCAAATAAAAAATATTTGTTACCAAAATTGTTGAGCATTACATTAGTATATAAATTAATGAATATCTATGATAACACGATATTGATATGCAACGTACTATGTAACATATAAATAATTTTTACGTAAAAACACATGCATTATCATTTATTAACGTATAACGAAATATGTAGTTTAAGAATTAGTGATTCAAATTTATATTTGCTTAGCTTAACAGAGTGCAGAAGAAATTAATTTAGTGGTATTCAACCTACACAATAACATATAAAAGGAGCATTTAACATCAGTCTTTCAATCCCTTCCACTGTGTAATCAGCCTTTGTTTCTGAGTTAGCAAGAAAAAAGTGAGTGAATTTCATTTACAAAATGTATGCGTAAACGTCGTCTGCTTTACCGGTAATCGGTCAATATATAAAAGTACCCCTGTGCGGGCCTCAAAATGAGCATCTGCTGCACATGCGCACAACAATGGGATTCCCGCACTTTTTATAGGCATGTTTTGTAAACAAACAGGTAAAAGTCTGTGTAATTTTTAGCTCGACTTTTCTATGAAAAGGGGAGCTATCCTACTCGCCCCGGCGTCGGCGTCGGCGTTAGCGTTGGCGTCACACCTTGGTTAAGTTTTTCGTACCACCCCACTTTATTTCAGAAGTATTACAAGTATGGCTTTGAAACTTACCATACTTGTTCACCATCATAACCTCCATCTACAGACAAGAGTACATAACTCTGTCAAGGTTTTTGACAGAATTATGGCCCTTTTTGACTTAGAAAGTGTATTGAGCTTGGTTAAGTTTTTTGTACCACCTCACTTTATTTTCAAAACCATTGGAGGTATTGCTTTGAAACTGACCATACTTGTTTACCATCACGACCTTCATCAACAGACAAGAGGACATAACTCTGTCAAGGTTTTTGACAGAATTATGCCCCTTTTTGACTTAGAAAAATACATTGAATATGGGTAAAATCCACTTATTGCCTTAACCCTTTGAGATATTGCTTTGAAACTTTTAATGCTATTTCACATCATTACCCCCATCTGTACGCAAGAGAAGGTAACTCTGTCAAGGATTTGTTTTAAAAATTAAGGCCTTTTATCGACTTAGAATCTTGGTTAAGTTTTTAGTACCAGTCCACTTTTTGACTGAACTGTTTGAGATATTAATTTGAAAGTTGGAATACTTGTTTACCATCATGGTCCCAAAACATGGGCAGGAGAAGGTAATTCTGTTAAGGATTTTATTTGAATTATGGCCCTTTTTGACTTAGAAACTCAGTTAAGATTTTCATTCTTGTCCACTTGTTGACTTAACCATTTGAGATATTACTTTGGAAGTTGGAGTTCTTATGTGCCATCATGAGACCTATCTGTAAGCAAGAGAAGATAACTCTGTGAAAATGTTTCTTGATTTGTACTTAGAAATTCCTAGTTAAAGTCTTGTGTGCCCTTAACTGTCAAAGTTTTGTTTTATAGGCAAGCACTAAAAAAGTCCAGCGCGCTGTCCTTCTGACAGCTCTTGTTTAAATATCTTACCAAACTTGTCAAAATTTCCAGATATTGTCGAATTCCAGCGATAGTATGAGATGGTGAGCTTGATTAGATTAAAAATTCCGATAGCTCGATTTAATTTTAAAAAGCCGAGTTTATCAACCAGCCGAAGTTATCTCCCCAACCAGTATCTTTGAATAGTTTTTTTTTTTACATGAGCCCAATAGGTTGAATAAGTAACTAAAACTATAGTAACACTAAATAGTGTTCTGTCAAATAAATACACATTAATTCAGTTTAATAGAAAACAATAAATACCTTTAAAAATATCTTGTTACAAACAACAGGATCATTTATCAACTCACTTAGTCTGGATTATTCAGAGGGACCATCTGAGCTTAAACAAATATTTGATATCCAACTTTATGTTGTGAACAAATATAAATATTTGTTTTGGTGAGCCATGCTGGGCCATCATGGTCCTCTTGTTTAAGATTAATATATTAGATAGTGGTAAGTTGGTTGGGTTTGAAGTCACACCAGCACCATTAAGGTCACATGGTGACTTTCCAGTTTTACTGGTGGAGGAAGACCTTATATGCCCCTCCATGCATTATTTTAGGTACAAGCAGGCACCTGTGTAGAAACGCCACCCCTAAGCTAGCTGAATAGCTTCCTAAAAAAATCCAAGGTCCTTGTCAGAATTCTAACCTAGGACGTGAGGGGCCAGTGTTTGGCATTTTAACTTATGATGTAGATAGATACTTGATATGTATTTTGAAAGCAAGTTTTCTTTTGTTGAGAGAAACTAATTTTCATTTCAGTATTGAGCGTATTATCACACCTCGTATTGCATTAACAACAGCAGAATTCTTGGCATACCAATGTGAAAAGCACGTGTTAGTCATTCTCACAGATATGAGTTCTTATGCTGAAGCTTTGAGAGAAGTAAGTCAAATTTTATCAAATATTTGGTACTTGTATTATGATTAGACTGTAACCTGCTGACTTTGAGTCATGGACTTGCCCAGGGTTGAAATTGGAATGATCCATTTAAATTATTTGGGGATTTCACTATAGGAATACAAAAATTAAGCTACCAATAGTACAGGGCTTGATCAGATTGCACATATATTTAGACTGGCCTGGTTGTATACTGGTGGCAAAAGCTAATCACTTTCAATTTCAAAGGTTTAGAGTTGGAAAAGTTGTCATTACTTTTGAAAAGTGTTGTTTATTTAAGTGAGGTTAAACAAGTATTTAACATTTATTGACTTAGTAAAAATCTCTTTAATAAACATCTTTCTGCTAAATTATGATTTTCAGACAGTTGTTTGGATACTTTCCCTGTCTATAAGCAAAAATGCATTGCTAACAAAGTGTTCCAATGGAAACATCTTGTAATGAGGTAGGGGGAAGGTCAATTTTCCAATGGAAACATTTGGAAATAAGATTGCAGGAGATTTCAGTTTTCCTGTCTGTCATTGGGAACATCTGGTAATAAGATATGTAAATGTTGGATTCTCAAATGGAAAAATTAGATTTTAAGATTTTGGGGGAATGTCAGTTTTCAAATGAAAATATTGAGTATTAATAAGGTATTAAGATCAGTAAATGTCTGTTCTCTAATGGAAAATCTGGTTATATGTGAATGTCAGTTTTTCAAACGGAAACATCTGGTAATAAGATTAATGATTGTCAATGTAGAGCGTTTATTTGCTTTCATTAAGGTGTCAGCTGCTAGAGAAGAGGTGCCAGGTCGTCGTGGTTTCCCAGGTTACATGTACACTGATTTAGCCACCATCTATGAAAGAGCTGGGCGTGTAGAAGGCAGAAATGGATCCATTACACAAATTCCTATTCTTACTATGCCTAATGATGGTAAATTAGTTTAGTTTTAAACATATGATATTTAGTTTTGCATGATTGTGAAACAAGTTCTTGATATTTAGTATAAATTCATAAAATTTCATGGGCATGACATTTCGTGGTTTTATCGCCAAGAACATTTTTGTGGGTATTTAAATTTGTGGACTGTTTTATTTTTCCAAAAGGTGAAATGTAAATAATGTGATGCAAAATAATCTTACAGCAGATGAAATGAATTTTTTGTTTGATCTTAAATTTGTTGATTGACCAATTCACGAAAACCAAGAAAATTAGTGCCCCATGAATAATAATGATTTTGCAGTATATTAAACTAAGAAAATTAGTGCCCCATGAATAATGATGATTTTGCAGTCTATTAATCCACTTCCTGGGATTAACCAGTACTGGCATCATATGAAGAGCCTGAGTAGGGCTCAAAGCCATGGTAACAAGGTTTAGCAGCAGAAAGTTTTACCACCAGGCAACAAGGCTTCTTCTTCCCTTTCATAGTAAATTAAACCTGGAGTCTTCTGTTAGCAACTGATTCTACCATTGTCACTAGTGCATACAAAGATCTGTGCCATCTGACTATGGTCTCAGAGGTTTTTTTTTACTAACAAATTGACACCGATAGTCGGCGTCTTCCCCTCGATAAATAGCTTAGTTTTTTCCCCAAAAATTTTATTTTCCCTTTGAACTGTTAAAGGATTAAATACTTAAAAGGTAAAAATATTAAGTTTTTCCATTTCAGCAAATAAAACCCACCAATTGATGCCCAAAATATCCAGAAACATTGCAGAAAACTGCAAGTAGTGTATGAACATGGGGGCTGCCTTTTTTTTCTTGGCTAATTTCCGTACTGAACGGTACTATTTCCAGAAATCAAGTGCTACCAAAATATCATTTTCTTGGTTATTTTTTTAGTAAAGTCGGACAGTATAAAATCATTCACCACCATACATAAGATGTTGTACTGCAAATAATAATACTTTGCATGATGATAAAGTATTGAGGGAAAAATGACTTTTTACAATATATAGTTTAGTATGTATAACAGGATTTTCTGTTTACATTTTAATTTTTCCCAAATTGACTTTTTTCGTATATTTTTTCCCCTCCCTACCATCATCCAGCGTCTTCCCCTTTTCCTAAAAAACCCATGGTCTGCAAAGTTCATCACTCAGTCTGTACTTATTTTGAAATTATTTTAAAATTTCCCAAATAATGATGAACGGTTTTGTCCAGATTGAAAGATGAATAGATATTGAAGATATATAGAGCGGTAAAGGTGAAAAAAGCAGTCATCTCACTAATAAACTGATCTGTTTGTCTGCATGACATACATGACTTGAAAGTGGTTTGATTTTGTAATATATAGTCACTATAATTTCAGTATTATAACTAAAGATAAATTTTTATCAATTTTATGATGTTAATAATATGTCTTCCCTCTCTCAAAACTAAACAAGTAACATATTTGAACGACTGGTGAGAGCAGAGGTACTGGTAGATTAGCTTCATTATGGTAATGTGACTTTAATGAAAATGTTATTTCATATTTTAGACATCACTCACCCTATCCCTGATCTGACTGGTTACATCACAGAGGGACAGATCTATGTGGACAGACAACTTCATAACAGACAGGTAATAAAGTAATTAGAATTGATGATGTGTTATATAGTGTGTAGACACACTCCCCTGAATCCTTTACTGGAACTAACCAGTACTAAAGCAATGTGTGTAAAGTTCCTTTCTCAAAGAAACAAAAGGCTTGCCTCAGACAGGGTTCGGACCAAAAAAACAAGCAATCCTTAGAAAACTGGTCTGACGTCTTAATCACTGGGCCAGGCAGTTACTAAAAATGATTTTTTTAAAAGAACTTTATGTAAAGGATAGAGATAAAGAAATTAAGTATCATCAAATTGAAGCATACAGATGGTTGGTAGTTATAAACAAGCCAAAAATATCGCACATAGAAGTGTAATAGTAACAAGAAAACTAAGTTTTTACATTTTTTCAGTGATTTATTTTGTATATGTCTAGATTTATTCCATCTGCTAACAAAGCTTTCAAACGTGTGTTGTGAGCAGTCAAATATTAAGATCTTGCATTATTTTTTTTTTATTTTTGAAGTTTGTATAACTGGAGGCCTGCTGGATGAAACTGATCCTGCCCATGTGACAAGTGCAGACCACAAACACATCTGTCTGGTCAACAATGTTCTCTGTTTAGTCTTAACGTATTTTGAAATTTTTCTTAAAATAGATAGATGGTTTAGTCCAGATTGAATGACGGACAAGTGCAATTAAGAAATTTAGCATAGTTGAGATGTTAGTTTAATTATCAAATGAAATACTATCGGATACAATAATGTGTGAAATTTTGTAGATCTATCCACCAATCAATGTGCTGCCATCATTGTCAAGGTTGATGAAGTCTGCTATAGGAGAGGGTATGACCAGAGAGGACCATTCAGACGTATCTAATCAATTGGTATGTATCTTGTATTCTTTTTATGCCCCCATTACTATAGATTTGTATTTGTCTGTCCTGCTATCAGTCCATAGACTGTCAAAATAATTGGACTTGGGTCGCATCCATGACCTTTAAACACATTTCTAAATTTGCTTAATGTATTATATTTATGCTATTAAGGGCATGCTATTAAGGTCGGTCATTTGTCCGACATTTGTTAACACAATATTAATAAGATTTTCATCAAATGTTGCAAGAGTGTTTGGAGTGCAAGCATTAAAAAAACAAGTCTTGTAGGATCAAAAAAAAAAATCATGAGGGTATATTTACATGTAAGCTTTAAAACTTTGGATTCATGTCTGGAAGCCATTGAGCTAGCTTACGGAATATTAGTGGTTCTACTTAGGAGCCTAATCATGCCTGAAATAATGCACAGAAAGGCATCTTAGGTTTCCTCCATCAGTAAAAATGGAAAGATTAAACCAAACACCCCCCCCCCCCCCCTCCAAAAAAAAAAAAAAATATTAATAAAAAAGAAAACAACAAAAATATCCAAAAACTTATTTGTTTTCTCAAATCTTCATTTGTTTTCTCAACTTTCAGTATGCATGTTATGCTATTGGTAAAGACGTACAGGCCATGAAAGCTGTGGTAGGAGAAGAAGCTCTTACACCAGAAGATTTACTATACCTCGAGTTCCTTACAAAGTTCGAGAAAAATTTCATTTCACAAGGTAGTATTTTATGCTAATCTTAATATATTAAACTGTGTCTTAAATTACATTAGCCCTGACATTATTTCCTTGTTTCTAATGCGAGAGATCCAGGGTCTATGGAAAAACAAGAATTGTAATATGAAACAAATAGCTAAGATAAGATTGTAATTTAAATTTGAAGTGGGGGGGACGATCTATCACAACAAAAGTAAAATATAATGGGTGTTGTGAATCAGGGAAATGTATAGCTATTTATAGAATTAGATTATATATATAATTATTTATAGAACTAAACATGTTTCTGAAGCAAAATGATACTTGTATACACTATTATTTTTGATAACTGTTTCGAATTATTTTTTATCCAATAGAATCGCAGTATTTCAAATGAATTCCAACTCATTTACTTTGGTAAATTGCCTAACTATCAGTCTAATAAATCAACTAATTTATAAAGATTATTTCAAACGCTAATTGGTTAGTGTGAATGAGTAAGCATTTACTTTGCTATTCTTGACCAATTTAACTTTATTAAATAAACACTAACCCCATACTAAGCATAAGCAAATATCTTCAGAACTAAATTAAAATTTTATTTCTTTCTTAAACAGGACATTACGAGAACAGAACAATTTTTGAATCTCTGGATATAGGATGGCAACTTTTACGTATCTTTCCTAAAGAAATGTTGAAAAAAATTCCGCAAGGGACCTCGCCCAAAAAATTTTCCAAGAAAATGCCGAAAACAGCCCCAGAAAGGGGCGCAAAGGGCCCCGGGGGGCCCGGGCCCGAAACAGCCCGGAAAAAAAGGAGCTCCCAAAAAACCCGTACGCAGTTATAATAGACTGATAATTGTTAGTAAATTAATAAATCTATGGACTTTTATAGGTGTACATGTTTCTAAAGGTTTTGTGATCTTTTTTAAAGATATATCTTGTAGGGCTAGTCAATGTTTATTCTGTTTCTTCTTTAAAGAATTCCATGTCATGATACAGAAGAAAGAAAAACAATTTTCATGTGTTTGTTTTGTATAGAAATGAATCCAGAACAATAATTATGTATAGATTTTTTTTATCATGAATCAAGTGTTCAATAACCAATATATATCATCATTTAATGTAAAACACTGTGTTTTCTGTTTGTGAAGAATTATTACACTGTGTAAGCACCAATTTTTCACAGTGAAATATCTTGTTAATGACATTAACCTTTAACCTCCTGGGTTCCAGCGTAACAAGCCCTATGCCAACAGTAGAGAGCCAGTTCTATACTGATGGTAGTTAAAGTTTTGTATTTTTATATACTGAAACCCCTTAAAATTCAAATGGACTGTTCCAAATTCAAAGCAGGGCAAATCCATTACAGAAAATTCAGGAGGTTAAATGTAAAATCTATTTTGTGATATCCATTCAGCTGAATTGAAGCATGTTTGTATATTTTCATATAATATAAAGTCATGTTTTGCTGATTGCAATCTTACATTGTATATTTTGATGTCTGCATGACAATAATGTGAAATTATTTAAGATGATTAGTTTTTTTATCTGTTAACATTCCATTGTAGTACTGATGGTAGATTTTTTGCTTTTTTATAGCAATTTTTTTAGTGTTTAATGCTATACAAACTTTGCATTTTTCATAGTGTTTTTTTTTTCTAGGGAATCAGTCTATAATTATATTCTTCTTCTTATATAAGTTTTAAACAAAACTGAAAATCTAGCTTACAGAACATCTGTGGTTCTACTCAGATGCCTGTTTGTGCCTGAAATAATGCTTGATGGGGCACATGAGGTCTTCCTCCACCAGTAAAGCTGAAAAGTCACCATAAGACCTTTAAAGTGTTGGTTTGACATAAAATCCAACCAAAAAATCTGTCTATTGAACGGAAAACAAACTTTATAAGAAATGAAGTAAACAGAAAATAAAACAATGTTATGTTATATAGGACCAATTAATGAATGTATTATGTATTTTATATCATAATAATTATTGATAAGTCTTAGATTAGGAAGCCGAAACTATGTAAAAAAGTTCTGAAGTAGTAAACAGTAAAAATCATAGTTTTTTCCCCCCTGTGAAAGAAACTAGTGTGTGAAGTTGTTTTATGTTGCGAAGCCAAACAATCAGTCTCTTGCAGGAGGTCATACAAAATGGGAATAAACACGCTTTTCTCTTGATGCAGTTTTGAATATGTCTTCGTAAAGAAATTGGGAAATACTGACGTTGTCTGATTTGTTGTGTCATTTAGTCAAAAATGTATAAAAATTGTTTTATTTCTACATGTATATATAGCAATATATTTGAATGTTTTCTACGTAGATAAATTTTGATTGATTTGTAGAAGTTATGTACATTGTTGTAAAGTGTCTTATGAATGGGAATATTAATATATATATACATGTATATTTATGAATGTTTATAAATATGTTTATAAATATCAACTTAATGGTAAGCTCAGATGTGATGTTTGTGATGGAAGGCTTTTATTTTATGTTGATTTTTGTTTACAATTTTTATCAAGTCGTTTCAGGGTAGTGCTATTCATATTATTTATACAAGAATGAGTGTTATGTTGGAACATAAATGAATTTATGAAGTAAATTTGAAATTACTATTGCATAAATTCTTCACAGTTTTTTAATATTTCTTGCAAAAAACAACAAAAAGATAACAAAACACGCTTAACCTAATATAATTAAGGGGGTTGTTAAAATGAAATGAATAAGGATTCAAATTTTCACTGTAAATTTAGGCATCAGTCACTAGTTTCCCCACCCAAACCCTCTCCCCACCCCTGATAAAAGTTAGAATTTTTATTTTGGGACCTCTAGAAATAAAGACTATAAAGGGATATTTAGATGATAAAATTTCCACTAAATACCCTGTCACTGCTAGTTCTGACATTTTCCCCGCCAACAAGCTATTATATGCGTCACTTTCAGACCATTGCATTGACCCTACAGTGTGTGGAAACAGGAAGATCTAAAATTTCTGCTTTTCTACCCCTCCCCCCTACAATTGACTAGTGCATTACAATATATACTGGTATTATAGAATTTATCCAAGAAATTGTTTATTTAGTTTGGCTAGAATAGGTTTTATGTAGTACTGTAGTTGGAGAAAGTAAGGTATTTATTATTTTCTGCTATTAAAAGGTTTTACAGGCCATATGGCATCTCTGTCTCCTGACGTTTGAAGCTCTTTATTTTTTTTCTATTCCAAGACATCTCAACCCTTTAAAGTTTCAATATGTCTTATTATTTAAGCGTTGAATAGCCATATACAAGGTATAACTGCCTCCAGCATTCAGTTGGACAAGTCTTTATCTAAAAAGGATTGCAGTTATTGTTTATATCAACTTTTTCAGCATTTTATATATCGTTCTTAACAGACTGCGCCATGTTTACATGCATATAGTCACCTCTGTTTTGACTAGTCAAGGTAATTTGGTAGAAAATTGTATACTTATGAAACAAATAATAATGTAGCAACTGTTTAAGCCATAAAATTTTCTCATTGTACCAAGATACAAACAAGATATATATTTATGTATTATTGTCTATTTTATTTGAGAAATTTATAATTTTTTAGATTATATATAAAAAATAGTCCCAACTTCAAATTAATTAATTTAAAATGATTTAATATAGCCAGATTTTAGAAACAAATTAAATGTTGTCCTTGTTATATGCCAGTACATGATCATCATATCATATTCATTGAATGTTTTTGTTTGTGTTGTAAGCTCACCTTCCAAGCACAAAGTGCTCAGAGGTGAGCTGTGGTGATGGCATGATGTCCAGCTTCCGACGTTTTCCCACTTACTGTTTATTTTAGCCTGCTCCAAACAATAATAAATTGCTTTGTTCAGAATGAAAGGTGGACAAATCTATTCGAGATATTTTAACCTGGTAAGGGTAAAACATCTCGATTACCACTTCGTAGATTTTGACCAAACTTCACCTGACTGATACGGCTCTACAGCCTATAGTTATATGAATGATTCCAGACTTAACCTTGAATGTAATGCATTATTTGAGAATTCTTTTATTATTTATTACCGATGTATCTCAGGTGAGTGAGCTATGGCCGCTGCGGCACTCTGATTTTAATGCAATAGCATCATAGTATATGTGTAGATAACTATGTAAACAAGTCATGTGAAAACAGGAAATAAAATAAAAAAACAAATTTTAGAAGATCTTTTTGCATTATTTTATGCCTTTTAAAATAAACAGTGTTGAGATAACAAGCAATTATCATAGTATTGCAAGCAATCCATAAGTCCCCTACCGGTTAGAACCCCAGCAACATTCTGATAGGCCATTGGCCATTCAATTTTACCAGTGAATGAATTACATGAATGAACTTAAATCTTTTGAGTTCTAAGTTTGTCTATATCACAGTAATGTGTTAAGTTTCCCTGCCTAGTAAGGAAATTATGTTTATACAACCTTGTCATATTATTACGATGTGGGATATTAAAGTAAATCCTATAAGGAATGAAGACGTTGGAGTGAATAATATCAACATGAAAAATAAATTTCTCGAAAAAATTCTAAGTTCAAGGGGGACATAATTCTGGAAACAGTCTTGCTGGAGTATTTAACCTTCTCAAAAATGTTGAGTGATAATATTATAAGAAACATATATATGAAGTTTGAAGTAGATACATTAGGAAATAAAGAAGTTATTTAAAAGACATTTTTTTTCATAAAAATTCTAAGTTCAAGGGTGGTAATACTGATAATTTTTGTGCTAGAGTTGTAAACCTTGTCACATATGATGTGGTTTATGACCAGAAACTAATATTTAAAGTTTGAGGTAAACACCTTAAGAAATAAAGTACTTTTAGTGAAAAAGCTGAAAAATTTAAATAAGAAATCTTGAAATTCAGGCTATTTGTTGCCATAGCAACCAGAATTTTCAACATAGGAAGAAAAGAAAAAGATGTGCATAATCCCCAGACGGCCATCTACCTATATTTCAAGTTTCATAAAAATATTTTCAGTACTTTTTGAGTTATCACTGGATCCAGTTTATGTGTTAAATTTGCCATATTTTCAGACTATTTGTTGCCATAGCAACCAGAATTTTCAACATAGGAAGAAGAAAAAAAGACGTGCATAATCTCCATACTGCCATCTATCCATATATCAAGTTTCATAAAAATATTTTCAGTACTTTTTGCGTTATCGTGGGATTCAGTTTTGTGGACTGACAGACAGACGGAGGGAGGGTAAACCTAAAGTCCCCTCCGGTTAAACCGGTAGGGGACTAATAAACTTGAACCATTTTCATAGAACACAAAAACTGTTAACTTACCCTTAACTTGTTAACTTTTTCAAAAGCCATTTCAGCAAAACAGGAAATTATTTTGGCTTTTCCATAATAGACTTGACGTTACTTGTGTCATTTCAATTAACATTAGAAATCTGTCCATCGGACACGGATGCCTCCACATTCCACTGTTTTGTCAGTCTACTGATATACTGCAGGACAGTACGACAGACGGACAAAGGAAATTCTAACTAAATGACTCCCCCTAAGTCAAAGTGGTTGGGGCATGAAAATGATATCCAATTTTTCCAATGTTGACATCTAGATTTCACCTGAAGAATTTCAAATCTCAGTTTTATATTTTTATTGTAGACCCGTTGATTATGACCTTCATTCACCAATGACCTTGATGGTCAAATTATTGAATTTTGCTAGTTTTTTTTCTGTAATTGGCTATAACTTTATTTTTAAATTGATTGTCCTCATACTTGGACATAGTAATCATTAGCACAAGACCTTTTTGTAGACCAAATTGATCATGACCTTCACTCATCAATAACCTTGATATGGTCATATTTTGCTCGATTTTTACATAGATTACAGAGATAGACAACTTCCTACCTAGTTAATATATCACGCATGCTTGCTATTAACTTAAACCTTGTAGCAAGTAAAACTTATTAACCAGATACCAAAATCAGTAAAATAATATATTTTCTGAAAGCTTATGCATTTGTCTATGGCTGCAGGTAAAAACATTACAGTTCCCGTTTAAATAAATGATACATCAATTTTCAAAGCGAACTACTTAATTTTTTTTTACAGAACTATTCATTTGACAGAAAAACTGGCTCAGTGGGTTCTGCTGTTTTTCTAAGTGAAAGGCAAGGAAAATTACCAATATTTTAACATGCAGCCATAGATAAAATATTTAACTTTCAAATGGTGTATAATATAAAAGGATCATATGTACATCCATTAAGTTTTACTTGCTACAAAATGCCTAATTTTTCCCCTTTTTGATGGTCATAGTGATATTTTAATGGAGTATATAGGAGCTGCTTATCTTTGTTATCTACATCTCTGATTTTTACTATAATTGGTTATAACTTATTAATGAATGAAATGACTACAAACTTGAGCACATTTTTTGTAAGGACAATGTCTTAAAATGTCTCAAACCCAATTTGACTTGTAAATGACCATTGACCTTAAAGGTCAAATTAATGTAATTTCAAAGTTTTTTTTGCTATAATTGGCTATAACTTTGTAAGTAATAAATAGAATGTCTTCAAACTTGTCAAAGCAATCTATGGGACAATTAAGACAATAAAAAATTTAATTGAACTTTACCATAATTTGACTTTGACACTAAACGTCAAACTTTACCCAACAATTGGCCTTATTTTTGTTATTGAATTATGGATTTGATTTATACTTGGATTAATGAACTCTTACAACAAAACTGACATGGAAAGTAATTAACTATGACCTTGAACTTTATGAGATTGAATTAAGCTTAAACTGTCATATCTTTGTTACTTATCACCATATTTGATTTATACTTGGACAAAAGAAACCTTATGACAAAACGTACATGTTGAATCATTCTGATATGGCCTTGACTTAAATTGTCTTAACTTTATTATCTATTTATGAATTTGATTTAGTCTTGAACAGAGAATACATGTGCTTATGACAAAACAGACATGATGATCAATTTGAATACGACCTTGACCATCAACTGACCTTGTTTTGGTCAAGGTCAAATATGAAATTTGACATTTGTTTTGTAGGAGTACTTTTTAGTTTAATATTCTTCTTCTGTTTGACTTTAGAAATAAGGAAAAGTTGAGCATGGTCCCCTGTTGGCGGTGGCTCATGTTTAGCTCTGGTGAAAGTTAACAGATAGTGGAGTTTTGCCAAGGCCACATCTAAAAATTTAAATCTTAATCAACCAATTGTTTAAGATAAAGATATACTTGTTGTTAAAAGGACAGAAATCGTTTTACTAACTTTTATTTAGTACCACATGGGAATCATTCTTGTAATATTTCATGACCACTCAAGAAATTATTCCTGTAACTTGTTTTGTTTCTACACAAATGGTAAAGTGAGTTAGGTGATGCATTTATTGATACCCAAACAAAACAAGAGCTTATTATTATTCCTTGCTAGAACAAAATAAGCAAACAAATCATACAGGTACTGGTTCAATAGAAGTTGTTTACCATGAGCCATAAAAAAAGACAAAACTACATTTTCTAAAATTCATCTATGTTTTTGCAATTTCATGTTTCAATTTTTCAAGAACAGTTGCCAATTTATCTGCAGAAAGTACAATAACAGTTCTAAACGGTTCCATATCGTCCTCTGAACTCCATTTTTCTACACCTGTATCCCGCTCATGTGCCACAGAGTAACGGAAACATAAATCGCTCATCTGTATAGATAATAAATATAAAAGGATAAAAACTTTAAAAAATTATATCATAAACATACATAGATAAAATATTTATATCTAAATTTTTAAAAACTCCTTATGATACAGGAAGTTATCTATATATATATACATGTAAATAGAAAAACCAAACACTTGAAGTGTGGATCTCCAAATAAATTGTATATTTGTCAATCCAAGCACATACACTTGATCAAATATTTGATAAAACTTAAATACACCGTTTTGAAAAAAAAAGAAAATTTATAATATTGTACACCATTGCTCTAAATGATTTTTCATCTTTCTCAAGTTCTTTTAGCCCATCTTTTGTTCTCAAGATTATGAATTTATAATAACAAATATTAGCACTTAAGGGGACTCACCTGAGGTAAAAACATAACATTTGAATTTCTTACATAAATGAGCTGGGGCACTTTAAACAGAAATATATACAAAGATGGTTAAGAAATATACTTTGAAATACACTGAAAATCGTATTTTTATGCTTTTTAGCTCGGTATGAGTGAAAAGCCTTTAAACGCTTTTGATTTTGGGTAATTTTGTTTTTCAATTTGAATAATCATTCTGGAAAAAACGAAGTGCGCGATTGATCTGAAATTTTGCACAAAGATTAATGGCCTAAACCTACATCAAATGGTACATTTATCTTGAAAAAAATATTTTCAGTCCCATAATGTCAAAAAACCTTAGTGGAGTCCCTTTAAGAAAATTACTCTAATTTGGTTGAAAGTTCAAAAGTTTTTTATATCAATTTCCAATGTGCAAGTTCAATTTATAGGCACTCAAATATTGTATACAAGAGCAATTAAATTTGGACCAGAGAGATAGTTTGACAAAATGGGAGTATTTAATCAGAAAGATCTATGGATCAAATTTCGACTCTACAGACAGACAAGATATAGATTAAAGATCAAGCAAACCTAAAACAACACTGTAACTTTTAAACCTGTTGATACAATAAGTGATAAGATTTTGCCACCAGAATAGAGGAGTCTGACCATATATAATGTTACATTTTATTTTATGAATTTAAATTCCTTAAAGGCGCTTCACTGAGGTAAAAAAGCCTAAAACATAAAACTTTAACTTCTTACATAGATCCAGCAAGACACTTTATTACAATAGAAAAATCTGCAAAGGGCTATACAGAAGTTTTGTCAGAATCAAATTGAAAATTGATATTTTTATGAGGTTCTTAGCCTGATTTGAATGAAAAGCATTGCAATACTTTTTATTTTTGGGTCATTCTGCAAATAAAATTTGAAATTGGAAAAACGGCATGAGGGAATCATCTGAAAATTCGCACACAAGTTACTGGGCCGGACCTACATCAAATACATGTAGTATGGAAATCTCGGAAAAATATTTCTAGTCCTGTCACGTCCAAAAATCTCAGTGGAGTGAGTCCCTTTAAACTTCAAATGGACTGTTCCAAATTCAAAGCAGGGCAAACCAATTACACAAATTCAGCAGATAAAAATCTAAAAGGATAATTTTAAGCAGAATCAAGATATTTTTCAGTACCTGACAACTTATCATATGCAAGATAACTAACCTCTTGAAATAACTCTTCCTCAGAGTTGGAGAAAAACATCTGTTTCACATTATGTGCAGCCTTCATCTCAAATGACTTACATATCATTAGATAGTAACTAAAATTATACTTCATCTTTTTCTGCCTAGCTTTCTCCATTTCCTTACTGAAAAAAATATATATGTTATATGTACATGTGCAAATATTTAGATAAACTTTAGAATGTTTAATGTAATCTGTTTGTTTGTTAATCTGGTTATTTTTATGCTGACTCTAACACAATGTTAGGTTATTATTTGGCAGTCTGACATTCTAACCAGCTTTTCTTGGCAACTAACCAGTAATAACCAATTTATCAGCAAGTTACAGACTACTCATCCCACAAGATTCCGGAATCAGCAGTGCGGGACAAATGACCATTTGACTCGATGTCCGCCATCAATTGTCAGGGAGAAATCTTGCATGAGCATTGAACCAGCCACCACTGGATTACAAGTCTTATGCTCTGCCTATTCAGCTAAGCATGTGAACTGTCAAAACATCAAATGCCTTCTTGTAAGTGAATATGTACTGTATATGGATTAATGCATTGTCAAAATATGGTGTTTTTTTTTTTTAAAAACTGTTTTAAATAAGCGGCATCACAAATTGGTGGAAAGATAACCAACGTAATAATGAAGTCATCAATTATAACTATCAATCAATATTTTGTTGAAAGTAACTTTAGAATCATAATTGTATAAAGTATATGTACCAGGGCCTATGGTAACAACTGATTTTGCCATGCGACCAGTGCAGACCAAAATCAGCCAGCACATTTATGTCATCTGATCATGGTCTGCACAGTTTGTTATGATTATCCAATCGGTATTTGTTCGCAAATATTTCTTAAAAATGAGGATGGACAAGTCTATTTAAGATATTAAGTATGGTTAAAGTTAATTTTAGACAAATAGATCATGTATAAGGCCAGGCCTGCCTGCAGCTTCATGCAGCCGGAGTAGGTTATCCCAAAAACTAATAATGGACAGTTCATAAAAGGAAGCTTGACAAGTCCATTTAAAAATTTCAGCTGGTTAAGGGTTTAAATATTTCATCTATCACGTAGTTCAATACTTACATTAACGCTTCAAACATTGGCACCGCCATACTTGGAGGTAAATTAAGAAAGCGTTCATTGATCAAGTATCCTACATGATGATCAGGATCAGTCAGGAGCTTGCTCAATTTATCTGATTGAGCAGCAGAACATTGTTTACATTTCTCCACCAACATTGTCTTTAACTGCTTTACACAATCTACGTCCTAAAAGAAAGAAGTGTTAGTTATTCAGGTTGTCAACAAGTCAAAATGATAACTGCTTGTACTAATTTAAGTAACCCCTAACCTGGCAACAGAATTCTTCCACATGACCAGTGCAACCCAAAATTAGCCAGTACAATGAGTACATTCATGCTGTGTTACTAGTGTGAAGTCATGGTCTGCACCATTTGCTTCCAGTCAGTACAATATACATGTATATATTACTAAATTTTCCCTAGAAAAATGATGAACCATTTTGTCCAGACGGGAAGCTGGACAAGTCCATTTAAGGTATTAAGCATGGCAAAGATTAAGGATTTGAAGAACTGTAATGAGATAATTGGAGAAGGAAGTAGTTTCTTTGTACCTGTCTTTCTGTAATGTTCACAACTGTGGTAAGTGCCAGCACTGAGTCATCACTATCTAGATCCTCATCATCATCATCATCAAGCTCCGGATTGTAAGGTTGCTGAAAACATGTATGTTAAAATCATTAAATGTTATATATAACTATAAAACAAAAAGTCGAACAAGAAATATCACTGAATGTCATTTATACCCACAAATGATCCCCACTTTGGAAACTTGAAGCTTAAAACTTCAAAAGAAGATCCCTTGATCATCATAGAGGTCAAAGTTTATACCATATACCAAACTGGACCCAACCATACTTGAAATGCATAGCTTAAAAATTCAAAACAATCTAAAAGCGAAGCTCAAGGTTATTTATATTTATAAATGTGAAAAAATATTCTATATGAGAATCTATTATAATTTTATTACCTAAATTTGAAGGCTATAACTAACAAGACGGTCATGATGGTGTAAGAATGCTCATCCAAAATTTATTATTACATTGTAGGTTTAGGTCACAAATTCTTCAATACAGACCTACACTGGGTCACACTGATAAGTCATCTAAGGTCATAGGTCATATTTTGATATGACAGACACACTAAACTGTTGCGTACAAGTGCACAATATTTGAAGATTGAAGCAAAATATTTTTAAGTAAGTCACTTGGGCAATTTTTGCCAAAAGGAATATAATTTATGCAACATCAGTAGATGATCAATTGATATTGTTACACACAAAAATTTTCTGTGTCTTTAATAGAGGTCGAATTGGCAATGCTACATGATAAATATGTATGTATACAGTCTGTAAACTTGGACATTGAGTTTCAGTAAGAGAAATTTATATGTGTTGTCCTATTTATGTCACTCAAAACTAATACAGTAACAGACCACCAGAGAAGGGCCAATTTGACTAAGATGATGCCAAATGCCAATTATTGAAGTTCTAGGCATTTTACTTTCTGAGGAGTTTGGAAATGTCCATTATTAATTTTGGGGAAATCAATGTATAAATCTGAGTTAGCGATCAGTATAGCGCCTGTTACAGCTGGCTTGTTCAGAATGTACAGAAGGGCAGGCTGGCCGGAGCTCTATAAGGGCAGGCTGGCCGGGGCTCTATAAGGGCAGGCTGGCCGGGGCTCTATAAGGGCAGGCTGGCCGGGGCTCTATAAGGGCAGGCTGGCCGGGGCTCTATAAGGGCAGGCTGGCCGGGGCTCTATATGGGCAGGCTGGCCGGGGCTCTATAAGGGCAGGCTGGCCAGAGCTCTATAAGGGCAGGCTGGCCGGGGCTCTATAAGGGCAGGCTGGCTGGGGCTCTATAAGGGCAGGCTGGCCAGAGCTCTATAAGGGCAGGCTGGCCGGGGCTCTATAAGGGCAGGCTGGCCGGGGCTCTATAAGGGCAGGCTGGCCGGGGCTCTATAAGGGCAGGCTGGCCGGGGCTCTATATGGGCAGGCTGGCCGGGGCTCTATAAGGGCAGGCTGGCCGGGGCTTTATATGGGCAGGCTGGCCGGGGCTCTATAAGGGCAGGCTGGCCAGAGCTCTATAAGGGCAGGCTGGCCGGGCTATATAAGGACAGGCTGGCTGGGGCTCTATAAGGGCAGGCTGGTCAGAGCTCTATAAGGACAGGCTGGCCGGGCTATATAAGGACAGGCTGGCTGGGGCTATATAAGGACAGGCTGGCTGGGGCTCTATAAGGACAGGCTGGCCGGAGCTCTATAAGGGCAGGCTGGCCGGGGCTCTATAAGGGCAGGCTGGCCAGAGCTCTAGAAGGGCAGGCTGGCCGGGGCTATATAAGGACAGGCTGGCTGGGGCTCTATACTGGTGACAAAGGCTGAATACTTCACAATCCAGCAGGTCAAGTGTTAACTATATGCCTCCTTTCAGGAACATGAAAACATGGACACAAAATGTGCAATGATTGTACATACCTTCATAACACTTCCGATGTAGTTCTGTGAAATAATAGTGTCTGTAAGCTCGGAGAGGTTTACATTGGCCTTCAAAAACACCTGCAAGTTAGTAACATCAGAAGTGATACAAAAAGAAGCCATGTACAATATAATAATATTAACCTGTCATATTAAGAGGCCTATCAATTCTTAAATGATATTAGAATACTGGTATTTTTCTGATATTTAGTTTATTTACTAATATATTTTTCAAGAATTCTATAATATATAGTACCTAGTTGTTATTTATGTAAGAAATATATTGATTTATCTTTTTTGGTTGGGTATTATGACACACTAACACAGTAGAGACGTCCTAGGCGACTTTCCAGCTTTACTGTTGGAGGAAGATGTCACAGTCAGATGCTCCTATGTGCATTTTTTCAGGCACAAACAAGCACCTGAGTAGAACCACCGACGATCCATAAGCGAGCTGGATAGCTTCCTCTTAGAAAGAATCCAATGTCCCTGGTGTGACTCGAATCTAAAGCCATGAGGGCAAGAATTATATTGATAAATATTAATATTTACTATCAATATTTAACTATTAAAAGAATAATACTGATATTACGAGATACAGATATAGTACTATAGATATTTACCTGTTGAAGGAGGGTCCGTATACCATTAAAGTCACTATCATCTGGTATCCTAGCTTCGAAGTCCAACTGTACTTCCTGTATATGAAAGAACAAATATTAGTGGTGACATGGCCAAGTCGTTGGACCAGAAACTAAGGACTGGTTTATAAAACCAACTGATTGGTTTCAGGAATGGATTTGAGAGTGTTTCTGTAAGCTTACAGCTTCCTACACAATCAAACTGAAATAAAATCTGTATATATCTACAAAAGAGTCTGCTATATTTACCATGGCCATCCCCTGTGTTATAAGGTTATTAACAGCAGCCCACTTCAGACAATTATAAATTCTTTCATAGAACTGTATATCTCTTGAACCACCTATCCCATGCAGTTTTCCTACTCCATATCCCAGAGCAATTCATGAAGCAGCAGCTTGCATTAAACATGTCTCATCCTAGTTTTCCAGCCCCACCCCCCACTTCATGAAGCAGTAGCTTGCATTAAACATGTCTCATCCTAGTTTTTCCAGCCCCACCCCCCCCCCACCCCGTCTTTAACCTAATATTCTTCTTGACTCGCTGCGGATGAGTTGAACAAAATTATACTATAATCTATACCGTGACAAGTTGACCTGATCGCTTTTAAACAACTCTTTCACATACTTGCAATTTTGACGCGCATATATGTCTACGTCCCCAATCGTTGACATTAATGAAAGATAGAAAAAACCATCACTAAACTCTTTGACAGGCTGGTGAAAATGCCCGATCGGCTTAAGACATAAAAATCATATTTCTAGAAAAATAATTAATATGTTTCTTTCTAACTTATTTTGTTTATTCAGCACTTGTATATGATACAAAACAGAAACAAAATTTTTTGGTTTATTTTTTATTTCCTTGGAATTATTTCCCTTTTTTCCCGGTTTTCAGGAAACAAAATATTTAAAGTTCATAAAAATTATGTTATGTAAAATTCTTAAAGCAGCTGACCTCCAAAAGATAGCAGAAAAACTGCAGTCTTGCTAATATTTCAAAATCCCCCCCTCAAAAACATTATGTAGTTGAAAGAAATCGAAATGACACTTCAAAATGTTCATATTTTAACATTATTGCTCTGAAAACAAACAGTTCGCTTCTCCACCAATGGGAAATACCTTCTTTTATTAAACCACTGAATTCTTTCATCCGGGTTTTTTTTCTAGTATCACGTGGTCGTACAGGACAATATCACGACCTGTGCTCCGGAACGCACGGAATCCAGGATTTTATCAAACATATAGGGCTACAAATAACTGCTTTTGTTTTTATATTTGTAGTAATTCATGGCACTAAAATTATAATTTATTAATTATTTTATATAAATGATGACCAATTTATCGATTTAACCTTAAGCTTGAAATTCCATAGGGGCCTACTAAATGACAAATATTGATAAATGATCCCAGGCATACCAGATACCGGGCATTTCTCCAGACCACTGTTGTGACACGTGACCCCGTTAAATGAATTATCCCCTATTTATACTGGCTACTGCGTTAGTAACGTAGTAGATTATGGAAAAGAAAAACCTGATATATGAACACTTTTGTCAACATTCTTTCTTGAATAAAGGTGTCAGTAATGATGGATTTATACAATAAACCTAACTAGATCAGTATAAGTTTACTGTTTACTTGAAATTTTTTTTCATTTATTTCATTTTACCATCTGGAGGTCAGTGGCTTTAATAGAAATGTGTCCAACAACTTCATTTTGCTCAAGATTATTGCGCCAGTACCTTTATTCTATATATTTCAATTAAATATTCAGTTTTTGGCATTTTTATTTTGACAATTCTTTGACACTGAATATTATACCTGAAAACTGAATGAAATGTATGCCAACAGGTGTTGGCACAATGAATTAAAGCATAAAGAAGTTATTTGACCTATTTTGTTTTTTTTGCATATGCAACATATTTTTTAAGGACTTCAAAAATCATGTGTTATAAAAATATGAAAAAGGGGAAATTATTTTCACGAAAGTGACAGTAACCAAATAATTTTATTTCTGTTTATGTCAATGAGTCATACAGTATTATGCTAAAATAAACAACAGAAATATCTTTATAACTTTTCTAGGAATATTAGTTTTTAATGTCATAAGCCCGATTGTGCATTTCTCCAGTTAGAGTCGCTTAAGGGGCGAATCATCAGTGGGGCGAATCGTTATTTATTCTTGTCAGTGTTTCATCATTAGTGACTCAATAAAGTTTTCGAATATACTTGATCCATTGGTTCCTCTTCACTTCCTGATTCTTCTTCGTCATCATCAATTTCATCATCAAACTCGTCTTCATCAATTATTTTTTCGTCTGCACGTTTTTTCTTGGACGACGCCATTTTCTTCAAACTCCTAGTGATTACCTCCCTTGGCAAATGTACTGATAAGGGGAGATCACTGCGTAAAGAAAAGGAGATGGCATTTTCTTAGGCCGACCGCAAAATCGACGGTCTCAGACGATCTCCAAAAACCGTGGAAGACCAGACCGTCGATTGCTAGGTTAATATTACACAAATCGACGGTCTCGCGACGAATTGAAAAGAATAACTTAGAAACATTTTATAATCGGTCAATTACATTTTTTACGACGATAGTTTGTTCATGTCAATATTTTAAATATGATACCGTATTGTAATGGAGAAAAAGATTTGATAATAAGGGAATATTGTTATGCTGAAAATTATATATGAAATATACTGAAATATGAAAATGCATGTTTAAACCAGGATTTGTTTGAATGTTTAGCATCGACCTGTAGTGAGATTTCGTAAAATCTCTGTTTTTTTAATCCGTTTGGTGACATTTTCTTCATTCACATTGCATGTTTTGGACACACCAGAACCCACGACGGAAAGAATATCTCGATGAAGACTGCATAGAAATCCAAAACAACAAGGGGTAATATAGAGGAGAGTCAGGAGGGTAGAATCACAATTCGATTTCCTTAAGAAAAGGATTGAATTTTATATAAATGTTTAAAAAGATGAAAACTTACCCTGCAATCGGCTAATTTTTCCAGTCACATCTGGTGTTATACTTCACATCTGGTGCAGCGGAAATTCACATATATTTTTACCGATGCTCATTTTTGAGATTCATATGGGGTTCCACCCCCGTGATAACGCTAATGACGTCAAATCAAAATATATGCACGGTCGTGCAATACCATATTTACGGAGTCGCAAAATCGGCACGGGTGTGTGATAAATATATTTATTATTACCGATGATCTGCGTGTATTTCATATCATTTTTGTATAACTGAGCGACGGTCTTGGAAATGTTGAATAATTGTTCGCAAATTCACAAATGCATTAATTTCAATATCATTTCTTATCCCTCTGTATTTAAATTAAGTACCTGGAATAACAATTTAATAATATTATATAATAACTAAAAATATATGTATTATTTAGCATCTTTATACATTTTTTTTCGATTTTTAATCTTCTTTTTAATTTGTCATTAGATGCACTTTCATCAAAGATGTAAACTGTTATCTGTGTCTCTGCTTTCATCATTCAAAATATTGACACTACTGAACAATTTCTATTTAGTCTTTTCAATTTATATAAATTTATATAAATTGTATTTAACGATGAGGCCGTCGATTTGTAAAATAACCTACTAATTGACTTTCAACTTTTATTCATAACTATATAAGCCCGGTAACCCGGTTGGGCATGAGATTAACATAAACAACAAGCATAATACAGGGCCTTCCCCAGAAATTTCTGTAAGCGCAACTTAAGTACCTGCCCATTTTCTATGCGGTGAGCGTAAATTACAAATTGTTCACACAAGATTACGTACTAACTGCAGCTCTCTTTCTGTCGATTTACTTGATAAGAACATTACCGACTCTCCTTTGTGTGAATGTGGTGCGAGAGAAAATGCTTATCACTACTTTCTTGAATGCCCTAAATATACTAACCTACGACCTGAATTAATAAGTACTATATCTCAATTTTGTAATCCTTCCATCAATGTCATTCTTACTGGTTCCACTACTTTATCTTATGATTCTAATGTATATATCTTTAAATCAGTTCAAAAATATATCCGAGATACAAAACGATTTTAGCGTACTTAAAACCAGAGATGTCTTAACATATTTGACATTTACTAGATTATGCATCTTAGTTCCTCGTTATTGTTCCATCATTGTTCATCCATTTCTTCCTTCCTTTTTCTAATATCTTTTTTCTTTAAATATTCAGTGTATATCTATTGTGCGTATCTGCTAATATACAGCTGTAAGCAATCAAATAAGATATTATTTTTCTTCTTCTTACTAAATTCTAAAACAAAAATACTAAAATAGGTGTTTGTCTATTGTACCTTTTTGTGAGTTGCATTATTCTTCAATCATTTTTTTCTCCATTTTACTGTTTGCTCTTACATATGTTACATTGCTAAATACTTAACTCTTAACTATTATGTGAATGTCTTTGAATACTTCAACTAACCGTTGTGTAAGATAATGCCATGAACTGTGTTATTGTAAATTATTATAACTGGGAGAGGACATTTATAATCTTTATAGCGTTCTGCCCAATCCCAAAATGTACTTTGTAAATATTGTTCACTTGTTAAATGTTTTTTTGTGAATAAATATGTTTAAACCAAGCGCAACTTGCAGGGGGTGGGTGGGTGATGGAGGATTCCCCCCTCCCGCATTTCGAAAAAAAATTGAAACCTTACAATGGAATGGTGTATTTTGGTGCATATTTAATGAGAGTTTTGACAACAAAAGGTGTTTAGTATTTACATATTTTATTGTCTTTTCAAATAACTTTAACAGAAAAATATATATAACACAAAAATATAAAACAATAATGTTATATCAGTTAATTTATGACTGCCTAGAGCAGGCTACGCCTTGGTTTCTCCAGATCGCCAGATTTTCACCATGGAGTTGATATCGACCTTTTCTATTGGTGGTCCTAACATCCCAACAGTAAGGATGGCGTTGAGAACAGGTGGGCTCAAAGATGCCCTATGTGTTGCTTTAACCCTCTTGAGGGTGGAAAGTCTGTAAAAATATTTCATGAATCAAAATAAAAACAAAAAAGAGTAATGTTGTTTACATTGCAAAAAGTTTGTTATTGTTTTATTTTTGTTTTGTTTAATATTTGAAATTGTTTGACTGAATAATTTGTATGATTTGATTTATATTTGTAGCTTTTATTATTCTCACCTGATGTTGATGTAGGGATCAACAGCCCCACAGCGGCAAGTTTGAAGAAATTGGTGTGGCTGACGTTCAAATTAGTGGTAACCATTGGCAGAATTCCTAATTACCCATAAAGCATTACGTTTGGAGTAGATTTTTTTCATATTTAATATATGAAGCTTGAAATGAAGAGATAATTAGTATTTTCTATTCCACACATCTCACATATAATAGGATAGGACATATCATACTGTCAAATAAGTGTATTTGTAAATCTAAATCAAGACACATGCCTCTATATTTCTTAACAAGGAGAACATGCCTTTCCGTGCCTGGTCATACAAATACTTTGAACATTTACCATGACGGTCGTCTTTGACCGGTGGACCGATTGCAGAAATAGTGGTTTTATACCTGTTCGGAAATGACGTCATTGGAAAATATATGGCTGACAACTAATCTCGAGGTGTATGTTGTTGTATGAAAGCAACAAATTTATTAAAGAAGTAAAGAGAAAACAATTGTTGGCACGTGATATTTTCATGGAAAGGTATTTATCTTTAATGTTATGCCGATGTCATGTGTTTAACCGATTGAACATAAGAATAATTCTTCTAAAACTCGTCATGCACATGGCATGCTGAAGATTTCCAAACACGTGTCGTGTGCCTAACTTTGTTTATTACCAACTGCTTGTAGCCCTTTTATTGCCATTAACATTTTGGGATTAACATAGCTGAAACATAGAATTACCATATCTGACAAACTAATGTCCTTTACATGATTAAAGGCAGTTGCGCACTATCAAGAGATATCTGTTTTTCATTTTGAGAAGTTGGTGTGATGCCCCCCAAAGTTTGGTAAAAATCAACCAGAGTTCTAGATATCTTTTTTTATATTTTTTTTTTATTTATTGTAACATTTATTTCAGTTGGTACCTGGAGATCAATATCTGTTGGGGGTTTTTTGTGTGTGTTTTTTAATCTTTTAACATTGAGTGTCCAACAGAAAACATTTATTTAAAATAAATTAGTAAATATGGCGAGAGATAAAAAAACAGCGGCAAGTAATACCCACTTTCACCCAAATATACCCAAATAAAGAAATATTATTACCCGTGATGCAAAGATCAGACATTTCTGCCTGTTTTATTAGCAGTCACAATTTTTAACACTTAAAACCTGATTGTGATAATCACAGTAAATATCCAGCAAATGAAAAAATTATCTTATTAAATTTTATATATAATGAAACTATTCCACAATTATGCGCACAGACAATTGATTTTCATAACGATTGTTATAACTGTGCTAAAGCATGTACATACATGTACACAACATTTATAATTAAGTTGAGTTTTTTTAAAATAAAAAATCAAATCAAAATCATTAGGCCTAAAAAAAAATGTTGTGTTTCCGGTGGCCCGACCGACCCTATTTTTTAGCGCCGACCCAAAGTTTTTTACAATGAAAAACAATTATCTCCCCCCTCTAAACTCTAGCTATTTGGGTTTTTTCAAAGAAGATTTTTAAGTTTTTGCTATACACATACATGTATAAGGAAAATCAAAGACCCCCCGGGATGGGGCCAATTTTGACCCCAGGGCTTTTATTTGAACAAACTTTGTAGACATGCACTAGAACATGTTTCATGCTTAATATCGAAACTCTAGCTATTTGGTTTTTTTCAAAGAAGATTTTTTAAGTTTTTGCTATACACATATAAGGAAAATCAATGACCCCCGGGGTGGGGCCAATTTTGACCTCAGGGCTTTTATATGAACAAACTTGGTAGACACCCATTAGAACATGTTTCATGCTAAATATCTTAGCTCTAGCACTTTGAGTTCTTTACAAGAAGATTTTTTAAGTTTTTACTATATGCATATAGGGAAAATCTATGACCCCCTGGGGCGGGGCCAATTTTGACCCCAGGGCTTTTATTTGAACAAACTTGGTAGACACTCATTAGAAGATGTTTCATGCTGAATATCTTAGCTCTAGCTCTGGGTTCTTTAAAAGAAGATTTTTTAAGTTTTTACTATATGCATATAGGGAAAATCAATGACCCCCTGGGGCGGACCAATTTTGACCGCAGGGAATTTATTTGAACAAACTTGGTGGACACTCACTAGAAGATGTTTCATGCCAAATATCTTAGGGTTTTTTTAAAAGAAGATATTTAAAGTTTTTTCTTTCGGTTGCCATGGCAACCAGAGTTCTGCATGGAATTAAATTCTTTGAACAATTTTTAAAGGTGACCACCAAAGTAACATTCCTGTGAAGTTTGGATGAAATTGGCTTAGTGGTTTATGAGGAGATGTCATTTAAAGTTTACGGACGAAAAGCGATCACAAAAGCTCACCCTGTCACTTTGCGACAGGTGAGCTAAAAAATGCGATCATAGTGTGGCAAAACAGGAAATCAAATTAATTGACCACAGCAAAACAGCTCAAAACATTTTTTTGGAAGTGCATGGTCATGTTAAGAGTGAGAATATTACAATTGAAGCCAGTTGTTCGGTAAGAATAAAAAAACTGAAAACGAAAGTCGAGTCATGCCATTGGTAAAATTTATTTCAAAATATAAGATTGAAGTCTAGGTTTGGTAGTCTAACATTTTTAAATACTTTTATGCTATAGAATATAATTTACAGTCCATATAATCCGTATCTGACATATCTACAATCGTTGATTGACTGAAAAAAAAAAAAATTCCTACCTACCGACCCTTCTTTTTTTGCCCTCGCCACCAGAAACACATCAATTTTTTTTTAGGCCTTATCATATAACAATAATAATTAAAAGTATTATCAAGAGATTATAACTAAAAGTTTATTTAAAAAACTTTTTCAGTTTTCTGTGATATTACTAACCACCAATTAGCATAAAGCTATAAACAGTTAATTAGTTACACCCGAAAAAGAATTAACATAATTATCTAAATAGTTTAATTAAATTCAATAGATAATGTTTTCTAAAGGGTTAACTGTAATGAACTTAATTAATCCAGAAGTTTCAGTAGTTGTTTTATAAATTAAGGATTAAAGTGCCTTTATTGTTTGTTACACCTTTAGAAACATTAACATATATCTAAATGGTTCAAGAGACCAAAAGGTAATGAATTATTAATTAAGCACTTAAAGTATCATAATTGTTTTTGTAATCAATCAAGCAATATACTATACTACGCAAAAACGTCTCGTGGAAAAGGCCGAAACGTCCAGGTGCCCAGAGTTTTCCACTGGGGCCGATTAGGTTTAGGGCCCAAACGTCCTATTTCCTTTCAACGTCTATAATAATACACAAGATAAAAATGTTTACCGGAGAAAATTCGCACATCTACCGTCAAAATCACCTATTTTATTCCATTTCCAATATTTTCACACAATCCTTTTTGTCCATCAACACAGTAGATACATTTCTCCATGATGATGGTCAAATTTAAAATTCAACATCAATATAAACAACGCGAAAGGTGAAATAAACATCAAATTTTTTGCCGTTTTACTCTATTTATAAAATCTTACGTCAAATTCAATAGTAGCTCCCAGCTTTGCCGTATTCAAATGCGCCACGCTTTGAATATTGAAACCAACATATTACCAAATGGCTCCGACTATAGCCAGACTCTTTCTCACCTTCAAAGTATGACATAATAGACAACAGCAAAGCCAACAAGTAACTTTATGATTTTCCTTCCATTTTAATTTATTTTCGAGGTGATTTTTTTTTCAAAAAGGGGGGAAAAAACATATTATCTTAGGAGAAGAATGTGGCCGGTATTCAGAGCCAAACAAGAGCCCTGGAATTGGTTGTATTTTCAGCCTATAGATTAAGATAACACCCTTGACCGTTAGCAAAATCGGTTGTTATCATTGACACATCTGTTACCTCAGATGCCAAAATTAAAACCATGAACAGACCTTTTTGTTATGGACAAGTTCATAGTGTCAGTGTTTTTTTTCACCAAAATTTTCGGCGAAATTCTCCCTATTCCCCACTCAAAATAGTATGTTTTTTTCCCCCCTCAAAGCTGAAATTTCCCCCTATAATATGGCAGCCCAAGTTTGCCTGCAATAAATATCATTTTTTTGCAACTAACTGCCGAAAAATGCGTTATTTTATGCCTGTAAGACTTACTGTTAAGCAAGGTTTTTCATATAGGTAAGGGGAGCTACTCCAGGTATCCCAACAAGTTTATCATGTGACACATCAATATTTTAGATCCGTATAAAAATCCCCCTCCTATTGCATTTTTCCCCCTCCAATGGGCACCGACCCCCTTCCCCAAAAAGTGAAAAAAAACACTGACTTAAGCATTTGACTTAAATATCTTAAAAAGATGTTTGGGTTTAAATCTAAACCTTGGATATTTATGACAGATTTAACATTAATATTTATTTCATTAAAATGAAACGGCATTATATTGAGTATTATATATAGCCCAATTTCAGTTCAACAAAACTTCCTGACCTTAACAGAGCATTCTACAGTGTCATAACTGCAGGGCTTTTTTTCACAGCAGCCCTGCCCCTAATTTTGGGGAAAAATTACCCGGTATATTTGCAAAAGGAGAAGAAAAAACTTTATGTAAATTCAATTTTGGGGGAAAACTGCATGATTTTAAAGAATTTTTCTTTGGTGAAGCAGCCCTATAATGGCCCCTACTATAGAAGGAAAAAAAGGCACTGAACTTCTAATATAACTATGTCCTTTTAACCCTTAATCTGCTAAATTTATGTAACAGATTTGCTCTCAGTCTGCTATAAGTATTGAACAATCCATTCAAAATGGATGTTTAAAGGGACTCCACTGATGTCTTTTGACATTGAGGGACTAAAAAAAAATATTTTTTTTTTTTTTTTGAGATTTATGTACCATTTAATGAAGATTAAACCAGTAACTTGTGTGCAAAATTTCAGATTATTTGCTCAATCCGGTTTTCTGAAATAATAAATTTTACAGCTTAAAATAACAGGAAATTTAAAAGCATAATGTACTCAAATTTGGCTAAAAATCACACAAAAATTCAATTTTAATTTGATAAAAGCACATGTTCCTATTTATATGTTTAGCATATTTTTTCCATTTTGAATAATTATAAAAAAATCTATGTTTATAGGGTTTTGGACCTCAGTGTCCTTTAAGGAACTTTATAATATCAGTAGCAAAATACAAAAATTGAACTACCAACAGTATATAGCCTGGTTAAACTGCATGGATGTGCAGGCTGGCCTTGCTGTATACTGGTGGCATGCGTTAACAACTTTATGTGCAGAAAGGTCAAGGGTTTAGATCTAAAAACAGTCAAAATGCCCTTGATTTGAGACATTAAATTTCAATGATTGATTGCAACACTGTTGTAAGTCCGTCCTTATTTCATATAAGTTACTGCAGTTTTGCGGTTAACACTCAAATTTATTTCAGGAGTTGAAATAGGTGTACAGGCTATCATGACATACATTTGACCTATTTTTAGCAACAGTTTAATGTTATCACAATCTCAGTCGGTATGACCGACCAAATATTTCCCATGCTTTATCTAAATTTTCCACGATGTTACAAGTTTTTTCAACATGACGTTAACATTCTATAACTATCATGCTATTGTTTGGATGGAGATTCATGTAGTTTTAAACCTTGATTTAAAAAAAAATCCTTACTACCGTAATACAAGAGCAGTAGAGCATTGTTTTAATTACTAATTTCTGCATAGTATACGTTTGTTGATCAATTTTTTTTTTTTTGAAAGATGGAATATGTTGAAACATGTGTTCTCAATGGAATTGATGGTAATACCTTCTCTTTTTTTTCTTCTTTTTTTTCAAAAACATAGCCATCTTTAGGGTTCCTGAACTTCTCAAAATAAAACGTTATTACCATCCTTCTTACTAAGTGATATGCAGTGTGAGTTTATGTCTAGACCCTGACCAACACTGGCAGTTCTTGTTTATTGAAGGCAATCATGTGATGTCAAAATTACATAACATGTATTTTACATGACATAATATTTTTTAGGTTTCTAAAATATTTTATAATTCGACAGCAAACTTTGCAATCTCGAGTGCCTTATAAAACAGTCTTAATTTCTGTTAGTAATATGTATTAGAAATTCTTTGATAAAACCATAGTGGCTGCCAATCAAAAGTTTACATAATTATTTATTTAGAGCATGAAACTTCACCAATTCATTAAGCCTTATCAAAAACAACAACAAAAACAACAATGAAAATAAATTACTGGCTGAGGATAAACTAAAAGAACTATTTTTAAAATTGCTTGGATTTCTTACATAGATAAGCCAGGGAATTATTAATCAGGAAAAAACAGAGTGATCAAATGATCTGAAATTTTGCACCTTAACCAGTCCTACATGAAATGGAACATTAATCTTGAAAATTTATTTTTAGTCATTATTTTCATGTCAAAAAACCTAAGTCAAGTCGCTTTAACTTTGATGTTTAAAAAATGATTTACGAATGAATGAATCTGTTAATGTATGTTTCATTTTACCACAAGTGAATACATCTGTATGTTATCTTAGCTAATAGCAATCATGCATAAAGCCATGTTTAACAGTAAGTGTTGCTAGATAATAATGTATGGCTTGTTTGGTAAAAATTAAGACTATATAGGAAATATCTATTATCTGCCGTAATAAGCCATATAAAGGAATTAAGATTAAATGCTGATTACATTTATATTAGACTAATAAAAGTAATTTTTTTGAAATTTTTATCTATTGTTATAAAGAATTGAGAATCTAAGTGATTCAGATAAAATATTTCAAAATTATGAAATTGTTAAAAATGTAAAAGTTAAATCATTTCAGTATTCAATTCTTATGTTTTAATATATAAATAATGCAGTAAAAACATTTTCGCAAGAAAAAAAGAAGCTTTTGTGTGCTTTTAACAGTTTTGTTAATGTACTGTATTGAAATTGCATTTCAGATTTTCTGATGGATTTAGGAACAGACCAATATTTTGATGTCATTGGACATAACTTTCTTGACACCATTGTAAGTGATAAGTTTGTTTACATGTTATATTCTGATGTCAGATACAAACAATTGTTTGTGTGATTTGTGATAAAAATTCAATTTTAGCTATAGATTTTTATCAAGATGATTTTAATGGAAAGGTATAATGGGGGATCTATTAGAGTTTATATAGTATGTAAAATTAAATGGTGTTTATATAGTATGTAAAATTAAAATCACTTACATGTACCATTGTATTCAGCCAGAACATATTTTGTAATTTCCCTTAAAATGATATACTTAACTGTTATGTCCATATTTAAAAGATGTACAAGTCCACTTAAGAATTTAAGCATGGTAAGGGTTAATTATTATATATATATGAGCCGTGTCATGACAAAACCAACATAATGGGTTTGCGACCAGCATGGATCCAGACCAGCCTGCGCATCCGCGCAGTCTGATCAGGATCCATGCTGTTCGCTTACCAATTCTATTACAAGTAGAGAAACTGATAGCGAACAGCATGGATCCTGATCAGACTGCGCGGATGCCCAGGCTGGTCTGGATCCATGCTAGTCGCAAACCCATTATGTTGGTTTTGTCGTGACGCGGCTCATATATTGTTTAACATGTAAGATTATATTAAAGGATCTCGATGTAATGGAACAGACTATCATTGATGATGTTATGGCTGAAATATCTGTTACTGAGCATAATACCATGACAGAGCCGGTGAATATATCGCGGTGTAAAAGTGAACCGGCCATAGTTGAAACGCATATACCGAGGACAAGAAGCGAGCCGGTGTTAAAAGATGTAATTGAAGCTTTTGATGCTGAAGGACTCCTCGAACAGTTTGAAGAAGGTTCGATTACATCATTATTTACATTAATCTTTTCTATATTATTCTATTTATGTACAATAGGAATAGAAATGTCACGCAATTAAATCCTCAAGGCTTTGGTCATTCTTTTGGTTTAATTCTCCATTAATTGTTACACATCTGTAGAAAGGCAATGTCTATCTAAACTGTACCACCACTAGAATGGACAGGAAAAGAATAACACATTGGCCAATTACCTGAACTATCTTTTGCTTCTGTTGCTTTCTAGTAATTAGTACAGATAAAGTGATTTCGTATTTTGTATGGAAGTCAAAATACTACTTTGTTTACATTTTGTTCCTTGTACAAAAAGTAATTTCACATCCAACTCTATTTTCTTCATGTGATTATCACCAAAACCATTATTTAAACATAATAAAATTCAAGTGTGCTCTTTCTAAGGAAAGCAAAACGTGTTAGTTTCTGCTTTAAGTACGGAAGTCAGATTCAAATGTCATACAGATATATTGAGGGAGCAAGATACTAACATGTACTGTTTTAGTAACTTTCAAACCAAAATGAAAAGGTTGTTTATAGATCTAACTTAGCTCGCTAGTCTTGAATACTTTCCAATGTGGTGATATTTCAGTCATAAATTGAGTTTGCATTATAAAGCAACAGCTGTGAGCCTGGTTTAACAGATGTCTTCATTGTAATGTTCGTGAAAGGTGAATAATTATTTAGATAATATCTTTATATTGGATGTAATTATTTTTGTGTTGGATGTAATTTTTCTTGTTTTGACTGTATTGATGACTATTGTTTTACAGCGTCACAGTCGATGGATGATAAGGACACAAATGACGTTAAAAAAGAAGCTCCAGTTTTTACACTTCAAACACCTGTCACAGAGTTGGGCATTAAACAAAAATGTGGTAATAATATGAAAAATTTAATTTTTCTTGTAAAAATATTGAGTGAAATCTTAAGATATAATTTCTACTTTCCTAAGTTAATGTGTATTTAACTCCAAACTTGTTTGACTACATGTACGTGATAGTGCACTTTGAATTTGCCATTCATATTGTTATGTTAAATCAGTGTGACATTTACACATGAAATATTTTTACATCCATCAAACAAAGGGAATTGTGATTTTATTCAAAAACTTGTATTGTGAAAAACCAAATTACTAGTTTATTTGGGCTTAAAATATCCCCTTTTTTGCCAAAGTAAAAGCCAAATACTCCTATGTTGGTGGCTAGAAATATGGCATGTATGATACTTTTCACATTCGTATTATCCTAATGCAAATATCCATTTTACATTTATTCCATTCTCAACTTATTTCAGGCAATACAGAAAAGATGGAATTAAGTAAGGAAATGATACAAAAACTAAAAGCTGTCAATAAGCCAAAATCTGCAGTGATGTTGCCACTAGCAGTCCCTGCTAAGCGGGGTAGAGGTCGTGCGATGGCAAGAGGTCATCCTGTAACTTTATCCGCTAGCTGTACACCTAGACGATTACATCGTGTTATGATGCAAAATTCCGAGCTGAAAGAAAGTTTTGCTTTAGCGGAGGTAGAGGTGTCTACTGAATGTTCTAAGTCAGACACAGTTGATGACGATAAAGTGGTTTCTGATAGTGCTGTTGGTGAAATGGTTGCACTGAACGGTTCAGAGATTAGGAAGAAAGCTTCGGACGAGAACAACCATTTTGAGCATGTTTTTGATCATGATTATATTAAAAATAGCTTCAAGACTGATCCACCAGGCTCTGTAGGAGGCTCAGTTTCCCTTTTCGGGAAAATGAGGGTTTAATGTAGACTTTGAAAAAGGGAGAACGGGTTTTGGGGATGAAATTAAAGAAAGCCCAGGATTTAAAAAATCAAAAAATTTGGTAAAATTTTATGGGGAAGACTTCCCTGTAGAGCATGTGACCCACCCTCAGTTCTTTGATAAATTTCCCATCTTTACTACAGGGGCATTATCAAAAAACCAAAGAAAAAAATTTTTTTAAAAAAAACAGCATCTTGTTTTAACAGGCAGAGGGGGCTTTTAAGTGAATGACTTTTTTTTAAAACGTGATTTTCCCCCCTATACGAGACCCATCTACTTTACAGCAAATTCCCCCGAATACTTTTATTTTCTTTTCCCCAAAAGTAAAAGGGAATGATTTTTTTGGCAGATAAACATGTACAAAAATGTAATAATGATAGTAAAGCTAGCAGTGGATATGCTTCTTCAACTCATAGCTCAGACCATGTGTCTCAAAGGTCAAGGTCAAGATCTCATTCAAGAACTAGTAGTACAAGGTCATTTTCTAGGTCAAGGTCATTACAAAGGTCAAGAAAGAAGAGGCAGTCCTCGTATTCTTCATGTTCTGGATACTCTAGCTCAAGTTCATCGTGTTCAGCGTCGTCTTGCTCAAACTCTTCGTGTTGCCGGTCAAGTTCAAGCAGTTGCTCCAGGTATGTTTGGTCATAATATTTAACCCTGAATCTGATGAATTTCTTAAATTTTGGACTTGTCCAACTTCCATATTTGGAACTGTCCATAAAGCACTACATCTAATTTTAGGTATATTGTAATGAAAATGTGATCAACTGTCAAGTCAGCCATCAGTATATATCTTCATTCTAGTTTATTTTACCATTCTTAATTCTACTTTGCTTTTATAATGTGTGAATGAAACTGGAGCATGCTGTTCAGGGACAAGTCTTGTTTAATGTTTGTGCAAAATACAATGTCGGATTCAATTTAGTAAAATGATTTAAAGTGGATTCTAGGCAATTTCTTTGCTCATTTATTTAAAAAATGTAACAAATAAAAATATGATAACCTCTGTATATCTATGTTTTATAAATAAATGCAATTACGAACGAAAGTGAAAAATAGAATTGCATGAATGAATATATTTATATCTTAACAGGTCTAGGTCAAGATCATTATCATCGTGTTGTTCAAGAGCGTCTTCAATTTCAATAAGATCCTCAAAGTCTCGATCAAGGTCTCGTAATCGTTCATGGCGGAGAGAAAGGGAGTTGCGAAAGGAGCGATCAAGAAGGAGCTTTAGATCAAGAAGTAGAAAAAGATCAAGATCTCGCAGGAGGAGGTCTAGAACAACAAGGTATTTTGTTTTTCTATAATGATTTGCTGTCTTTATTTCATGATTATGTCTTCATTGTGAGTGTGCATGCATGCCCCAAGTGTGAAGAAGTATATACTGGTCCATAACTTCAAAGCGACATTTTCCAGCTTAGGAAGGTGGCGTGTTTCACACAAGATCAAGCTCCATTGCTAAAGCTCCATTGCTAAAGGAGCAAGATAGAAACAAGGGAATGAACTTAGCATATGCATTTTAAGTGTAGATGGAGCTTAATATGTTAGGTCCGTAACTTGTATGTGCATGATTGGATTTAAAAAAAGAAATTGGTCATACCAATTTGGTACTGATTATCACCATATTAAGTAACTGATACCTTATTTGCTAGACCTACTTGTGGGTTAATAAAAAATTGTCAAATCTTGTCTGGGTAATTACTTTCCCCCTTTTCTATTTCACTTTCATTGTTGTATTAAGCACTTAGGAAAAAGGAGCATGGTATCTTAAGACAGGTCTTTTTACAAATTTTTGTTCATTTATTTTCAAGGTCAAGTTTACATTCGTACTCAAGGTCAAGATCAAGAAGTCATAGAAGATATAGAAGCAGGTATGTAAGGATGGAAATGTTTTGCTTCTTGTATTAAAATAAAAACAATGTAGAAAAATTTTCAGGAAATTTTTTAAACACGAAAATATTCTGCATTCATCTATTTAACTTTATAATTACCCTATATATGTGTGTTACATAGGAAAAGATTGGCATTTGGGTGTTAATTGCCCTAGCAGTTGTGATATTCTTTGTTAGCTATAGTTTTTGCCCCGCAATTTAAAAAAAAAGTATTAGTTTAATTTCAACTGTAAAGGGGAAATAGGAGGAAGGAGAGGCAGGAAAACTTTTGAAAAGATTTAAGAATTAAGGCGGGAAAAAAAGGGGGACGAGAAAGAAAAAGAAATTTTGGGAAGAAGTTTTAGGGGTACATGTGGGGAGTTTTATACTTTTATAGTTTCCTGGCATAATTCAGGGTCAAAATATGCAAGGTCAAGGCCACCAGATAAGGTTAAAAATAGAGACTTTGTCCAGAGCATATCTTTTGGCCCAAGGTAAAGGTCACCTGCAGAGGTGCAAAATAAGAAATTGAAAATATTAGAGATTTAGTCAAAATGATTTGTGGGATTTTAATGTAAATGCTCATGATTGTGAGACTGAAACATTTTTGAAATGGTGTTTTTTTGGGGACCAAAAGAACTAATTTTTATAAATGGGTCTTTGTGAGGAATGGGGAAGGGCCCTTTATACATTCCCTTTCTATTACAAATTTTCATTTCCCTATCATGTCTCTATATTTAACAGAAAGAGAGAAGAATTGTGTATGTAGGCGGTCTACCAAACAAATACTCAAGACATACGTTAAGAGATCATTTCACCCGGTTTGGACCTATAGAAAATGTTCAGTTACATTTCAGAGAGCATGGGTATGTTATAAGCTATTTACCATTATGAAAAATATTTCATGTTTTAAACGCATTTTTAATTTTAAGGCAAAATCAAGTTTGTTACCTTATTCTGGAAGCAGGGAGGTACAGTTTGCTTGTTGCAGGTTTACTCGTAGTCATTACAAAAATATTATAAAGACCTTATTGGCCCAACAAATTTTCATCGGATTTATTGGCTCCTAAATGCTGTACTATTGCTAATAAAAATGTTATAAGTAACAGTCTGTAGTTCTAGATTCATGGCAGGAATTGTATTGTATTGCATGATAAGAATTAAACTGAAAGTTAAAAGTTCCAGACAGAAAGTAGGATGAATCCACTACATAAAGAGGCGACATGGCTGAGTGATTTACACAAGACTATTTATCTAGGAATCACTGGCTGTGTGGGTTCAAACCCCTTAAGGGGCAAGCCATTGTTGCCTTGAGTTAGAAATTTTACATCGAGTGCTTAAGTACTGGTTATTTCCAGGAACTGAAGTGTATGAAAGATTTTAGACTCCTACAGGAATTGAACTAAAATAAAGGATGTATTAATCACTACAGAAATAGTGTGAATTTACTTAATTCCAGACAAGGTACACAAGTTCAACAAATTTGCTTTTAATATAAATGTTTATGTTTTATTTTCAGTGATAATTACGGCTTTGTTACATTCACATATACCTGTGATGCTTTTGCTGCTATTGAAAGTAAGTTTTTTTTCCTCATCATTAGATTAATTTTAGTTTTATTTTGATCAATGTGACAGAAATTTAATAATTTATTTTTTGATGTTTCGCTGATATTTTTGCACATAATCGATTACCGTCTTGTTTCAATATTTCACTGTAGAATATTGAGTAATAATGAATTTGATATAAAAATATTTGTTATTTCTTAGAAGGCAAAAAGATACCAGGATTATCTCAATTTGACTTGTGTTTTGGAGGCCGAAGACAATTCTGTGATGTGGAATATGCTGACTTAGGTAAATACTAATTATATTACTGTTTAATGATACTTCACAGGGCCTTTTTACCTTCTAAAACAGGGGCCGGTATAGGGCTGCTTCCCCAAAGAAAATTTCTTTAAAATCATGCAGTTTTCCCCAAAAATTGAATTTACATCAAGTTTTTTCTTCCCCTTTTGCAAATATACCGTGTAATTTTTCCCCAAAATTAAGGGCTGGGCTGCTTCCCCAACCTGTGAAAAAAAGCCCTGCTTCAATGATTAGTTTCAGATATGCAATCTTGACACATTTTATCGATCATAGTCAGGTATGCTTGATTTCTTTAAGGAAAAAATCTGCAATATACAGAAGTGTTGTATAAAGATTTACTGTAATGAAAATGCACCTGTAAGCTAAAACAAACTTTACCACAAGTGTAATGGTATTGTTGTATAGCAACAGGAATAGTATGTTGGAAGTTGTGAGGCCCAGGTGTCTTTTGATGTCTGTGGTTCGAACTGCTTCATACATGCAGCATACAAAATTTATTGTAACTTTTTTCCTATGCCCCCCTCCCCCAAAGAAAAAAAACAAAAACTAGGCCAAAGTCAAAAACCATATCTGGCTGTTTCAGAGTTGTTATTTCCCATGTGCCAAAAAAGAAAATAAATCCAAAAAACAACCTCAGTAATGTGCCGGTCTACTATATTAAACTAATACCACCTCATCATTCTGTTGACTGTGTTTGTGTCTAGTGCTACCTTACACATGACTGCATTTTTAGCTCACCTGTCACAAAGTGACAGGGTGAGCTTTTGTGATCGCTTTTCGTCCGGCGTCCGTCCGTCCGTAAACTTTTACTTTAAATGACATCTCCTCATAAACCACTAAGCCAATTTCATCCAAACTTCACAGGAATGTTCCTTTGGTGGTCACCTTTAAAAATTGTTCAAAGAATTTAATTCCATGCAGAACTCTGGTTGCCATGGCAACCGAAAGAAAAAACTTTAAATATCTTCTTTTAAAAAACCCAAAGAGCTAGAGCTTAGATATTTGGCATGAAACATCTTCTAGTGAGTGTCTACCAAGTTTGTTCAAATAAAAGCCCTGGGGTCAAAATTGGCCCCGCCCCAGGGGGTCATTGATTTTCCCTATATGCATATAGTAAAAACTTAAAAAATCTTCTTTTAAAGAACCCAAAGAGCTAGAGCTAAGATATTTAGCATGAAACATTTTCTAGTAAGTGTCTACCAAGTTTGTTCAAATAAAAGCCCTGGGGTCAAAATTGGCCCCGCCCCGGGGGTCATTGATTTTCCCTATATGCATATAGTAAAACTTAAAAAATCTTCTTTTAAAGAACCCATAGAGCTAGAGCTAAGATATTTAGCATGAAACATCTTCTAATAAGTGTCTACCAAGTTTGTTCAAATAAAAGCCCTGGGGTCAAAATTGGCCCCGCCCCAGGGGGTCATTGATTTTCCCTATATGCGTATAGTAAAAACTTAAAAAATCTTCTTTTAAAGAACCGATAGAGCTAGAGCTAAGATATTTAGCATGAAACATCTTCTAATAAGTGTCTACAAAGTTTGTTCAAATAAAAGCCCTGGGGTCAAAATTGGCCCTGCTCCGGGGGTCATTGATTTTCCCTATATGCATATAGTAAAAACTTAAAAAATCTTCTTTTAAAGAACCCATAGAGCTAGAGCTAAGATATTTAGCATGAAACATCTTCTAATAAGTGTCTACCAAGTTTGTTCAAATAAAAGCCCTGGGGTCAAAATTGGCCCCGCCCCAGGGGGTCATTGATTTTCCCTATATGCATATAGTAAAAACTTAAAAAATCTTCTTTTAAAGAACCCATAGAGCTAGAGCTAAGATATTTAGCATGAAACATCTTCTAATAAGTGTCTACCAAGTTTGTTCAAATAAAAGCCCTGGGGGTCAAAATTGGCCCCGCCCCAGGGGGTCATTGATTTTCCCTATATGCGTATAGTAAAAACTTAAAAAATCTTCTTTTAAAGAACCCATAGAGCTAGAGCTAAGATATTTAGCATGAAACATGATCTAATGGGTATCTTAAAAAAGTTTGTTCAAATAAAAACCCCGGGGATCAAAATTGGCCCCGCCCCGGGGTCATTGATTTTCCTTATATGTGTATAGCAAAAACTTAAAAATCTTCTTTGAAAACATCCAAATAGCTAGAGTTTAGATATTAAGCATGAAACATCTTCTAGTGAGTGTCTACAAAGTTTGTTCAAATAAAAGCCCTGGGGTCAAAATAGGCCCCCCCCCCCCCCCCGGGGGTCATTGATTTTCCTTATATGTGTATGGCAAAAACTTAGAAATCTTCTTTGAAAAAACCAAAATAGCTAAGAGTTTAGTTATTAAGCATGAAACATCTTCTAGTAAGTGTCTACAAAGTTTGTTCAAATAACAGCCCTGGGGCTAAAACTGGCCCCGCCCCAGAGGTGTCATTTTTTTTAACTATATGTGTATAGTAAAAACTTAAAAAATCTTCTTTTCAAAAAAACCCAATGAGCTAGAGGTTTGATTGCAGGAAACATATTTTTGTGGGTGTCTACCAAGTTTGTTCAAATAAAAGCCCTTGGGTTAAAATTGGCCCTGCCAAAGGGGGGGGTATATATGTGTGTAGTAAAAACTTAACATCATGAAACATCTTCTAATGGGTGTCTTCCAAGTTTGTTCAAATAAAAGCCCTGGGGTTTAAACTGGCCCCGCCCCGGGGGCCTATATACAGGTGAGCGACCTCAGGGCCATCATGGCCCTCTTGTTACAGAGAATTGTTGTTACTAACATCATCATGTGTCACAAAAGTAATCAAGAAGAAATCAAGTTAACTTAAATAGTGTCTATTGTTCTTACTCGGAAGCCCTATCATCTATTGATTGGCAAGGGGCGTCTGTGGCAGAGTGGTTAAGGTCTACTTCAAATCACTTGCCCTTCACCGCTGTGGGTTCGAATCCCAACAGGGACTTTGGATTCTTTCATGTGAGGAAGCTATCCGGCTAACTTACAGAAAGTCGGTGGTTCTACTCAGGTGCCCGTTTGTGCCTGAAAAAAAAATGCACGGAGGGGCACCACCATTTAAGCTGGAACGTCGCCAAATGACCTATACTGTGTCGGTGTGACGTAAAACCCAAATCAAACAAACATCTATTGATTGGCACCTTCGGTGTTCTTCTACCTGCCGTTTAACTGGAAAGTCGTCATGTAACCAACCAATACAGTGTTGGTTTGATTTAAAACCGAAACTAAATGACAACAAATAAAAAAGAAATGTAAAATTTTAAGTAGAATTGTACAGCAGTTTTATAAAGTCTATTCAGATTATATTTCATATCTTCAGCATTATAACATTACAACTTAATGATGTATCTTTATAAACTTGTACATGTATATAATAATTCTCTTGTATTTATATTTTTGGCAGATGGTAATAAAGAGATCGAGGAGGAATTTGACTCTAAACCTCCTAAGAGGGGTGCTATGGACTTTGATGAATTACTAAGGCAAGCAAAAGCTGGGATAAAGAAAGTTTAACAGGACGTACATCATTAGGTGTTGACTTTTGTGATAGGAAAAAATGTGTTTAGTATATTAAATTTACAGTGGACATGATTGTCTTGTGTGCTTTGCATGTAGTGTGTCTGAGTGGGGGAAACATAAATATAAAATATATTAGGGTATAGAAGAGACATATATGTGTAATAAAAACATTGGCAGACAGAAAAACAGTAAAGTAATATTAGATGTGTTCAAAGTACAGGAAAGATAACCCTTCTCTGGCTTAACTTGCTGAATTTCTTAATAAACATTACACAGTTTCCATTTTTCGAACGGTTCAGTATCAAATTTAGGGTATCAAGTAAAAATTTTACAGCTTGTCAGCCAATAGTATAGAGTCTGTTCAGACTGTGTTGATGGGCAGTTTGGCCTGGTTCAATACTAGTGGCAATGGCTAACTTGAGTTTATACCAGGGTCAGGGTTAATGGGGCAAAACAAGGGCATTTATATACTATTAAGTTAAATAAATCTAGTCACCAGTATGTTACAGTTAAGATTCAAGGAAAAGCTTGACAGATTTTTTATCTGCCTTCGATAAAATTGAAAATATTGAAACGAAATCGTCTTCCTGTCTATATCTTAGAATTCTGACTTACATTTTCTTGAAACTTGGTAGGAACATTTATAATAAAAGGAAAAAGAGGATCTTTCAGTTTTATAAAAATTTATAAAAGGGCTTTTTGTGTTACAGCCATTTCTTACTTAACAAAGCCTCAAAGGGGGCTTTTTTTTTTTTTGAGCCATAGTTTACAAGTAGTTGGTTGTAATGAAACTGGGCATTAATGTCTATTATTGTAAAGAAATGATGCTCATCAAACATTATTAAATCTGATTGTTTATTTTTGAGTTACAGATTTATGTGAATTTAAAAAAAAACAAAAAAAACAATTAACTCTTGGATTGGTGCATGATCATCGTTTAAAACGGAGACAGTCATATCTAACAAAAATTATGTGCAACTACGTTTGTTTATATTTAACTGTAACTGTTTAATATTTTTTAAAAACCCGAGATCAGTAATTCAATAAATATTTTTGTAAGATCTTTAATTGCTTTATATATACATTTTACAATTACCATTGTCAAATGAAATTGAGTAAAGTGTTTAAATCATGTCCATTCCTGGTGTACTTGTTTTTTCGTTAAATTTGAAAATTTGAGCAACAATTTGCCTTCTATCAGTCTATCACGACACTTGAATAATTCTTATACCTCAAATAAATGGCCACCGTGGAGTTGCGTACAAATTTAGTATATTGCTTGTTGGATTTTTGTTTTGTTTTTGTTTTACTTCCATTTTGATACATTTATTTACATAGCAATAGAATCCACGAAACTTACATTAACAGCACATCAATAGACCTGTCCTATATAAGAGAATACATTTGTACATTTTGGGGTTTTACTTTTGCATTTATATTTTTGTTTATGTACGACTTTATAGACTAAACATTTCTGATTTTTTTACCCCCTTGTTAAATAATCCGTAGACAAATCTGTTATTGTTTTCAGTCATTTCACCTTAGTGCAATAACTGGTTAACTCCTATGGAATTTAGAAGGACTTAGCCTGTTAGTGCATTAAGGTGATGATTTGTTCTTGGAACTTGTGTTTGCATGAGTTTTGTTTGATACAAGTGTATATATATATACATAATTTTTGTTTCAGCTTTTGTCTATAAAGAATGTTATTGAGGGAATAAATATTTTCAAAATATTGATATTTTTGTTATTTCTTTATGTGATTTTGTGTTTTAAAAGGGTAAAAATCTATATCTTATGAAATATTTCAGCAGTAAAATTATAATGGTTCCATTATTATATGGTTGATTCTCGAAAATGTTGTAACATAGAATGTCTCTGTTATTTAATACTTCACATGAATAATGTACACAAACCGAATAAAATGTCCCGCGGAACAAAATATTATTTTGCTATTTTAAGTATGGTTTTATCCGTTAAGCTATGATTTTTAAGGCAATAAATTACCATATTTATTTTATACAAGCATTTTGGAAGTATTTTTTTTAAAAATCAGACCATAATTTTTGCATCAGATATATAACTCTATACACTTAGAATGGTTAATAGCTGCATGCCTCCAGATGAGCCAAAATACTTAGAAAATCAAACTTGAGAAAAAAGCACTATGATATAAAGAAAAGTAAAAGAAAAAAAAGTTAAGGTAAAAGTATTAATTTAAGAAGTAACTTAAGTATTAATTGCCAGGTTATATGTGATTTGTCACTGATTTTGCAGTATTATTACCATATTTTGCGTTACTAATAGTTTTAGCATATTTTGGGTTGAAAGTACTGTTTGCAATGTGAAAATTATTTTCCTTATTCACAATATTTTATTTTTTAATACACTTTCATGAATCTGGAGACTTGCTGCTCTAAAAGAGGCTTTCTTGTACCTTTTTGCATTGGTCACTGATACACATCGATAGATCGAGTTACTTGAAATGTACAGAAATAAAGCAGGTGATGTCAAAAGTGTTATCTGCCGCAGAAAATTATGCTTGACAATACAATCTCGATAGAGTGTTGGATTCCAAAAGTATACATTTAAATGTGCAATTAATTCAGATAAAAATCCAGGTGTGACACAGATATAACATGAACATATTTTTGGAGCGACCTCTTTAAGTGAATATTTAAAGAAACTGGCATTTATGTACAGGAACGACTGGCATCCCAGCATTTTCAAACTTCTTATGCATTTATGAAGAAGAAAAAAACACATTGAACAACAAAAAATGTGTTTAATTCATTTACCTTAAAGCCTATGACAATTGATAAGATTTAATCAATAATGATTACTAATCACAAATAAATTTTGGCAAATAGCTTTTATATAACTCACAAATTCACACAGTTTCATTTTACAGTGGAAGAAAAACCCGATTTTCCACATCACAATATATTTAAATATATTAAATTCAATAAGAAGATGTGAATTCACTTATTTTGTGGGCATGAAATTTCTTCATGCATTTGTGGACTGTCTAGTAATGCAAAAATAGTAAAATGCAAATTATGCAATGCACAATAATGTTTGAACAGACAAAATGAAATTTTGTCGGGTCTTATTTTTGTAGATTGACCTAATGGTTTACGTAGAAAACAACAAAAATAAAAGCAGCACTAATTATAATGACTTTTCAGTACAAAGTTTATCTTTTAAATACAATGACAAATGTTCTCAAATAATTGCACTAATTAGAAGCACATAAAGTCTCGATGTCCGTGAATAAAACATTTTCATCTTCTATCCGGAAGACCTATATTTGATGTTGTTTGTTCAAGGTATGCTAGAGGTCCTTGTGGATAAGAGGGTGGGGCTTGCGGTCTCGGCCCTATGGGCACGCCGGGGTGAGATTGCATTGGTGGTGGTGGTCCCGGCAAAGACTGTGAATGTATTGATCCGGAATAGCCCTGGTATTGGGCTAAGGCCGGGGCCTGTGACGGTATCTGCTGTATGTGATGAGATGAATAATGTGGAAGTGACCCCGACTGTGCCATGTGGGGTTGCTGTTGGGGCACAGTATGTGACTGGGGTAACTGTAAATTTGGCTGGGTAGAGACTGGGTGAGATTGCTGAACTGGTTGCCCTGCAGGTGTGACACCCTGTTGCTGTAGAATTATCTGACATCGTTTCAGCCTCTCTGTGTGCTTTTCTAACAAAGCTTCTTTCCTGGCCAATTCACCTTTCAGATTTTCTATATCCTGCAATAGATTAATCAGTTCACATTAAACTAGAATAATTGATGAATAGGATTCATGCACTCCAATTAATATGATAGTTAACATGTTTTCTAATACTTGACCTTGAGACTTCAATCTTTATCCAATGTTAGATGGTTTTATCTTCTCAATATAAGTCATTGGTCTATAAATATAGGCTGTAAAAGCAACAGTAAAAATCTTTTATAAGCACCAACGACCTTGACAACAGTGACCCTGAACTCGGAACATCCAATATACATGATTTTTGTGTCTATTACCAAATAAGGAAGATATCAGTCTGTAAATCAAGTTACTAGGAGAAACTTTAGATATATCAATTTTGCTGGAATCGGTAAGTCCAATTTTTGAAGTGATCAAAAGGAATATAACTGGTGAAACATGGATGCCACAGTTATGTAACTTGCCAAGGCTCTGCTTAGATCATGTACTGATAAGCGTGGTACAAATAAAACTATATCCAGCTTGCTGGAATAGCTTAAGCATTCATGTATGTCCTTAAAGGGAAATAACTGGGGGATAAAAGGAAGCCACAGTTATGAAACTTGCCAAGATTATTCATGGACTTTCTACTTGTGTTACAATGTAAATTATGAACTTAAAAATATTCAACTTGCCTTTAGAAAGATGGGCATTTTGTTAAAACAGTTGAATTACTATATGTTCAGGGGCAAAAAACAACTAGACAATGTACATTATATACAGAAAACAACTGAATCAGAGACCTACATGTATATGTATACAAATGTGTTCTGGTCATGCTTTAGTTTAGTTTAAACATATTTTATTTCTCAGAATATATATACATGTTATAATTCACAATATACAGATGCAATTCATATATTCTTAAAAAAACAGGATTAGAATGAAAGACAACATGTCTTATGAAATTCTTCTCCATGCTTTAAGAATTTCATCATTATTACTTAGTTCAAAAAAGATCATTTATTTGCTGAAGTATTTTTTAAGAAATTCAACAACTTGCACATTGTTGAAAGGGTCTAAATATAGTATACAATGAACAATAACATGTATAAATGACAAAACCAAATAGTGTGTTTGCGACCAGCATGGATCCAGACCAGCCTGCGCATCCGCACAGTCTGATCAGGATCCATGCTGTTCGTTATCAGTTCCTCTACTTGTTATAGAGTTGGTTAGCGAACAGCATGGATCCTGATCAGACAGCGGATGCGCAGGCTGGTCTGGATCTATGCTGGTCGCAAACCCACTATGTTGGTTTTGTCACGACACGGCTCATTTATATCTTACATCCACTAATTGCTGAAAGGGTCTGAATATAGTATACAATAACATGTATAAATGAGCCGCATCATGACAAAACTAACATAATGGGTTTGTGACCAGCATAGATCCAGACTAGCCTGCACATCCGCGCAGTCTGATTAGGATCCATGCTGTTCGCTATCACTTTCTCTACTTGTTATAGGGTTTGTAAGCGAACAGCATTGATCCTGATCAGACTGCGCAGATACGCAGGCTGGTCTGGATCCATGCTGGTCGCAAACCCACTATGTTGGTTTTGTCATGACGCGGCTCATTTATATCTTACATCCACTAATTGCTGTTCTGGCTTCTGGTAGGAGACTAGCATTCTTTTTCTCAGGAACAAAGCCTCTGTTTGCCGAGACAACTCCAGGAATTTCTGCATAGCATTTTCTATACCTACAATTAACAGATAGAAATTTCATAATATAACATTTCACATAACATATGACAGCACAGTTCCCCAATAGTGACAACATACATGTATTGAACCACTCTTCAAAACATAAAAGGCATATACAAATTCTCATATGATACCATTCCTCATAACATATGATACCATTCCGCATAATATAATCATATGATACCATTCCACATAACAGTCTTAACACATAAACTGCGGCGCAGGAGTCTAATCAAAGCCATTTAATAAAATGCTATGACACTAGTGTAATAACACTTTGAAGCGACATCATTTGCACTATATTTTATATAAACATAGCGTTAAAATGTGCTAATATTAGTGTTACACTATGAAAAATTACTCTTTTTAACAGTTTACCATTCTTACTATATATATATATGTGATAAATAGAATATTATATTTGTGAAGATTCAATACTAAATTTATTGAACTCGTTGAATAAAACAATATTGTGCGTGCCATAGGCTAGTATAATATAATTTTATTCAACTTGTCAGCAGTGTCTATTCTAGGATTCAAAAAACGGGGGATTTGTATCAAAAAGTGAGAATTTATTACATTTGTTGATTTTTTTCCTTTCTCTATGCAAAATTTTTCCCCTGCCTCTGAAAAAATAGGGGGGAATTCTCAAAATATTAGTGAGTCCCCCCATCCCCCCTCACTAGAATAGACACTGAACTTGTTCAATAAATTAAGTATTAAACCAACACCAATTAAATATCTTCTATAATATGATAGCATTCCTCATAATATATGATACCATTCCTCAGAACATATGATACCATTCCTCATAACATATCACTGTACAGTTTCCCATAACATACTGAATTGCTCTTCAAAACATAATTTGGAGTAACATGGCACACCATAAAACATACAAATAAAAGATAAAAGATGTATGAATTGAAAAAAAAGCCATGCCAAAAAAAAAAAAAAACATTATATCAAGGATAACACAAAAAACACAAAAAAAAAGAGTTAAAAAAAACTCATGAATTCTTCATAACATAAGACCCTCAAACCCTTAGCCTGCTGGTGGCTACAGAATCTACCCATGTGACAAGAGCAGACCAAGATAAGCGGGCACATGTATACCATCTAAATTCATAGTCTGCACTGTTTGTATATATTTTGAAATTCTCTATGATAACGATAAATGCTTTTGTCTAGATTGAAAGATGGACAAAGTCCATTTAATAAGATATCTAGCAGGGTCCTGGTTATAATATTGATTTTTTTTCATTTAATTCTTACTTGTTTTTGTTTCTTCAGAGTCCTGGACATTGATCTGCTCCTGGGTGGTAAGGAGTGACAAACAATTCTGTAAAGAACATGAAAAATAACTCAATCAAAATCTAGGGGAATAATGCTAAATTTTAAAGAAATTTCCTGTAATGAAGAAGATTTAAACAGCCAAAAAAACACCCAAAAATGATATATTTATTGTTTTAACATGCCATTTAGGTGAATTCCCTAGAGCTTAATCTGGAATGTACAGGAAGTACCAGGAAAGAGTGTTTATCAAAGTTTTTGAATTCATGAACAGCTGGTGAATGTATAAATATGTGAATTTTTTCTATAAGTTTAGATATAATACAGGGAAGTCAAAGACTGGGTCTGTGAAGCAGGCCTGGGCATTGGATTGCCCGGCTATAGACAACACATGTATGTATATTTAAAAAGAAATCAAATAAAAAAACAATTAAGACATATATAGATTTCTATAGCTATCAGTGAAATTTGATAACAAGTGTCATATCTTGTTGGGCGCAATCATAATTTTCAATTAGGTGGGGTATTCCCATTAACTGGATAACAGAACAATCACATTTTTTTGGCTTAATTATAATTGAGGTGTTACAAGTCAAAACGGCAGTGGTGGATGAAATACCGAATGACACTTTTAGGCTTTAACTGTTTGAAAAGAAAAATGTAAAATAAAAAGTGAACGAATTTTTAAACCAACTTCCCCGTTCAATGCCGTATTTAAATCATGTTTCTGGGGTCAAAACTGGACCCGCTCTGACTAGAGTCAATTAAAGTAGTGTACATATACAGATCAATATAGGCCTAATAAGGCTAATTACAATCAGTCTTGTCCGAAAACTATTCAGTTTAAGGAGAAATTAAGCATACAGATAACTTGCAAGAAATTACAAAAGCAGAAAATATGAATTGATTACAATTTCAAAAAACAAATATATTACTAGAAAAGATGACTCTAATTCATCTATGATGTTTGAATTCTGTCCAATCTTTTCAAACTCAAAGGGCGCAGCCATTTTGGAGCAATTCTAAAGTGCTTACGAAGTAGCTAACAATATTGAATATGTGAGTAAATGCTAAAGTAAACTGCTGAAAGAAACCGTGCGAAAGTGTCAATTACGTTGCCTTGGGTTTAATTTAAAATAATAATAATAAATATCGGGAAATCGGGAAATTAATTTTACTTTTGTAAATCGTTTTTTTTTTCTTTTTCTTCTCATTTTTTTTTTGCACACTGAAAAACTCTAAAAGTTGTTATGTTGTCATTGTACAGATGTAAAAATGTTTCAACAATTTGTTTATATAAATAATTCAGAGACATAGATAACATCTCTGATATATTGCTCATATAAAATGACAAACAGATTATATTCATAGATTATGTTACATATATACAAAAATATTGTTTTTCCCCTATATATTTAAATAGTCTGTATGAAAAAATGATTCTATATGTATAACATCTCTGATATATTGCTCATATAAAATGACAAACAAATTATATTCATAGATTATATTACTTATATAATGTACAAAAATATTGTATTTTAATGGAAAATCATGTAAATATTGAACATGGGGCGACTATATTTAAACAGTGTGTATGAAAACAAGATCCTGATGCATATTTAATTTGGACAGAAGTACACCCCCTCCACCCCCATTTCAATATATCTAAAGACAGCTCATTAATACCCGTCTCAATAACTTCAGTTCAAGCTGTGATCGATATATCTAATGGTCAGCACTATAAGTTTAACTGGTCTGCTGATTCTACCTTACGTTTATGTTTAACTACGGTAGTCGGCAGTTTTTTTACAAAAGATATTATGTTATAAGTATGTTAATTGTGTTGACCATACAGTAATAAGACTTACATTTATATTACAGTTTTATTGGTCTGCAGTGATTTTATTGATTTTGCAAAATGTAGAATTTGTTACATTTAATAAGAAACTTTATTAAATAATAAGAAATTAAAAGCAAATTAAATATTACATTTCCCTATATATCTAACTGGTCGGCAATTAATAGATGTAAAACTGGTCGGAAATAGAAGAAAATTACGGCTAAAAAACACACATCGATAATATATATCAAACTGACCGGCATATAATTTATAATATATCTTAACTGGCCAGCTATATGGAACATATCTCCGCCGTCTGTCTGTTCGTTTATCGGTTCAAGCAACACGCCTAGTATACCCTTTCTCGTCGTCCCTGTCACAACTACATGTATAAGGGCCGCTCCCCGCGCCTTAGCTACAGTCAGGACATTGGCAGCTAACTTCATAAAAACTAAGTCGTGTTGTCTTGAACGTAATCCCGGGCTGTAGTGCAGAGAACTTGATAATTAACTTGTCGTTTTGCACATTGCAGTAGATCAGATCTTAAATCATCAGTCCATGACCTGTGCCTCCTACACAACGTGCATGTACCGAGAGGAAGAAGGAATTTGATTGGTACCCCAAGTACTTGCGCTTATTTAAGTTTTTGGGTGTGATTTTTTTTTCTCGGTCAAACAATTTTTGGTTTTGAATAAAAATGGCGTTTTGGTCTGTTGATGATTTGTTGTCATAAATTGACGTGTTGCAGTCATGGATCAATCAGTGGGGGTTAAGGGACTGAAGCTAGTCCAGGCCTTTTCTATCAAAAAGGCACATAATTTTTAAAGAGTTTAATATCAACAGAAAGTGGCATAATCAAGATAAATTTTGCCAATAAATCCTTGTTTATTTAAAGAAAACAGACATAATATTAATTATAGTATAGGTAAATTTTCTATAATTCATCTTTAGATAATAATAATAATAAATGTTTCAAATGTGATTTAAACAATTTAAGACTTGAAAAATTGCTTATTTTTTAAAGTTAGATAATAAATAAATATTTGAAAAATGTGATTTAAACAATTTAAGACTTGAAAAATTTCTTATTTTTAAAGGAATAGTGTTCCATAACTCCATACTAGAATAATGAAATGTACGTTTCAAATAATTTGTTTTAAGTCGTTTATCATAATGTCTTTTTTTATGTTTTGATCTTAGTAAGTTAGTTTTATTTTGATATAACGGAATTAGATTAGAAATATATGCTGGTTTTAATTTATTCATCGCTTTATATACCATAATTCCAGAAAATACGAAGCATTACATATGATTTTATCAACTTCAGTGTCCCGTAAATTCGTTATACACAGCTGATGTATATTCTATAATCTATATACATTCTTTTGTCATATATACAACTGATATTTTCTTATATATCTATATTTAGGCTAAAAGTAAATTGGTCCATCATGGAATGTCTACAATAACATATATTATTATGTTGATGGCATTAAGTAATAAAATAAACATTTTGTACAAAATACGAAAGAATGATAGGGACGTTTATTGGTAAGTTTGAGGTACATGATCCAATATTACAAATTGTTCTATCAATCATCATATTAATCACTTAGAATCTATCATTATTATTTTTCATGATTTTTTATATGAATATCGAAATAATGCATTTTTTGTTATCAAAATTATATGTAGATAAGGTCAATTTACTGCCTATCTGTATACTTATCCTATATTTACAAACACGGTTGTAATCACTGTAGTGAATAACTAACTGTACATTCTCATTCATTCAGGCATAATCACATGACATCATTTTCATTCATCATTATAGAATTATGGGTAATGTCTTGTTCTTGTTGTGAGTTACTATGCTCAGTGAACTGTCTCTTGTTATGTCCTTGTTATGTCCTGTGTTGTTAAGTGATGTCCAATAAATATATTGTATATTTGTTAAGTAAGAATGTGATTGGATGAGAGTGATTTCATATCATTTTATGCATGGGCAATTTACATTCCTTTTCTAAGAAATCATTTTCATACTTTGCACTGTAAAGTGAACTTCAGTAGTTCTTCATAGAACATTTTGAATAATGTATTTATATAAATCAACTTTACTTTTGTTCTTTATAGAACGGATTTGATATTATTTTATATAATAGAGGCCAGTCAGTTGCACCTGGTAAGATATGTTTTACTTTAAATTACTTAAAAGAAATGTATTGAAATGGATGAATTAAATAGTTGAAATTATTTGAAATGTGAAATGTTGAAATGATATTGAATTTGTATTTTAATTTGTGTTTTGTATTTCATGTATTTATAATTGTTTATTAATTTTATAGGTTTCATTTTCACATCATCGAAATAAATATTGAACACCCAGTCAGAGTTGGTCATGTATTCAATCCAAACCATTCTTTACAAAATAAAATCATATGATATAATTAAGGTTATTCAAACCTGCAGTTACTATTGTGGAGTAACTATTAGCAATGTAAGAGAAATATTTATATTTTATTTGAATCGGGAAATCTGGCATTTTGTACAAAACACAACAATTAACTTTTATGTAAATTTACAAATTTACGGAATCATTAAAATTAAAACGTACGCCAAAAATGTGTGGTGCACATTGAATGAATCTTTCAAGTCTTAAATTGTTTAAATCACATTTCAAACATTTATTATTATTTAGAGATGAATTATAGAAAATTTACCTATATACTATAATATAATAATATGTCTGTCTTCTTTGTTGATTAAGATTTACTGAATGTTGTAATCTTTATAATTGCTTGAATATGTCCATTGTTATGTTTATGTTTTATTGAAGGCCTTGTTGAAAATAAGATTTTGCATTATATGTGTTGTATCTAATGCTTTGGTGTATTGTCTTATTAAGTTACCTTCGTTAAATAAAGAGTTTATTATTATTATTATTATTATTATTTTTATTATTATTATTATTATTATTATTATTATTATTATGTGATACTATTCGCAGGTCTCCAAACTCCTCACAACGGTTACGTCACGCTTTGCTACTTTAACTGTTACTGTCTGATCAGGGGAAGTAAGCGCTGCGGGGAGTTTGGCAGGTCTCTAGTAAATCGGGGTCAAAATAGACCGGGAGAGACCGGGATTTACCGACAGGAGACCGGAGAATAGTACATCCCTGAATCTGGTATGAATTTTATCGCACGGGTAAAATCTAGTATGTCACTGGTTAGCATAAAATGAATTATCATATAAGACACGGTATTGTCCTATATTGGACAGTTTTAAAACGGTATGACTAGATATCGGAAATGGCCCCTTTCCGCGAAAAGGACTTGACATGATCGGAAAGGGCCGATTATATGTTTATTAATGGCATTTTTTCAAAAAAGATTTCACTAAATATAATGACAATTAATTAAAACAAACACCTCTGGAATTTAACTGATATTATTCCCCCATACTTTTTTAGATTTTAAAAGATAATCTATCAGTCCTCGAAACACACTGATCGGAAAGAGCTTAGGATTGATCGGAATTTTCTTACATAGATCTATTAAAACTATTTCAGAAAATATTATCAATATTAAAATATGTCAGAGAAATAAACAAATATATTTATATTTTTGTCCTATATTTGTTAAGTTATTTAGCACAATAAGCCAGTCATCCCTGCGTTGCTCGGAAAGGAGTTGGCATAATCGGAAAGGAACTATTGCTTTCATATCAATGGAGATATTTGAAACAATTCAACGAATGTTATGAATGTTATTTGCAATTACTTATATACACTCATATAAATATAAAGTTATGCTTCATATTTGGTAAGATATTAAGACAGAATCTGTTCAAAATTCCATATTCCATTCCCCTGTCTGATCGGAAAGGACTTTATTATGTATAAATTATGTTCTTATTTAGGGTTTCTATAAAGTATATTAAACGTATGAAGAAATGACTAGATTTGATCAAATGAATAAATTTCTTAAATGTGAGCGTAACATTTATTGATCATCTACACATTTGTGTCGTTATAGATATAATACGGGTGGTTTGGTGCAATTTAAATACATGTATATTACCATTTGAGCCCCTGAGGGATAACTAGATTTGGGATTGTTAAATTAATTCCCGTATTACATATATTTGGAATTGAAATTATTTCCCAAGTACATATATTTGGATTTGAAATCATTGCA